TGGGCACTGATTTTTTGGCGAAAATGCCCATCAAAATTCTCATTGATCAGCGTTGCATTGAACTACCATCGGGTCGCCGTATTTCATTTTTGACGAGCCCTAATGTAATTCGGACGGCGTGCGCTACCATTCAGGCGTTAGCAACACAGACCGTGCACGTGCCCCCGGGTTCACAAATGTTGATTCCCCTCCGGTTACGGAAGCCATGGGGGAAGGAGGCCTCGGAACAGGCCATGCTTTTGGGTCCTTCTAATAGGGCTGTTGGAGGTCTCGATTTATCGGTGGCTCACACTTTGGTTGGGGCAGACAGGGATCCGTTTGTCATGGTTTTAAACGCTGGGGCGCGGCCGGCCGTCATTCAGCAGGGCACCGTGCTGGCTCACGCGGCACGGGTCCCTGCGGAGGAGAGGCTGGTTGCGCAGGCTGATCCGAGCCCCACGAATAGCGTACCATCAAAGGAGGACCTAGATTGGATTGATATGCTGTGCGCGGACTCTGACGATTTGTCAGCGCTACAGTTGGGTGCGTTGCGCGGGTTGCTGATTGAATTTTCGGATGTCTTCAGTAAACATAAGTATGATATCGGATGCACGGACCTGCTACGCCACCACATTGAAACGGGCGATGCGGCACCGGTCAGGCAAAATCCCTTCCGACTGAGTCCTGCTGAGAAGGAACATGTTCAGTCGGCAGTTAACGATATGCTGGAAGCCGACATTATTTCGCCTTCTTCCAGTCCTTGGGGAGCACCTATTGTGCTCGTTAAAAAGCAGGACGGGTCCCTGCGATTTTGCGTCGATTTCCGCCGCCTGAATAAGATCTCGGTGGCCGACGCGTATCCGCTCCCCAGGATGGACGAGTCTCTCGACGCATTGTCCGGTGCGCGATACTTTTCGACTCTTGATTTATTGTCCGGATTTTGGCAGTTGCCACTCGACGAGGAGTCTAAGCCTAAGACTGCATTCCGGACTCCAGGGGGCCTGTTTCAATTTAACCGGTTACCCATGGGACTTCACTCCTCTCCTGCGACGTTTCAGCGTCTTATGGAATTGATTTTGTCGGGCTTGCAGTGGGAGACGTGCCTCATTTACCTTGACGATGTCATTGTTTTCGGTAAAACGTTCGAAGAACACCTCCAGCGATTGAGAGGGGTGTTCTTGCGAATGCGATCGGCTAAATTAAAGTTTAAACCGGCCAAATGCCATCTTTTTCGTAAATCCGTGAGGTACTTGGGTCACATTGTCGACTCTTCGGGGATTTCTACCGATCCTGCGAAGACGGACTGTGTCAGTTCGTGGCCGACGCCCACGTCAGTGTCAGACGTGCGCAGTTTCATCGGTTTTGCTTCGTATTATCGCCGATTCGTTGAGCACTTCGCCACCATTGCAAAGCCCTTGCACGCTCTAACGGCAAAAGGAGTGAAGTTCCGGTGGGGACCGGAGAAGGAGGCTGCATTCTGCTCCCTCCGGGACGCCTTGGTAAGGGCCCCACCCTTGTGCTATCCAGACTTTGAGAGTCCCTTCTTGCTAGACACGGATGCTAGCAACACGGGCATTGGGGGAGTGCTGTCCCAAGTCGTTGGAGGGGTCGAACGGGTGGTCGCCTATGGTAGCAGGGTGTTGTCGCCGGCAGAGCAGCGCTACTGCGTCACCCGTCGTGAACTACTTGCCATTGTTTTTTTTGTACAACAATTTAGGCCATATCTCTATGGTCGTCATTTCACGGTCCGGACGGACCATGCGGCGCTCCAGTATTCATTACGGGTTGCCCAGCCCTCGGGCCAATTGTCGCGGTGGTTGGAAGTCCTCCAGGACTATCAGTTCACGACTACGTACCGTAAAGGGTTGCGACACACGAATGCCGATGCCCTGTCGCGGTTGTTGCCTTGTCACAAATGTGCGTGCTTATCGGGATCGGCGCGCTGTAAACCTCCGGTTACGGAAGGTAGGGAGGCGTTGGTTGCGACCGCGAGCACACCAATTGGGGATGGTCCCGCTACCCCAGGGGGTCAGGACTCGCTGCTCTCACTGTCGTTGATTGAGTGGGGCCGTCTCCAAATGGCGGACAGCTCCCTGCTGGCATTGCGCCGAAAGACGGAGGGTTCCGAAGGTAGCCACGACCGAACTGGCTCCTACGAGCTTAAGCAGGGCCTGTTGATGAGATGGGACAGTTTGTCCCGGCGGCATGCGATTGTGGTGCCTTCTGCTGTGAGGGGGAAGGTTGTCTTGGCCGCACACGAACGCCTCTTGCATTTGGGAGTTAACAAAACGCTTGCCCTGCTTCAGCGTGACTATTATTGGCCGGGAATGGGGGGTGACGTGGTGAATATTCTGAAGGGTTGTGTTGAGTGCGCCAGACGGAAACCACCGCCCGTGGCAGCTAATCCACCGCTGCAATCTATTCAGGTCTCGCGCACTAACGAGCTCGTTGCACTCGATATTCTGGGGCCCTTTCCGGTCACGCCTAGGGGTAATAAGTACCTGTTGGTGGGGGTCGAATATTTTACCCGGTGGCCTATGGCGTGGCCACTCGCCAACCAGTCGGCGGTGGCTGTGACGGACGCCTTTGTCCAGGGCTACGTCCTGGACAAGGGGGCTCCCGAACGCTTGCTGACTGACCAAGGGAAACATTTTTCGAGTAAATTACTGCAGGAGGTGTGCGACCTGTTGGGTACCAAAAAGGTGCGTACCTCCCCGTACCACCCGCAGACGGACGGGATGGTGGAGAGGCTTAACAGGACATTGACCTCTATGCTGTGCCAGCAGGTGTGTGAGTCGCATGTTGATTGGGACCTGCAGGTCCCTGGGGTCCTTGCCGCGTATAGAATGGCCCCCCATGCAGCTACGGGGTTTTCCCCGTTTTTTCTAATGTACGGTCGGGAAGCCGACCCGCCCATGGAAACGCAGCTGGGTCTGCCCGCACCACGAACTAATTCTAAATTGGCAGAGCATATTAAATTTAATATTCATAAACTGACAGAGGCAAGGGAGGCCGCACGGCTTAATTCGCGGGCTCGCCAAATTGCGAACGAGCGGTTGCGGGCACGGAAGGTGTCCGTGCACAATTGGGAACCAGGTGACAAGGCCTGGCTGCATTGCCCTCAGGCACCTTTGGCCACGTCGCCTAAATTGTTGAAGCCGTGGCGGGGACCCGTGGAGGTCGTGCGGGTGGCACGCCCCCAGTGCATTCAGATAAAATGGGGGAAACGCCGTTGGTACGTCCACCCCTCCCGACTGAAACCGTTCTCGCCTCCGTATGGCCTCCCCTTGTGTCGTGAGGGCCGAGCATGTGACGTGACCGACGACCCTGAGGGGGAATTGTCCTTGCCTGCTCCTCACATGTCTCCGCCTGATCCGCTCCCAGGTGTCTCGGAACTGACTGCTGCCGACCACCGGCGGCCGGATCTTCACGGCGGGGCCGGTCCTTCCAGACCCGACCCGTGCCGTCTAGAGCTGCCGGAGACACCGGACGGTCGCCAACGTCCCGTTCCATACGACGGACCGGCCAGACGGACTCGCGCTAGGTCGCGCTACTTTGTGTAACCTACCACGTGCGGAGTCGAGGCAGCCGGAGCGCCTCGGCACTGCGTGGGTCACAGTGACACTTGGCGCGTTCGTTTTACGGTGTTCGCTTTTATTGTGTTGTTCGTCGGGCTGTATATTGCTTCATATTTAAGGTTGTGTTATGTTGTTGTTGTTGTGTTACGGGGCACACTGGGATGTGGAGTTCTTTATTACTGCGTTGCGTTATGTTGTGTTGTAGGTTAACAGCCGGGCCGGCTGCAAGCTATGTGGGAGGGGGTGATGTAGAGGTGATACGCGCTGGGATTAAGGATCGTATGCACAGTGCGTGATGATTGGCTGTGTAGGTGGTGACGCGCTGAGAGGGAGTGATCAGGTGGCAGCGCAGTGTGATTGGTGGAGTAATGTTAACACGCGCTGGGGAAAGCGGATCGTAGAGAGAGTGCGTCGTGATTGGGTCTTTAAGGAACGACGCTCACGTCGACGCCGCGTCAGCTCCGTCCCTCGTGAGCAGGGGCTATAAAAGGGGATGCACACAGGCGTAAGGGCAGTGTGTAACCAGCGAAGAAGGAAGACGGGGATGAAGACCTAGAGCCCTGCGGTACCTAGCCCCGCTGTCCTAAGGGGACCGGGACTCTGTGTAACCCAGAGGCGAGTGTAGCGGGTGTAGCCATAGGTCTACACGAGCCGAATGTACTATGTGTAGCCAGGGCATAGGGCTTACACGAGTCGAGTGTATTGTGTAGCCAGAGGCATAGGGCTTACACGAGTCGAGTGTATTGTGTAGCCAGAGGCATAGGGCTTACACGAGTCGAGTATATTGTGTGTAGCCAGAGGCATAGGGTCTACACGAGTCCAGTGTATCGGGTGTAGCCAGAGGCCTAGAGCTTACACGAGATTAGTGGAGTGTGTCGGAGGAAGAAGAGAGACCACACGTTGTATTGTGATACCTAAAGGATTTAATAAAAGTGTGTTACCCGTCAAGAAGTTCCTGCCGTCAATTCCCATACTTCACAATGTTGAAACAAAGCAACGAACCAGTAACTTTGAACCCAGGGCCAATGAGTCCTGCAGTGTGGTATTATTTGGCACCCACAATTCTTCCTGACAGCAGGCAGGCAATGGCAACGGACAGGCTGAACTTGCCACAAAGGTGGCAATAAATTAAAAACATATTTCATTCATGGAGGAGAAAAATCAACTACACAGACCTGTACATCTGTAGTGAAATACATGTGCTACATACATTATACAAAAAGCTTAAGTTATGCACTTATAGACTGCGGAGGCAAGTGCTGCTCGTGAACATCTTTGAATTCCATCGCGGCACATGACGGGGTGGGTGGCCAACAATTCGCCCCTCCACCTGACGTTTACACTCCACACCAGGTACTCATTCATGGCTGAGTTGACAAACACACACACACACTCCACACACATATTACATAGTTAGATATAAAATTAATCATTATAACTTACAATGGAAATTCCTCCCGAGCGATCTTTAGTGCACATGGTTGACACAGGGGCCATGCCGATGGCCGAATCGGAGAAGACGCCTCCACTGCACGCACAGACAACAGAGGCTGCACTGGTAAGATTCCTCACCACTGGACTTGTCAGTCGCGACATCCATATGAACGTACGCTTGCACGAACACTCACAATATGGCAACTTACCTGTGCAGCCCTGTTGACAATCCACTGCTGGACAAGGGACTCCCCAAAGTATGCGGGTCGCAGGGGTTATCTGACAACACTTCAAACTGGCCAATGGGTTTGGTGGGGAGCATAGTCGTGGGACCATAGTGCAGTACAACACTGGATTTTTCTGCACCACCATCTGCTGCCCATAACTTAGTTCCACAGCCGAATGGCCAATTCGCAAGGAGTTCGAGATTGGGAATATCAGTGGAAAATCTTAACTGACTGTTGACAGAAGGCCTCGGCTGCAAGAAGGGAGGTGGAAAATCTTAACATTTCACTGTCTAATTTCCTACCTCCCGCTACAGCTGGGCTCAACGACGATCTGTGGCCCTAAGAGGCTAAAGTGGCGCAGCGCAGGGTATGCGTGTGTGGAGGGGAAGGCTGCGTGGAGGAAGGCAGCGTCTTACGTGAGGAGATGAGCATTGTCATTGTGCTTGCGGGGCAGAAGGTTGGTCATGCGCCACTCGAGGAAGCGGCTGAGCGTGTCGCTGGCGCTGTAGTCCCGGACGATGAGGTCTCGCACGTTCCACACCTCGACGCCGACCAGCGCGATGCGCACGTTCAGCGGCTTGTAGTACTGCCGACGACGCGACAAGGGCCGGTGTGTCGATGGTCACAAGCCGGGCCAAAAATCTCCTGTCACTCACATGAGCGATGGGCGGTGCCCGTCTCCATTGGAGACCCTACCCACCCCCCCACCCCCCACCCCGAGTGTGCGGTGGAATATCCACCTGTCTATGGCAGTGGTCAGTCGGTCTTACCAAAGGCCAATTTTCAGTGATCATTTTATAAAAAAAAGTGGTTCCTATTTTATGCATCCTGAGAAGATGATGGGCTGCAGAGATGACGGGGATTTGAACACATACCCGTTGCAATTGTGAGTCAAGCACTCGATCCATCATAATCAGCCATAAACAATCCACTGCTGGATGCAGGCCTCACCATGCCAGCTCAAACTCTCGCGGGCCTGTGATGTAACAACTCAACGAGCACTCTACCCACAGGGCCCAATCAGAAAACCACTATTATAAGCATTATTCCACTATAACAGATAGAGACTGTAAGAGTAAAGCAATACTACATTATAACAGTATAACGATCATGTAAGCATGGCGGCGCAGCGGTTTGCAAACTGGATTATTTACCTAGCTACCAGAGTTACATTCCTGGTCATGGCTAATAACAGTGGCGAGTGACATTTGAGCCGGTCCAAAGTTCTCCCTCCAACGTCAGAAAGCAAAGAAAGAAATGGTTTTAATGACTTCTTAAACTTGTTACAGGCCTACATTTCATGCAACGGCGATGAAGTGACATCACTATAGCATACTCTTTGGGTCTTTCGGTAAAGTCACAGATAGAAAAATAATTTTTTATTTTATTTTATTAAAGACCCAAAGAGTATGAATACCTGCAATCACGAAAGCTTTAAGTCAAGATCACTATAGCACTCTATAATGTTGCAACTTTAAATGCTTTTTTTATCATTAACAAAGCTTCAAGCTCATGTAGCACAAACCAGGACACACAGCAAAAGCCAGAAGCTACACGATACGAGATTTGTTTTTCTGGGATGTGCCTTCAAAAGTTGTGCCTCTTTCCGCTTGAAGGATTTTTAAGAATAAGTCCTGTGACAACTGTGGCTTCCATGGGCCAATCTCTGACACACGGGGGCACACCAGTCAGATAAATCAGATTTACGAACAGAGTCCTCGCCCCATCAAGCGACGCCGTTAGCGCAACTGGCATCGGGGGAAAAAGAGGTTTGCCTGGTGACATTGTACGCTGCGGTAAATCTGCCTCATATCAGATTCACTCTCAGGTGTTCACGCTTACCCCATCCATGTTGTTGGCAAGATCAAGCACGCGCCTTTTCACCCTCTCCACGTCATGGCTTTGAGACTGAAACTGCAAGGGAGGATGACGCAGGCAACTTAACCTTTTTGGGGATGAAAGCAAATACCATGTCAAGGACGTAACTTTTTTGCCTCGGCACAGGTTTCACTATCACGTAGGTGTTCACGGTTGTGCTGTGCCGCTCTCTGATGTGTCCTCGGGTTGTGCCGCGTGTTGTTGGCGTCGATGGTTGACATTTCGCTCCGCGTGCTGCGAGCTTCTTCAGGAAAAATACATCATTAGGACAGCGAAGCCAGCGCATGAGAATGTTTTATTGCTATTGAGGACAAGTAGTGTAAAATTATTGCGTTGTAACTGTCGTGGTAAGAGATGAAGAGTATGAGCTATCGGACGCTTTTTTATCATAATGCTGGCAGCATGATTACACGCTTGAGGAAACATAATTATGAGCACGACATCTTACGATAAACAATTTTGATCATTTAAGCCACACACGTCACGCTAGCCTGCGTGAAAACAACAAAAGATGACCATTGGGCAAGTTCATCTTTTTGTTCTTGAAATTATTTGCACGTACAAAAAAAACACCTGCATTCATTTAGTCACGCAAAACAGCGCCGTAGCTTAACTCGTGTGATGTTAAAGCCCCCTGCTGCATGCACGGCTCGCGGTGCAAAGCGAGGGGTGTGAAGAAGACGACGGTGGACGGCGGCATCAGCGCAGAAAAATCTCGCATTGGAGCTTAAAAACCGCACGCGGGCTATGCACCAATTTGCCATTGTGGAGGTCTAAATGGGTAACCGATGTTGATGGCTTACCTCTCTATTGTCGCCGATTACCATGAGCTCCACATACTTTGTCTCGTTTAGGACGTTGCGCTTTTTCTGAAAAACCAGAAAAAATTACAATTAGTCTCGTAATATCCATGTATGCATCAGCCAGTGGCTGAGACACCTGCTTTGAGCATCGATGTTTCTCGATGGACAGTGAACTCTTGAGGAACGTTCGGTGCACACATGCGTGCAGATGTAGATACTTTACAGAGCAACCTCTACATGCTTCACAATGACTGGGTTTCCAGTGACGATCATTTGAACCGGTCCTGGGCCTCCTCTAGGTCGACTCAGCCTCAAACGAGTAATTGGTGTGATGTGTGAACATCGCCACTGGGGAGACAAAGGCGGTCGGGCGTGGTGAATCCAAGTCCCGGGCGAAGCCGGGTAGTAAAGCTAGTTATTATATATATTACACCATATCTTTACATGCATTGTAATGAAAGAATGCTAGAAAAATGTAAAGTAACAGAAGATAAACTTGATTTGAAGCTTTCGTGACTGCAGGAATTCCTCTTTGGTTCTTTTGGTAAAGTCACGTAGAAAGAAAAAAAATTAAATAATAATAGAATACGACGTTTCGATTGCAACACAAGCAACCTCAAATTTAGCAATCTTTGGAAGAACGTAATCAACCAGGTGAGGTTGGCTGTTGTGTTGGCCGACTCTCTGTGTTGTATTGCATTGTATTTCCAAGTTTACTATGTTTGTTTTCTCATTAATTTGTACCTGAAGATGGTTGCTTGTGTTGCAATCGAAACGTCGTATTCAATTATTATTTAATTTCATTTCTTTCTACGTGACTTTACCGAAAGAACCAAAGAGTAGCAGAAGACATTTATAGAAAAAAGCACAAGCCAGCAATCATTTATTTGCGTGCGTTTTACGTCTAGTTTGACAATGCGTGCACGATTTTTGAGGAAACACGTAAATCTGAACAGCTCAGGAATACCTTATTTGTTTAATAACTTTGAGTCCTGTATATTAAATAGCTAGTGTGAACCACAAATAGGCCACTTCAAATAATATATACCGTTTGGCGTGCCTGTAATCAATCAGCCACAGTTTTAATGAGTTTTCTCGAATGTTAAGAGACCAACGATAATTGTTTCACCGACAGTTTATAAAAGTGAACATTTAATCAAAGTGATAGTGATGGGGGTTCGAGTCTTATTAAAATAAATACAACCATTTGAGGTGAGTAATAGGTAATAATTAACAAGGTACAATATGTACACAGCATAATGACTGGATTTAAGCCAAAGAAGTGCCCTCATGATCGCCATCATTGCAATAATGCTGCATTGTAAGAAAAGAACTTTAAACATGTACAAGTGAACGAACAAAAAAACACAGATCCCCCGTGTAGCCTTTACCAAACAGTTGGGGCAAGTGCTGTTAGTGAGCACCTATGAAGGCCGGCGCGAGGGGGTGGGTGGCCAACGCCACCCCCGACCGCCTTTGTCTCCCTAGTGGAAATGTTTACAGACTGCACCAGGTACTCATTGGAAGCTGAATCAACCTAAGGGAAGCCCAGGACTGGTTCAGATAATCGTCACATGGGTCGCCGGGTTCATAGTGCAGCGCGCTAACCACTAAACTACCGCTCTGGACAATTAATCTAATGCCAGTGCACACATAGCAATGCATTTTACAGATAGATGCATACATAGAAAGCTAATTATAGTAAGCCAACAGTTATGCTGCAGTAGTACACAACATTTACAAGTGTCCTCGTCTCAATTTCCATACACTGCCTGTCCGTGCTTACTCTGCAAGCAGCATCGCTTCCCTAGTACGGTGCGAAACAACTTCAACACATTTACATACTACTATGTTCTCTGGATTACACCGGAAACAAGTATGGGGTGTAAGGGGGGCCCAGAAACCACTCCAGCACCCCCCCTCCCAAACACCCCCCCCCCCACCACATCCCCCTCCCCTTACGACGAGGCTGCAAGGGTGGACACTTGGGATTTGAATCCGGCATCTCACCAGTGTGAACCCAGCGTTCAGATACAGCCACCCTGGTGAGCTCGGCTAAACCATCCGTTTAAGATGAGTAAGGCCCCTGCGCCTAGACGGATAGAGGGAGTTTAAAAGGCCCTTCTTTGCATTGCAACGTCTCATCCAGCAATATAATTCCTCTTATGTAATACTCATTACACGCCATTGCAGAGCGTTACGAGCGATTATTGCGAATCGATTTCAGTGTCTCTTCTCTATGTCATTATCATCATCGGCCACTGCCTGTCCACTGCTGGATGAAGGCCCCCCCACACCAATCTCCTCTCGCGATGCGTTGTTGTGCAGCAATTACGGGTAATAAAATAAAACTTTCAAACACATTAAACTAAAAAATAGCATACGTCTTTACACACGGCATTACAGAATGGTAGACTGTTTATGGTCGCAGATTCTTTTTTTTTTAACAGGTCGATGAGTTTAGTCCCTAAAGGAAGCGTTAAAAAGGTGTACGTGGTTAGGGATGAATTCCTTTGGCATTTCGTAGGCGCGCAGAAACTTCACTTTGCTTGCCACCTCGTGCCTCGAGGGGACCTGCGTTTTATTTACGACTCTGGGACGTGCACTGACACGCCAGGTTGAACTCCAATCCAAACGAGGTGAGGGGGGCAACGGTTTCAATGTTTGCCGACGTGACACGTTGGCGATGATAATTGCCTAAGTAGGGGGGGGGGGGGCTTCGATATGAGCAGCACACCGGAGGCGTCGCAGCAGCAAAGGAATGCTTTCACTGAAAGCAGGAATGCCGTGACCTCAGCACGCTGGCAGCGGGAAAAGCCAGACGTTGGGATAATCGGATTCTGGGACCTTGGCATGCAGTCCATCATGCTCACATGCATGGCGAAAAAAGACAGGTCACACCACACTCAGACCGAGCTAATTTGATCACAAAGTAGTGCGGAAGGCACTCGCAATACAAATATACAGGACAATCCATTTATTACTACCACTGATTTTTAATGGCCCTTTTTTCTTTAAATTTCACAGGTGACTAAATATTGCGAAGGAAATGGCTGCATGTCTTACACAGGAGGAGGTTAAATGTTGCGCAAGTTAGCTGAAATTACTGGGAGACGTGCATAGGATTTGAAACAAGATGCTATTTTCTCTCTATTGCCTCCAGATTATTTTAGTAGGGTATCACCCTTTGGTATGCAGCTACAAAAGGGTCTTGGGAATGAGAATTGGACCCATTGCTTGGTGGCTGAACGTTACAAACTTCGACAAAGATGCCTAATGTCTTACTTTGTTTGATGTAGTCATTGAGAATAAAACAAAGTTTTAACTTTAACAAATGGCTAACTCTAACCGCATAAGCAACTGTCCCATCATGACATAAACTCAGGTTAAGTACAGCGAGATAGTGGTCTGAATCATGTCACCGATGACTGCATGGAACGGACCATTACGGATAATTATTAAACAGACAGAGGCGTGGCACAACATTAATTTGAAAAAGATCAATACAAATTAAAATGTTCACTTCACTGTGCATCCACCGGAGCTGGCTGATATAAAAACACATCGTACGACTGACATGCAATTAACGGCTCCTCAACAGAGAATAAAGAAGATGCTCTTTAAGAGAAGAAAGATTGGTCTTCACAGTGAAAGTAAAAACACTAGGCCAAAAAGTGACACCACGGAGCTATTTCAGAAGTTACTTCAATCGGAAGAGAGGTCAATTTGAAGTAACTCTGAAAATACTTTGGTCGTGTTTGGGAACATTTTCTGACTTCACACACGGCACTGCTGATGGTAGAGGGCATTTAGTCGCCTCGTGATACAACTGAGATGGAACCATTTTGAATAAAATGAGGGACAAAATTACAAGGGAGACTTACAGATAACTATTCCGCTCATTCATCATCACTCATCATCGGCCATTATCTATCGTCTTTCACGCGTGTATGTTTCTCTCATCCACGTGTTCCTCTTCTGGTCTCTTGGTGTAATCCCAAGCACACACACACCTCTCTACCCTTCTTTGCCACACTCCAGATTTTGTCTTTGTGGATTGTGGATAATGACTAATTCTGTAATTAAAAACAGGCAAGGGCTTACTGGAAGAACATAATAGTCAAAAACGCATAAAATAAAAATGTGTAATAATAATGTTTTATTTACATATTGCGTCAATCATGCAAATTGCATCTCAAATCACTGCATGTGGAATTTGTGACGTGCACAGTTTTTGCATGGAGGCGCAGGAGGCAACCAGAACAAGCATTAATATATATATAATTGACCAAGGTATGTGATCCAATGTTGTGATGTTTGGCCAACTCTATGAATTTGTTTGTATACATGTATTCTTTAACAAATGTTGAAGGAGGAAAGGTAAATAATAATCATTAGTATTATTCTCCTTCTTGCGATTCAATGAACCGTTACAATTTGGGGTCGCGATTCAAAGATCAGTTCTTTTTCAATGTTGCGGTGAATATAGCATCTCAAGTGGCTGCAGGGGTCACGTGAAATCATTACCTACAACAATCTCGAGCGCACCATAGTATGCACGGATAGTATTTGTAACAATCGATGATTCTTCATGTTGTTACATGCGATATAAAAATATTGTTTCAGAAGGCCTGTAGGCTGATCGTCAAGAGTGCTAATTTATTTTTTTTGTGGCGAAAGAGCCACGTACATTTACTTATTATTGATTAAGCACTCGCTGGTGTAGAGTCTCTTGCGGACGAAGGCACGGGTGTTTAATCGGTAGAAAAAAAGCCCCTTCATAACATTGCGCCAACGGGATGGCGCACGAGCGCGGAGTAAAGAGGTGACATCATCATCGTCATCGTCGACAGGGGTTGATGGTGGCAGGGTGGCGTCGCGAGTTACCCTTCGGAGGTGCTGGGGGAACCCTCCGTGCTCCGTTCCGTTGAGGTCGCCGTGGGGGAAGAAGAGGTGCAAGCCGCACCCCCCGGGCGGCATGCGCATGTGCTCCGCGCGGTACACCACGTGCTGCAGTTCGGAGACGGGGGCGCCCCCTCTCAAGGAGCCCTCCAGCGGCTCCACGCCGTAGCTCACGTTCCGCGCATTCACGTAGCCCCTGGTGCCGCGGTGGCAGCAGAAAAGCACAGCCGGTGCAATGATAGAGAGGCAGTTATAGGGTTTGTCGCATGGTTGCAACGCCACTGTCAAAACGTAAGCCTCTCCGCGGGGTCTCTCTGCGTGCAGAATATTAAAGAAAGTCCAAGCTCGTCGCAGTTCCAACGAACATTGGGCGGCGCTCAACTCACACAGACCCACAAGGCCAAATCTGCGATGTAAAGTGTATTATTTATAATTATTATCACCAACATAGTATAATCAGGCCCGTCAAAAAAATTGAGGCCTCGGTACAAAATGTTGGCCGAAGGCTCCAACCATGTAAATAAAACATTGGTGTGCCCTTTCCCCTCCTCTCCTTATCACCAGATAATAACTCTCTGAGCCGATTAGTTTTGGTGAAAGACAGAACATAAAAGAATAAGAAACAAAATGAAGCACATAAATACAATATGATGCACACGTTTAAAATGTTAAACGATTCAAAATTCAGTAATTAAAATGTAAAGTTTTAGAATAGCTTAGGAATAATATCCCAGTGTATTCATTCAAACACAATTCAAAGATCATGTAAATTCCACATTCCTTTAGCGTGGGTCAGTTCAGCACTCAGGACAACCACTGTTATTTTATAGCAAAGTGGTTATCATCTTCTTGATCCCAGAAAGATGATGAACCCAGACGATTTTGAGATGGGCATTCTTAAACTACATCAATAGTCAACCAGATCACGCCTAATACATTGCCATAATTGTGACCGAGTGACTGAGGTACATTGTAATGATGTTATAGAATGGCACAAAAGTCGGGTCGATGCTTCTTAGTAAAATATAAATTGAAAACAAAATGTGTCACTTTTGGGCCTACAAAAGTACAGGCCAGAGTTTTATTTCTTTTACTCGCTCTTTAAAATAAAAAAAATATATGCATAATAGGTTTTTTTTGGGTTAGATCGCGTAAATATAAATGTGTCGTTAAACCCGCCACTGCCAATTAGTAAGGTTTGTCACAAACAAAACATGCCAATTCGTTCGAGTACAGCAACAACACCGGTGTGTTGGAGAGTAAACCCACAATAAACCTGGCTGTCACCTCATAATGCCCGTTGTAATTACTGCCGAAACGTCGTACTCGAATTGTAAATGTTATGGGTTTACTCTCCAACACACCGGTGTGCTGTACTAGTAACGAATTGGTATGTTCCGTTTACGTGACAAACCTTACTAATTGCTTGCGTCGAGTGGTGGCAGGTTTAACGACACATTTATATTCACGCGATCTAACCCAAAAAATAACTCTTCAGTAGATAGTGGTCATAAAAGCCTATGTGTTAAACATAAAAATACACTTTCAATTCATAAACCCGCTAACGCACGAAACACAAGTAAAATTTTGGCACAAAATATTTATAACAGGGTACATGTGTGAGGGTGCATAGCACTAAGAAATAATTGCAATTCCCATTTTATCGCAGACATAGCTGTAAATTCCGACTCAATTAAGGATTTGTTTTTTTCCAGTGCATGGCAGACGGGAAGGGGCTGGGGCACCAACAGCACACGCCCTTTACGATGCAGTTGCTGCGTAACACAGGCTACAGTAACTCACCTGAGACCAGCGCACGTGCTGAGGCTCACATCAGAGTCTGGCTGTCCTTGCACCCGACCATGGTAATAGCAGTGCTCCTAAAGGCAAACAAAAGCATCGTGGTGAAACCACTTCTGCAGCATGGGATGGAGGTGGCCGGTCAGCTCATTGTCACCGCTCCAAGACGTTGTTTCTTGAGGGAATGATGAATAATGGTGAAATAATTAAATGTATACGGCATGAATAGGGGAAGCAGGGCGTCTCTGTCACAGTACTGAGCCAGCGATCCTGAGATCCACGGTTTACATCTGGGTATCAGCCACGAGTGACTCAGTTCGGTTCTCAAGTGCAGAGTGTTTATGGCCTCAGCCTGATCACTGTTGACCGCACAATAAAAATAAACCCCATCATTAAAAAACTGCTTTGAGAATCAAAAGTTTTGCTGAGATTGACACGTGATGAACACTCTTGGCAGGACATAAAAACGAATGGTGCTAGCATTGCGAGAGAGCACAGAAGTGGTTTAATATGTTCTTCTGTGGCTGTTCTCTTACACATGACAGTGTAAGCCAGTCCACTGTGATTAAATCAGTCTCAGCTGCAGCAAGTTAATGGTAATCGAATAAGTCACACAAAACAATCCCTATTCTTGGTTCTTTCGGTAAAGTCACGTAGAAGGGAAACAATAAAATAATAAAAATACAAAACAATAAAATTCTCACGACGTTTCGACTGCAACACAAGCAATCATCATCAGGTGTGAAAAACACAGCAAGAAAATGTGATGATGATTGCTTGTGTTGCAGTCGAAACGTCGTGAGAATTTTATTGTTTTATATTTTTATTATTTTATTGTTTCCCTTCTACGTGACTTTACCGAAAGAACCAAGAATATTAATCCCTGCAGTCACAAAAGCTTTAAATAAAAAACAATCCCTGTCGCATGAATTGTAATTCATTACACACTTTTACATTTTCACTAAATTACACACAGACGAGACCAAATATGTGTAATGTACGATCATCATAACGTATTTTATAAGAGTCCTGGTTAAAACAAGCATAACATAAATGGCAGTAGAATTAAATTAGGTCAATACAAAATGATGCACAACATAAAAACTATAAAAATACAATTTTAAACCCAGGAACATAATATAAGGGTTTTTAGTAGCTTAGAAAAAAAATCCTTGGAGTACATGTGTTCAAAACGCATTTCAAAAATGCCTTTGCAGTCAACATAAAGAATTAAGAAACGTATTCACTGGATTTCCAACTCAACGTTTAATTCAAGCAAGTGCCATTATGAACACAAAATGTGTTTGGAAAATCAATGGGATGGCTAAAAGTGTAAACAATACATCCTAAATTTCGATTTAAAGTGCAGGGATTCATATTCTTGGTTCTTTTGGTAAAGTCACGTAGAAGGGAAATAATAAAATAATAAAAATAAAACAATACAATTCTCACGACGTTTCTATTGCAACACAAGCGATCATCAGCAACAACATTTTCTTGCCGATGATGAAAATTGCTGTGGTTTTCACACCTGATGATGATTGCTTGTGTTGCAATCGAAACGGCGTGAGAATATTATTGTTTAATTTTTATTATTTTATTATTTCCCTTCTACGTGACTTTACCGAAAGAACCAAGAATATGAATACATCTTAAATGTGAACAGGATAACAATTTTTAAGTCATTTACACTTAAAAATAAAAAAATGAATGTGGTGGATTTGTTCTAAGTAGAACTAAGCTACACGTGACGAATTCCATTCAATTAGCCAGTGTTTTTCTATAGCAACAATACATCCAGACAATCCTGTAAAATCACACATAAATCACAACACACAAAACCAGAGACACTAAAACATTCTCAACGCGCACAAACACATTTTGATTCGACTATGCAGTTATCTCTCATTTCTAAATTAAAGCCTAGCGAGTGAAGACAGAGTAGGACAAAACACATTTTAAGAGTAAGGCAGACACATCGGATGACCGACACGTGGTGTTAGGCTGCAGGACAGCAATCTCAAGTGTGGGTCAGCATGAAAGAAAAACACAACCCATGAATTAATGAACTAACATTCAATATGAGAACGTTTCTCTCTCAGGCAGTTGACACGTACAATTTACTGGGGTGCACATCGAGCACACAAACACACGCAGAGCCTACTTTGCACAAGAAAATAATAACCCGATGTCCTGCCTTTGCGACACACTCCAACAAAGCAGAAAGAAAAGTGGCAGTGCAATTTCCTAATTCTCCACTTACGCACACATTTTATACATTGCGTACGAGGCAGTCTCGGGTTCTCTTTTTTTTGTGTTGAGCTTCATTCTCATTTGTCGGTCATAAACAGGAAGCGATTACTCCCCAAGACGCCGCTACCACCATCGGGCTGTGTGCTGAAACAGGAGAGGTGGAAGGGAATGTGGGAGGAGAGGCATGACCCCGGTTTAAAAAACACACCAGCCCCGTGTATACAGGAACACCCTCCACAAGCTTCGAGCAGCAGTTGCGAGGCAAAGGGAAGGGAGGCCCAGCAGGGCAACAGTCCCTTTTGGGGCAAGTGAAAGAAATGGTCGATGTTCAACAGCACTCAAGGGTGGAGCGGTGGCGCAATGGTTAGCGCAACGTGCTATGACCTGGCGACCTGAGTTTAATTCCCGGCCACGGACAACATCAGTGGCGAGTGATACCTGGGCATCCCGTTCACCATCCCACACTGACTAGTGTAGCGAAGTATAACCTAACAATGCCCATGAATTATATAGCATGCAGAGGCCATCATCCACCAGTGGATTGACAAATGACTGTTATTTATTTTTTTGTATTCAGTAGGAATGTAATATGTCCAGTTTGAATTCGGCAAGCAAAATGGAATGAGACGATGTACACATTCTAGATTTGAAGCTTTCGTGACTGCAAGGATTAGCTGTGACGGTCCCACCTGATGACAGAGACTTGTATTGCCTCCGAAACGTCGTGATTTATTATTTTATTTCTATTATTATTTCTACTATTTTATTATTTATTTTTATTTTTACCTGCGTGACTTTACCGAAAAAACCTAAGAGGATGTACACATTCTTTTAACATCACTATGCACGCCCCGATGCATGCCCCAATAAACATGCCGACGTTGAACCAGCGTTGCCCCAACGTTCCATGTGTATCGGGTTCTTGTTATTAAGGTGTTTAAAAAAAAATCTGATTACTGTAGTCTCAATTCAAAAACACTTCTTATTTTCACATATATTCATTGTAATATATATTTTGTTTATTTTGTGCCTCTACATATAAAATTGCATACACGCAAACAAATGCCGCTGGCTAACATTATTGGTCTGGAAAGTCCATGGGTTGATGGACTGAAGCTATTTTTATTTTTACGTGGAGAAAAGAACGGACGTTTGTTCATTGACTCTTTTACCGATAATGTGCCACCTCAGTGCATAATAGGGTTTTAAAAGAATCACAGTGAAAGATGTCTCAAAAGCAACGATCAAGCTAAGTGCTTTTCAGCAAGTACCTGCTGAAGCTGGCAGAGCACCAGTCTAGCTCGGCCACCTTTGTATCCCTGCTACTGATGTTGATCACACCACATTACGTAACCTTGTAAGGGAAGGAAGGGGGAAGGGGAGGGAAGGGGGAAGAGGAGGGGGTCCAGCCCAGGCCAGTTGTGCATCGCTGTCATAAATTGAACCCGGGTCACTAAGAACGGTGATCGGTGGCCTAAACTCAGGATGCATCAATGGGGCTTCTCCGCAGGGTTGCCAGGCTCACTCTCCGTGATCAGGTGAGGAGCTCTGTAATCGGGGAGAGCCCCAGAGTCAAGCCGCCGCTGCTCCTCCGGATCGAGGAGCCAGTTCGAGGTGGTTCGGGCACCTGGTAAGGAAGCCCCCCGGTAGACTCCCCCTGTAATTCTACCGGGAAGCACTTCCAACTGGGCGAAGACCCCGAGGCTGGGTAAGGACACGCTGGCAATGGGACTATGTTGCTCAGCTGGCCTGGGAACGCGTAGGAATTCCCCAGTAGTGTAGTGTATAGTAGTGTATATTGGTGGTGTATAGTCGTGCGTAGTGTAGTCGTGTTTACTGTAGGGCATAGTAGTGTATAGTGTAGTGTAGTCGTGTATAGTAATGTAGTGCTGGAATCTGTCGCCAGGGAAAGGGAGGTCTGGACCGCCCTACTCAACTTGCTGCTGCCACGACCCTCACCAGCACAAGCGGACTGAGAAACGAACGAACGGACGATGAATCAATTAAAGAGGTTTTCATTTGTTCACAATACATGCATTAAATTGGGAAGAGTAATCGATTATTTTATAATTTAATAAAGCATAAGTAATCGGATCATGTGACCTCTGCAGCTACCAGAGTTTCTCCATTCACTACAATAAATAAAAAATGATTCTCGTGATAAAATCACGACCCCTAATCATGACGAGTCTTCAAATCGCGAGGGAGGCAATTTGTTACATGCCTAGCACAAACCACTATGCGCCACTGTTCTACACGAAGACAACGATCGTCCATATACAACCTACACAGACTGTTGTAGTAAGTGCTGTTAGCGAGCACCTATTAAGGCCAGTGTGGCACACAAGGAGATGATGTGGCCAGCACCATGCCTGGCTGCCTTTGTCTCCCCCGTGCTGATGTTCTTACTGCACCAGACACTGATTTAAGGCGAGACTGTTCTTGCGTATGATGGGAATATGATCAGGAGCTAAATACCAGAGTCGAGGTCGGCTGGCCACGACAATAAGGCTTCAGAGGAGCGAGCGAGTTCATGTAGCTTTGCTATTCCTCCTCTGTTGCAAGAGGGCAGAAGACAGTGGTTTTCTATGTGGTCCACAGTTTGGGCTGCATGGCCGTAGAGTCGACTTAGGGGAAAATCCGAGCACCTGTTCCAATATTACTCACTCACCACCGATGTTCGCCGTCGCTGGGAGTTGACCTCTGGCAGCTGGGTCGTAGCGCGGCGCGCTAACCACTGTGCCGCAGGTCCTGATTTAAGTGTGTGCCCGGATGCACGTACGCGCTTTGGTTGGTAAACTGCGCAAGCAATGAAGCAACAATGCCTTCGGAGCAAACCTTCAATCACCCGGCAAACCCAAGAGGTTGGACAGTCAGTCTCTTGGCAGTAATTAGCCCAATGGAGACAGAAGACTGTCTCTAACTTCATGCTGCTGCTGCTGCAGCAAAAAAAAAAAGAGTGGAATTTGAGATAAAGGATCTGCCCTTGGCAGGGCACTCTTCAGATAACGCAAGGCAATTTGGCGTAACTTGTACGAACTGGACTTGTGTATCTTAGTGCCACTGTGTATGCGTATACAACATAACAGTAAGAATCATGCCATTTACTTTTCCAGGGAAGCATCGGAGAGTCTGAACACTCCTTTAAAGGAGGGTCCCGATGTTGGGAAACTTCCGTTGAGGGTGTACTATGCTTAGCTTCCGCGGTCTGATGAAATCGAGCACATTCAGGTTGATATGGTCATGGACCTGTGCCGCAGGAATGTGGAATTTCCACCACTGAGTTAATCGAGAAGAAAACCGATCAACACTCATGTGAGCAAAAGGACAGTTTGAGCGAGTATATGGTATAAATAATGTTAAGAATATGCTCTCCATTAATGCAAAACATTTAACTTTATTGTCAAGGAGATAAAGTACGAGTGTATTTGTATTTAAAACCGTATCACCGCAAATTCAGCCAATATCATCAGATGTCAAAAGCTAAGCTGAACAGAGCCTGGTTAGTGCTTGGATGGGTGATCAACAGTGCACACAATGCATGAGGCTTTGGGCTGTGATATGCCCAGGGGATGGCAGTAGAGCAATGAGCTCATATGGGTTGGATGTATTTAGTTGGCCTATAGATTGCATCCACCTGTGTGCCACTGAGTATTATCCCCTCGTACGTATGCATGTTGAACTTATTTCGCACCGTACATAGCGGACTGTGCTAATCGGAGGTGCGGGAGAAAGACAACAAACTAAACACAAAAAGGAGTCATAAATAAATTCGTTTTCAAACTAGATTTAAAATGTTCAACCTAGATGGTACGTTTCTCTGGTTACTCCAATGTCTGCTCACATGAAGCCAAATACTCATTAAGGCAATACCCTAACACCCCAATGTAGGCCTGACTTTGTGTCACTCTCCTGGGTGAACTAGAGGAGTAAACCAATCGTTATTATAAACATATATGTTTCTATACTCTTGGTTCTTTCGGTAAAGTCACGTGGAAGGGAAATAATAAAATAAAAATATATAAATTTAAATGCCCACGACGTTTTTATTATTTTATTATTTCGCTTCTACGTGACTTTACCGAAAGAACCAAGAATATGAATCCTTGCAGTCACGAAAGCTTTAAATCTAAATATATTTTTCGATACTCTTTGGTTCCTTCGGTAAAGTCACGTAGGTAGAAATAAAACAAAATAAATCACGACGTTTCGAACGCAACACAAGCGCCCGCCTTCAGGTGAAAATCGCGATAGCCGCGATGTCTGCTCCCCTGTGAAGAGAAGCTGTTACCAGCAAGAGTTTATAGAAGTTTTGAGAAAAAGGTAGCCGAAGTAGTGTTAATGGGGTATTATAGTGTAAAGGTAATAAATGGCGTGGCATCCCAGTGGACAGAGGTGGGGGGGGGCGGGGAAGTAAGGCGACTGGATTTCAAATCCACTGTTTTCAGCATTATATACCTGGATAATAGTACAAAGTTAATGAGCTTGCGTAGCGCATAAGAGACCAGATTAGCATGTAGGATTAGCATATGTAATTTGATGAGAGAGGCATGTAAAAGTTAATGAAAAAATTAGCAAGTTACTAACTTGCTTCTCTCATTAAAAACACATTCTCTCTCTCTCTCCCCCGAGCCGTTCTTATGCTAAGTTCATTAAATTTAACATGCCACGCTATTTATTACACAGACTTACATCGACTTGCTCATCTCTCATCGACTTTAACATGAAATTCCCATTAACTTCGCTCATTGACTTTGACATGCTTTTCTCATTAACTTTAACATGCTATTCTTGGTTACACATAGACTGACATTAAAGCTGTCTCTGGTGTGGACCAATCAGTTTCAAGAACAATGAATATATTATCAGAGTTTGTTTTTTGTTTGCATTCTGACCACAGGCATTGTGGCTAATGCAGACATGATTCCTTGTAAAAGGTTTCAGTTTGGTCTTTTAACGCCTCAACACAGCTGTTTTGTTGCAGAAAAAAGGGAAAAACCTTTTATTGTATGTTGAATATTAATGTGATGATGGCACTTTCAAAAGCAGATTTATAGATGTAAACCAAAATTAAATTTACTTCACTTGACGATAAATTTGTATTATGTTACACAGAAAAACATGTATATATGTGCACGCAACAAAGCCACAGGTTTGGAAAATAAAACGCAAGTACAAAAAGTATAAGGATAGCAAATATACTTTAGTTTCCAAAGTAACCAGGAACACAAACGCTAATAATGCATAAACTATTCGTGCACACGTGCGCTGCCTCAAAAAACGCTCACCTCTAATTCCTGCAGCCCTGAAATATAATCCAAAAGCATTATACTCCCAGTTCAATAAATAAAAAAGTAATTAAAATACAACAAACAAAAAACCCCACACACAATCCGATTCAAATTGAAAAGCTTAATCATGGCCAGTGGAGGTCTGGGTGGGCAGGGCTGGTGGGGGGGGGGCGGTCTATCGTCACCCACATGCCAGTTTGGCACAAGCTGTGCACACGCAATCACGTGGCACGCCACAAGCATGAAAAACAACCCTCTGTGTTCTTCCCCATTAATTTGCCTCGGCGAGTCACTTGTACAGTACTCTAACCAGCGAACCAAACCGCACTGGCACATTTGCCCTGTAGGATAGGAGCTGCCACCCATTGTGAACGTTCGTTTCGCTTCCCGCTCTTTCTTCCCAATGGCAGGTCCCCTGGCTCAAACTACCTTCGTCAGGTCCAATCTTGAACTTTCCACTTCGTTTCACTGTATGGATTTCAATCGAGATTTTAAGTTTGATGACGGACGCTTGTGTTGCGCCCGAAACGTCGTGATTTAATTTATTTTATACCTACGTGACTTTACCGAAAGAACCAAAGTGTATGGATTTTCTTTCATTCCTTCGAGTTGTCAAACGGCATCTTTCTTTTTTGGCCACTTGGCTCCTTTCCCAACTTCCCTAATCCTTACAGAACTTCCTTCACCAAGCCCTCACCTCTGAGAGTGTGCCCAATGCATATATTTTTGTTGATTTTTTCGCAAAGGCTATTCGACTTTTCGTCTCCTGAACCTGCTCTAGAATTTTGCATTTCTTTCAATCCATCTGGTTTTGTTAATTAACGCTGCTCGTAAATGGAAACTCAACTCCAGGCCTCGGCGTGTTGATGGATGGTTATCGCCTAAAACGATCGGCTACCCTCTGACAAGGCCTTTACAGGTTATAAAGCCAAGGTGCCTTACATAATGTAATGCTACTGGCACCTGCGTACGTACATACTCATGGTTTTGTAATGCCCTCCTGGTTGATAGAGTAAAAGGTAAATGTGCAGCCTTGCAATGTCTTGCTCAGGATCCTACCACCAGCAGATTAAGCTTTAGAGAGTGTATTTGGCCTACTCTTCCACACCGGTGAGACGTCTCGGAAAAAGGTGGGCCATACCCAAACGTTACCCCACCCAGGTTGGCAGATCTTGATCTCGCCTGGCCACACGGCGGTGGCTCCACAAAACCAGAACGCTGCTGTTCCAACCACTGCGACGAGTCGCTGACCGTGCAGCACCTCGATGTCACCCGCTGCTCGAGCAAGGCCCCTGCACTGTGCAGGGCCCTTGCAGCAGGCAAACCTGCGAGCGCCGAGATGCGCTCACCACTGGAAGGGCATTCGACTTTGACGGGCGGACGCGGAAAGAAGACCTCACCACATGCGATCAGCCGATCGACTCACTGTGGTGCACCCATTAATACTGCCAGAGTGGACAGAGGTGGGGGGGGGGGTGGGGAAGTAAGGCGACTGGATTTCAAATCCATTGTTTTCAGCATTATATACTGCGGCAACATCCCTGGTTCATAGATAAGGTGCTATTTTGTCTCGGCGATTTAACAAACCCCTTGACCCGGTTATTTCTTGTATCACTTACAAGTGTGTACGCTGTTGTGCGCAACGCGTCAACAAGATGCATCCGAGCGTGTACTGCAGCAGCAGTGAATACCTTCTCAAACACACACGCCAGGCTTTGTGCTCATGAATGTTATCGCACACTGCACTATCCCATAAAAACCAATGGTGCTTTATCTTCCAGGCACATTCGTATCAGCAGACAGCAGTTGGGTGAGCATATGGATGAGTTTGCCGGGGTAGCGGCTCTACAGTGGCTCTACAATGGACTTGTGCATGAGGCTGTATCTACACATAAGGTCCTATAGTCAATCCACTGCTGGATGAAGCCCTCCCTCCCTGCGCTATGCAGCACGTGGGGTTATTTGACCATACGTCACCACGCTGGCCAGTGCGGGTTGGCGAGGAGATCAATGTGGGAGCATAGACATACAACACAATGGATTTTTCTGCAATACCCACCATGTACTCCCACAGCCTATAATACCCATTACGCATGGTAGTGACCCAAAACAACACTATCCAAGCTCAACACTGCTGAGTTACCGAGCTCCAACAAGGTGCTATGGAGGAAGGGGGTGGCAGGGGGTGGCGTACAGAAAGTCGGCTGCTTCTGTACCAATTACGGAGCACTCACCAGGTCCTTTGGCTTCTGGGTGACCCGCGTGCCATTCGGCAGGTAGTAGGTAACGTCAAATGCAGGGCTTATCAAGTTCCTGTGTGAGAAGGGTAAGCAGAAGGTATCGACAAATCAAGACTGCGAAAGGGTTTCTATATTAAATAATGGCCAAGTATTATTTTTATCCAACTGGAATATTGCATCTCGAGGACTTATTTCATCTCAATAGGTCCCCCTGTACAAAGGCACGAGTTGGCAGTACCCAGCCCCATTTGTAACGCCAGAACCTCTGATGGATATTCCACATTTTCCTCATTTTTTAAAAAGAATTTGTTTATCTCAGACCGTTAACACAGAGACGGAAGATTGCACTCAGGTTTCCAGGTTGTAATGCTCACACAGTCGAACCTAAGATTTCTGATCGTAAGCACACAAGGTCTTATTTGTTAAGTCAGTTACAAAACACACACTGCTGCACAACTGTCAACTGGCTGACAATGAAAGCTGAGTCATCATTCAGCAATGACACCCTGCCTTAAAAACAGCTGATCTAACAAATGCGAGCCGCCCCTTATAATTACACATCCTGCTGTGGCTGATGCTAGTCTCAGCAGCATTGTGCATTCTATACCCTGGATGTGAAGTCACAATGAACTTACTCGTTCTTTTCCAGCTCAAGCACCAGTGTCTCCCCCTCAATCTCGATCTCAAATTTCGTGCTGTCCGGATGCCCCTCCTGAGGATAAATGCATCACACACAAACACATCCATCATAACATTGGCAGGCGGAAAGCCTAAAGGGCAATGCATTGCGAGACCAAAACCAAGCAACAAGAAAATGATTCAGGCGACTTCCCCATCACGGAGTAACGAGAGCGATAAGGGTCGATAGGAACCAACTGGAATATTTTGCATTCTAACACAAGCGGGCAAAACCCACCCATGTGTTTTTTCAACCAACACATCAATGGCAATCAAACATAATCCTGTCTGCACACAGCCTAATTTACCAACTGTAAACTACTCCACCAAAATCTGGTTTCGCTGCTGTCCCATGCACAGCCACACACACAAAACGTGGGCTGTGACATATCATAAATGGGAAAGCATGCGTAGGGTCAAATATTCCTGAATACGACCTATCTCATCACATCTGGGAGCTGTGCAGGGTTCAGCCTAATTAGTGCTTGGACAGGACACTGCTGGGTGTTGTAAGCGTGGGCTGCCACAAGATGGCCAGGAGTTGGCTGCGGTAATAAATTCTTGACGATGTGCGTTGTGTGTGTGCACCTTTTGAGTGTTACTCCCTCATACCTGAGATTTACCCAGGTACTCCAGGCTCCTCCCACATGTCAATCAATCTTTAACAGAAATGGCCAAACATACCCATGTATCCTAAATACAAGTCAAAGATTTCCTGGGTATATAAAAGACATTATTTTCATGACTGTACCAGACCAAATAACTCAAAACATTAAATCTCAGGAAGATAATTATAATCAACTGCCAAACATAAACAAGTATTTGCAAGCACATAAGCACTTTGAACAATTGTACGCAACTGGAAGTATCTTATGCAAAGTTCGTCATTAATATCCTGGACAGAGATAAATGGAAGGGCATGATCACCGACGTCTTTGAAAAAGGGCGTGCCACGTAAAGAGACCTAGAGAGTTGACAGCAGTGCAGCAGAATCTATTGTTGCACTATGCTCACAAACCCCACCTTCAACAACCCGCACCGACCAGCTGGCCAGCGTGGTGAAGAATGATCACATGACCTCCCCCAAAACCCACGTGGCATGGGGAGAACTGCATCACGGAGGTGTCGCACCACTCCCTCTCTGGGCCTGTTCTGAAAGTTATGTATTTTACCTAACCAGGTAAGGCCCACTGAGCTATATAGCTCTTTTTCAGAAGTAACATGGCCATCACAAATGACAGCGCCAAGAAAGTGGCTCATGATGTTGAAATTTATAATGGCCAAATACTCTAAACACATGTTGATTCTAAACGTGGAGGGGAAAAACCAAAGGACCGCAAGAAAAATCCACGCGACTACAGGGAGAGAGACACGCAAACTCCAAAGATACAGATAGCAGGTGTCAGGGTTTGGATCGAACCCGTGACCTCTTGCATACCAGGCGAAGTAGTTAACATCTCGTCACCGCGGCGCCCCACCATCCTGCTGCCCCCCCCCCCCCAACACACGATTTTTAGAGCAAACGACGCACGGCTGACAGGGGGCAGAGGGAAAGCTCACGTCGCTGCTTGGGTCAAGATACCGCTTGTGGCGGTCGGACACGAGGCGCGGCACCACGACGCTGAACTTCTCCAGCTCCTGCAGCTGCCGCGACCACCGGCCGCTCGCGCTCTCTGCACCAGGGAAAAAACAAAGAAACAACAGCGTTGCTCCAGCTTTAGTTTCGCCGCACGACACGGGCTAACCGACCATGACCACAGGCGAATAAAATAAAAAAACATCATCACAAAGACAAAGACACACAACGTACTTTATATGAAAACACAGCCATATGCTATGCCTATGACCAAATCGCCCACAATCATAGAGCCCGATCTCGACAGATCTCGGAAGCTAAGCAGGCTGGACAGGTGACCAAAGTGCATCAAACAGGGGTGTTGTAGGTGACTGTGTGGCTAACGTTGTTAGCAGAAGGCAGTTCAGAAAAAAATGTGTATACTGTACTATGCTCCCCACCTTCACCAACCCACACAGCCCAGCGTGATAAAGTATGGTAAAAAAAAAACGTGCGGCCCACACAGCACGGGGAGGGGCCATTGTGTGGCAGTGGCCTGTCAAAGGGCTGCATATCTACATTTATTATACACTGGACTTGGAGTTTTAACCTACTTCCCCAGATGAAATACCCCTGTGACAAAAATATATACAATTGGCGTTTAAATTTCGATTTAAAGCTTTCGTGACTGCAGGGATTCATCTTCTTGGTTCTTTCGGTAAAGTCACGTAGAAGGGAAGTAATAAAATAATAAAAATAAAACATAATAAAACAATTCTCACGACGTTTCGGCCAAACACCTCAGCCGTGGCAGATCACTGTTACAACTCAGTGGGCTCACATGATATTGACTTCTCCAAGACAGAGGTTCTCTGCAAGCCATCTGGCTATCATGAGAGATTCGTTCATGAGGCGATCCACATATACAAACACAGAGACAATTTCAACCGAGAAGATGGATTCTGGCTTAGCAATCATTGGAAGGACGTAATAAACCATTTCGGATCTTAACTGATTGTGTTCACGTTTACGGTGACTTTCAGACCGCTTCCACTCACTGGCATGGTGCAGTGTGCAGAGTAATGTATGGTGTCGTAATTGTATAGTAAACATATAGCAGTGTGATACACATTAGGGTGGGTAGAATAATACATAGTGTTACATTAAAATGGATAAGGCAGCAACTGCAGCAGCAGCAGCAAGTGCAGCAGCAGCAGTAACAGCAGCAGCAGCAACTGCAGCAGCAGCAGCAACTGCAGCAGCAGCAGAAACTGCAGCAGCAGCAACTGCAGCAGCAGCAGTAACTGCAGCTCCCTTTGATGCTGTTAATCCTGCATAATGCACATGAATATGCAGTACTAATCACATTCCTGCATTTCCCATAAATATGCTAAATTCCTTTTGATATGCAAATTCCTTTGTCAATGCGCCCAGCTTATATATATATGCTCCAAGCTCGTGTGCTGTTTCATTCAGACTCTGTCGCCCCGACGGACCTGGTTTTCACCTGAGGACGACTGCTTGCGTTGTGGCCGAAACATCGTGAGAATTGTTTTATTATGTTTTATTTTTATTATTTTATTACTTCCCTTCTACGTGACTTTACCGAAAGAACCAAGAAAATTGGCGTTTACCCAGTAAACAATGCAAGGGAATAAACCAACCCCAAATGGTTACTCAACTAACTTGTGTTGATGGGAAATGAGAAATGGTGATGCAAACAATGATCAAATACATGGACAAGCCACAGCAAGTTGGGGAGCTTTTGCAACACTAAACTTCATAATGAAACGCACCTTACTGATGTGCCTAAAGAAGAAATCAATCATTCAGTGCACACTACCCTGCTATGACACACTATCCTGTTATGCATCAGAAACATGAACATTGACATAAAGAATGGAAACTAATTGAAAGGTGGGCAAGAAAGCATGGAGGGACGAAGATGCATGCTCCGGAATTACACCGAGAGACAGAAATAGGAGCACACGGATCGAACGGAAGTTAGAGACATCATATTGACTACCAAGCAAAGCAGGTGGACTGGGGCAGGACACATAATGGTGTGAGAGGAAAATGGCTCGCGGTTTGGATTGGTGATTGAATGGCAGCCAAGTCAGAGAAACGAACCTGTTGGATAATTCATCCCAGTGCTCCACTCGGGGCAATCAATCTCAGGCACTGTTGCTTCTAGAAGCGAGAGATGTTGTTGATAAATAACGCTGCCGATGAATGGACTGGAAGACGTGTAAGCATTATTAGCGTGCGTCTAATTCTGGATGGTAAGGTTCAAGGCATGATGGGGTGGTCGGGCATCGCGGCCAGCAGCCTTTGTATCAGTAGAGCTGGCACACACACACACACACGCGGTGCCCCTATTCAAGCACAGCCAACATGACCTAACATAATTTAGAGTGGCATCAGTGAGCAATGGCTTCACACTGGCAGGGGATCCCATTGCTGGGCTGGGACTTCAATTAATGACCATTGTAAATCTTACGTCCATGGTTCCACTCAACGCGTCACAGCAGGTAAGAGAAACTGAAAGAAAACTTTAATTTTTAAATAGACTAGTTATGATGAAATTCATTATCAAATTTTTATTCAACGGAGAGATGCATGCTCAGAATTACACTGAGAAAACAGCGGTGAAATACGTGGATCTGAAGACAAATGCAAATTTGGGACACTGCAACGTTTGGGCAGGACACACGGCGAGACGGGATGCCGGCGATGCACGAGTTTGATGATAAAATGTCAGGAAAAAGATGGAACACGCCCAAGAGGTCAAGCATCACAAAGATGGAGTGACAAGAATCGCTCATGTGCAGGAGTGACGTGGACCGTGGAATTGCAAGGACCGTCTGGGATGAGAAGATGACATCGTGAGGCCTTCATCCATCAGTGGATAGAACAAAGCTGATAATGATGGATAGCTTGGGATTGTTTTTGCTTGATTATTCTTGTCCATGTATGCTTGTCTTGCCAAACTAGGCGACAGCCGCTTCATCGGCAGTGTGGTGAGAAGGCCGAAACATCCATAATAAGCACATTTTCTGCTCCTACGATGTAAATATTCGTCACACATTTCATTATAGGTTTGTGAATCAAGTTTATCGAGTCAAAATAACATTCTTATGTTGTGGAAAGAGATTAATTACAGGGTGTGTCTCTATATAGTATTGAGAAGTTGAATATAAATGGTTATCGTTCAAGTATGTTGAACTTTTTTCACAGCATACACAGCCCACCGTGCTAATCGGAGGGGCGGGGAAGGACAACAGTACACACACCAATGCTTTGTGTGCCAATGTTGATCCTAATAGGTGTTCACTAACTTTCCATACAATTGTATGTGCACATGCAGCATGTACAGTCCCTTTTTGTAAATTCACTGCTGGATGAGGGCCTCCCAACACCTGTGCAGGTTGTATCATGTGACCAAAACTTCACCACGTTGGTCAGTCCGAGTTGAATACAGGGAGCATAGATGTGGAAAAGTAGTGTACAATGATGGATTTTGCTGCATTTGCTCTCTGCCCACCACAACGCTGCACCAACAGCTGCCTATGACGGTTTAGCTGCTGTGAATGGTGATCACCCATTGCAGTACTCTTGGCTGTGTACTAAGGATGGGTCGTTCTTTTTCCGATTATATATTTATACGAAGTACAGCATTAATCTGTGCTTATTTGAATTAATATAACAAAAATACCATGGACAGACAAGACGAGTGTAATAAATGTTTGACGGATAGCGGGTATGCAAATAATGTGAATAAGAATGATTAGAGAAAGGCGAGTTAGATTTCCTGACACAGGAAGTAAGACTAGGCCCATGTTGGCCTGAGGATTTCCTCATTACATCAGCAATGAAAATCCACCACACCTAAGTGCATAACATCACAGAAATAGCAGCTCATCATGCAAGAGAACAGTAAGTGAAGTGCACCCTAAGAATTTACCCGAATTGAGTAGGGTTCTGGAAAAACAACAAAGTTATAACCCACAGATATATGTATTAAAGAAGCCCATGCTAGCTTCATTGGAACAATTTTCAATTCACTTTTAATAGTTCTCATTCTATCACCTCCACACAGATGGTCGGGACAATCGACTGGACAGTTTAAATGTAATCCACTTAATCAACCTACTCTCAAAAAGGCTACATTTCGGACAATGTTCTTTGGAAGATTATCAAGCTTTTCCAGGATCATCCCTCAGGTATCTATGCCAATCTGCGAGTGTCTTGATGTGATATCTGGGCGGTAAAATTGGTACCACTCTGTAGGACAGCAGTGGTTGTCCGAAGGGGTTCTGACAGACTTGTGAAAGTTCAGAGGAGTTCGAGAGGCGGTGACAGTACCGAGCCAGCGCTGCTGAGATCCTGGCTCTAAACCCAATTGAGTAAACTTGAGATCCTCATGAAGCTCCCAGCAAGTGGAGCGGAACGTCGGACATCAAGCCAAAAACACATCGGGCGAGCTATCCAGCAGAGACGAGACACCGCCAACAATGCATAAACAGACTTCATACGTTTCGGTGTTGTGGTTAAGTCGTGGGCAGGAGAGGGCTTTGAAGCAAAATCCATTATTGTACTGCGCTTCGATGCTCTTACGCCTTCAACAATCCACACCGACCAATGTGGTGAAGTGTGCTCAAATAACCACCATCCACCCTCCCTGTGTGGGAAGGCCCTCATCCAGCAGTGGATTGACCAAAAGGGGCTCTCTGTACGTGTACCATGGCTTCTCAGGTCGTTCGCAATGTATATTTTTACCATCCCAAACGCAATTTCAAAAGTATACAATTTTATACTCTTTGGTTCTTTCGGTAAAGTCACGTAGGTATACAAATATTAAATCACGACGTTTCGGATGCAACACAAGTGTCCGTTATCAGGTGTGACAACCACAGCAATTGTTTCTACCCACGTGACTTTACCGAAAGAACCAAAGCGTATGGATCCCTGCAGTCACGAAAACTTCAAATCTATACAATTTTACTTTCCATCAGTTTTGGCGGCTGAGGCCCCCATTGGCACAAATTTAAACGAGGTCACGCGCTCCAGGGGCTGAAGCCAGCCCGAATGCCACCCCGAATGCCAACCCCATCTACCTTTAACATGGAACTCGTCAAGACATGGAGATGTGTAAGAATAGGTTTTACACTTTCTGGGAATAAAACATCTGTGTTAAGATTTTGATTTAAAGCTTTCGTGACTGCAGGGATTCATATTCTTTGTTCTTTCAGTAAAGCCACGTAGAAGGGAAATAATAAAATAATAAAAATATAAAACAATAAAAAAAATGCTCACACCTGATGATTGCTTGTGTTGCAGTCGAAACGTCGTGAGAATTTGTTATTGTTTTATATTTTATTGTTTTATTCCCCTTCTACGTGACTTTACCGAAAGAACCAAGAATACAGGTGTTAAGATGTTAAAACACCAAACAGAAACCTTTTGCAAGGAATCATGTCTGCATTAACCACATGCACTTTTGGTGAACATGCAAACAAAAACCATGCTCTGGTAGTAGATGATGCCTTGTCTTTGTAACCGACTGGTCCACGCCAGAGACAGCTTTCTTTAGAGCCCAGTCTCAACTAGTGTTAGACCAGAAGACGCCAAAAGGCGACCAGCACAAAGACAATGCCACTTGTCAGCACATTGACAAGCTCGGGGTGAGCAGCTACATCATGGGACCCCCCTTGCCACTATCAAAATATAATAATAGGTTTCACCCTGATAATTGGCAAATGAGGTTCCAATGAGGTTTCACCCTTTCTGGAAAAATAAAACAACAGGTGCTAAGATGTTAAAACACCAAACAGAAACCCTTTTGCAAGGAATCAATAACATCAGAGCTGTGTTTTTGTTTCCACATTCGGCACAAGTACGTGCCGTTGACATAGACATGATCCCTTGCAAAAGGTTTTTGTTTGGTGTTATACCATCTTAACACCTGCTGCTTTTTTTCGATTTAAAGCTTTCGTGACTGCAGGCATTCATCTTCTTGGTTCTTTCGGTAAAGTCACGTATAAGGGAAATTATGTTTTATTTTGTTTTATTTTTATTATTTTATGATTTCCCTTCTACGTGACGTTTTATTTTTATTTTGTTTTATTTTTCATAATCAACGATTTTTGGGTTTTGATCGCGTTTATTTATAAATGTGTCGTAACCCTCCACCACCCGACACGGCCAATCAGTAAAAAATGTGTCACGTTGACAAAGACAAATAGTTCACTGCTTTAGCCCACCGGTGTGTTGAAGCAACAACATTCACAATTTGAGTACGACGTTTCGCTGGTAATTACAACCAGCATCATCGGGCAATTCGCCAGAATGGTGAGGCTCTCCTGTGTCTCCCGTTCTTATATAGAGCAGCAGCAGGATGACGTCATCATTAACTCATTAACTCATCAGGTGCAAAGATTCAAGGGGGGAGTGATTGTAATTATATACTAGATTAGTAATCAGGCTATTGTTACGATGCGAGTTGTAGATTAGTAATCATTTGGAATGTGTTTTATTGTGATTATGCTACATTAGTAATCAGTTAGTGGTTGTTTCCCTTATAAGTAATTGTAATGTATCTTATTTAATAATACGCTTCCAGGCCGCACTAAGCCTGTAGCTGTCTGAGCGATTAAAGTTATTTCTGTTTCTCTCAATTTCAATCGATTCTCTAATTAGTCTTTGCCAGTAGTAACTAGTTTTACACAACACTTCCACGTTGTCAAAATCAATTGAGTGTCCCTGTTGGCATGCATGTTCTGCTACTGCCGACAGTTGTGTTTGTGATAGTTTAATATTTCTCTGGTGTTCTTTTAGTCTTACACTAACGTTACGCCCTGTCTGTCCAATATAGCATCTGCCACATACACAATTAATCCGATATACACCTTCTGTTGATAATTTAGGTAATTCGTCTTTAGTGCACGTTACTAGTTGTTGAATTTTGTGTACTGTACCAAATCTTACTGTAATGTTTTGCTTTTGCAAAACATTATTATTTCCCTTCTACGTGACTTTACCGAAAGAACCAAGAAGAAGACCTGCTGCTTTATTGTCAAAAAGGGTAAAACCGATTTTCACATCTTGATACTGGCAAGGGAGGTCCCACATGATATGAAGTTTCGTGCTTTGCAGGAGGGTCGTTGCACGAAACGTCGCCTATTCCGTGTGCCGTACCCCCCTTCGAAGACGGTGGCTACCGGCAAATGCGAGTTTTCCAAGCACGAAGCTGCCACGCCGGCCATCAACGCATCACCAAATCAATGCCTCACCTTGAGCGTGCTCCTCGAGGAGCTCCGCGCTGGGGACGCCCTCCGCGCTGGGGACGTCCTCCGCGCTGAGCCCCGCGCACAGCAGGCAGAGAAGAGGCAGGGCTCGGAGTGAGGCCATGGCGAGTCGTGGAGCTCCCTTCCTGCTCCCCCTCCTCCTCCTCCGTCAGTGGCACAGAGATCTCAGGCCAATACCAAGCAAGAGGCAACAAAACGAGCGATTTGGGGGGGGGGTCGGTTTAGTCGCTTCGACTTAAGCGAAGAGTCGTGGGGAGTGCAACTTCACTCGATAAGCCGCAGAATGACATCCCACGGTGGGCGGCGGCGGTCGAACAAACTTAAAAAAAAATAAAGTTTTACGTTTCGGTTAAAACGAGCTTTCGTGGATGTGTTGTTGTTGTTGTTGCTGCAATGAAGAAAGCGAGACGCTTTTGGGTGTCCGCTTGGGTTTGCAGCTCGGCTTTTGCGACGTCAACAACAACAACGACGATGATGATGACAGAGGCAGCAGAGATCGGTCGGAGGTTTGAGCTTGTGAGCAGCGTGCGCCGCGTGTTGGGTCTGTGGACTCTGCGCCACATTTCCTGCCCCGCTGCCGCCGCCCATGTGCCTCTCTCTGCTCACTCGGATTTGTCCACCCCCCACCACCCGGCCCCTCCCCCACCCGGCCCCTCCCCCCCACCCGGCCCCGCCCCCACCCACCACCACCCCCCACCACCCCCCACCATCCCCCCACCCACCCGGCACCCCCCCCCAACCACCCCCCCCACCCGGCCCCCCCACCCACCACCCCCGGCACCCCCCCCACCCGGCACCCCCCCCCCACCCGGCACCCCCCCCCCAACCACCACCCCCCACCCGGCCCCCCCACCCACCACCCCAGGCACCCCCCCCCCACCCGGCACCCCCCCTCAACCACCACCCCCCACCCGGCCCCCCCACCCACCACCCCAGGCACCCCCCCCCACTCGGCACCCCCCCACCCGGCCCCCCCACCCACCACCCCAGGCACCCCCCCCCCCACCCGGCACCCCCCCCCAACCACCACCCCCCACCCGGCCCCCCCACCCACCACCCCACCCCCCCACCCGGCACCCCCCCCCCCACCACCCCCCCACCCGGCACCCCCCCAAACCACCCACCCCCCCCAACACCCCCCCCAACCACCCGCCCCCCCACCCACCACCCCACCCGGCACCCCCCCACCCGGCACCCCCCCCACCACCCCCCCACCCGGAACTTTGTTTTAATGCAACGAAAACTCCTTCCCACCTTTTGTTTGCTTTGGCACCGCCCTCCCGAATTGGTTGCGAGCTCAATTGGCCCTGCGGGCTAAGCAACGCCACTCATTTTGCCCTTGTTTATTTCTCAACACACGATAGTTTTATTTTATTTTAAATGTTTTTGTAACTTCTCCCATCAGGGCCACACAGCCTCATGGCAGTTTTTTACTTGAAACTTTCGTGACTGCAGGAATTCATATTCTTTGGTTCTTTCGGTAAAGTCACGTAGATATAAAAATAATACAAATAAAGTGAATACAAATATAATCAATGTAGACTGTAGCCTGGTTCTTAATCTGAGTGAGTGTCGTGGCAGTCTATAACGTAGACTGTAGCCTGGTTATTAAATTTGGTGAGTGTACTGGCAGTCTATAATGTAGACTGCAGCAATGGTTATTAAGCTGTATGAGTGTACTGGCAGTCTATAATGTAGACTGTAGCCTGGTTCTTAACCTCGGTGAGTGTACTGGCAGTCTATAATGTAGACTGTAGCCTGGTTTTTAACCTCGGTGAGTGTACTGGCAGTCTATAATGTAGACTGTAGCCTGGTTTTTAAGCTGGTGAGCAGCAGGGACGTGCGGTGAGGGGAGGCAGGGGAGGCAGAGCCTCACCTGTCATACTCCAATGAAAATAGCTGTGACGAAAATAAGAAGAATAAAATAAATATTAAGATTTTCCACTGATCTGTGTTATAAATGTAATTTCTGTACGATTCCAATCATTTTTATAGTAAAAATCGCCGAATTTGCGAAGCTCCGCTGCAAATACAGGGAGACACGAGAGGTGAGGCAGCGACGAGCTCAGCCTCCCCTCTGATTGCGCAACCCCTCAGTAACTGGATGGAGCGCGGGCAATAAGCGCGTGCCTGTTACTATCTCAGTATGTCACCAATGTAATGTTTGTAAACCCCTTCATTTCATGTCCTCGCCTGCCATACTCCAGGTAACCTATTTCACGTATGTGTACAAAGATATTTAGGCTCGCTGGTCTCGTCATGAAACTGCAATGAAAAAGCACCAGGGGAGGCAGCTATCACATCTGCCTCACTGAGGGGGACGTGTCAGACACGCCCCCCTCAGTGAGGCCACGCCCCCCTCAGTGAGGACACGCCCCCTTCAGTGTGTGAATCTGGCTCTAACACTAGCCAGTGCCTTCCCAGCCATTTACCTCACCGCACGTGACTGATTGGCAGTCTATGATGTAGACTGTAGCAATGGTTATTAAACTGAGTAAGCGTCCTGGCAGTCTATAATGCCGCGACTGTAGCCTGGTTATTAACCTGAGTGAGCGTACTGGCAGTCTATAATGTCGACTGTAGCCTGGTTATTAATCTGAGTGAGTGTACTGGCAGTCTATAATGTAGACTGTAGCCTGGTTATTAAGCTGGGTGAGCGTACTGGCAGTCTATGATGTAGACTGTAGCAATGGTTATTAATCTGAGTGAGCATACTGACAGTCTATAATGCAGACTGTAGCCTGGTTATTAATCTGAGTGAGTGTACTGGCAGTCTAAAATGTCGCGACTGTAGCCTGGTTATTAACCTGAGTGAGCGTACTGGCAGTCTATAATGTAGACTTCTTATTTAGTTCTTTCGGTAAAATAAAAATAGAAAAATAAAAAGCAAAAACCACGACGTTTCGATCACAACACAAGCGATCGTCTTCACTTTATTTTTCCGTAACTTTAATAACCAAAGAATAAGCTTCCTGAAAGTGCATTCTAGGAGGCAGCATTGGTTGAATACAAACTGGACCGGTTGCGACACGTCGTTCTGTCGCATCTAAGCCACACAATGTGATGACAATTAATACTCCTTTGCCCGTGTTTATTTCTCAACACACAAGTATTTTGTTTAAGTTTTTTTGACGTCTCCCACCGGGCCACACAGCTTCCTGACAGTACATTCTAGGAGGCATCATTGCTTGAATGCAAACAAACGGGACCGGTTTCGACGCATATCGTTCTGCAAGCATCTAAGCCAAAAATACGTTGACACATAACACATCATATTCTTGGTTCTTTCGGTAAAGTCACGTAGAAGGGAAATATTAAAATAATATAAATATAAACAATAAAAATGTTCACGACGTTTTGACTGCAACACAAGCAACCATCATCAAGTGTGAAACGTCGTGAGAATTTGTATTGTTTAATATTTCTATTATTTTATTATTTCCCTTCTACGTGACTTTACCAAAATAACCAACAATATGAATCCCTGCAGTCACGAAAGCTTTAAATCAAAACATAACCCATCCTCCTTTGAACCATATTTTTCTCAACAAGCACACGCACAAGTATTAATTTGGGGGTGTTTGTGTTTATTTTTTTAAACATCCCCCATCTGCCACAAGACCTTCTGAGAGTGCATTCTAATCAGTAGCGTTGGTTGAATTGCAAGCAAACACTGGACGGGTCTTATCGTCTGAGTCAGGATTGCTTTTTAACCAACGCTGACTGTGCCATAGCCCCCCATTTGAGGTGCCCGCCCTCTTAAACAAGGTTACGCAACAGGGTGGCAGTAATAGTACTTGTTTTCTCTCACATAAAGACGATTGCTTGTGTTGCGATAGAAACGTCGTGATATTTTTATTTTTCTATCTACGTGGCTTTACCGAAAGACTCATAGAATATGTATTCCTGCAGTCACGAAAGCTTTAAGTCAAGAATATTATTTGTTTATCCAGGGAAGCCTCAACGAGTCTCAAGCCTATATTTCAGCAGGGTCCTGCATTAGGATGTTTGGTTACAAAAACACAGTATTTTTTATAGGAGTGTTTGCATGGGTGGACCACTGTGCACAACCACTTTGCCATAGGGCTACGGGGCTACATGGGTGGGCAGTGGATGATGAACAATGGATTTTGCTGCACTGCACTTCTATGCTCCCCTCCTTCACCAAGCCTGTACTTACGAGGGTGGTAAAATATTGTCAGATAACCCCTATGGCCTGCACGCCGTGGGCATGTTGTAATCCATCAGTGGATGGACGAAAGGACTGCACGTGTACTCCGAGAATGTCCGGTGGGTGTGTGTGTGGGAGAGAAAGCCAGAGAACGCCCACATCTCGCGAACACGAACAAACATGTTAGGTCCCCTTGAGACTAAAAGACTGTTTTAGAGGGGAGAACGAGATGACAGATCAGTAACAGTGCACATGTAGGTGGTACAATGTGATAGCAGAATAATAAGCGGTAAATTAGGCCACTGTTAACCTTTTGAAAATGAGAAGTGGGTTTAAACTGTTAGCACGCATTTTCCCCAGCATACACAAGTACAGGGTGGTTCAGATGTCTTGTGACCCCTATTTAATTCTGTAAAACTTAAATACAAATTTTAGTTAGGCTAATTTAAAACAGAAATGAATATGCAAAGGAAAAACCTGTTTGGGATAAATTAATTGGGGGGTCACAAGACATTTTGTGTAAACTAACAGCTGGTACGATATCCTCAACTTAGAACAAAACTAAACCATCTCTTCCAATAGTGTACACGTTTTTAATAAAAATGTAACTGCAGTAACATACATTGCAGATGGAATAAGGTCCCATTCAAAAGCACTTAACCTCCATAGTGATAACGTAACGGGAGGATCTACACCCACATTAGGCAGCCAGGTCAAAAGGTCACTCAACCTAAACTATTATCATTGGATTTCTATATGGCGATACAGAGCGCATGTTGAATTTTACTTGATTCAGATCAAATCGAGCCGGCTTGTGTTCTTGTCATGTGTTTTTATTTATTTATTAAAGTGCCCTCCTACTCAAACGATCATTTGGTGGCCGAGAAAGTAGGGGAAAGTCCATATTCCTATGGCAGGGGTCAGTTTATCCAGATGACGATTTTGGATCGCTGCTTTTTGTGCACAAAGTGAAGTTATTTATACCCAACAATGCATCACTATTTTTGTTAAGGAAGGTCCTGTACGTACATACTTAGATTTTCTAAACCCCTACAGTGTATATCACCACGGTTAAATAAAGATCTAAGAACGCGGCCAGTCATTAAAAAAATAATTTGGGCATATGAACCTTATGGCAGGGACCCCGGGGTCCCATAAGCCCCCGGCTCTCGCATAAACATATAATGTAAACAAAAAGTTGCTGTTTTCACCAATGAGTTTGAAGGATGGTGGAAAGTACATATGCCTTAAAAACTGAAAACTACTAACCTGCACTACCTCTATTTAAATAGACTATCGAAAAAAAATTACACCCCTCTGTCAATCATCGTGTTTCTCAGTGTGGATCTGTGAACACACTTTGTAAACAGCACATAAAATAGTACGTGTTTTCAATGCGCTGTTCTTATTGTAACAATCGTGTTATATACCAATGTTACTCTACAGAGTAGTGGGTCGCCGCACCTCTTATCCGCATTGATACGAGCGGTATGTGGAAGCTATGGCTTAACCGCAAAAAAAACCTATCTGCACAGATGCATCCAGACAAGATAAGTATTATTTAACACGGAGGCTTTCGCGACCAGTATTATTCACAATAAAGGTTTTTGGGTTCGATCGCGTGATTTATAAATGTGTCGCAACCCTCCACCACCCGGCACGGCCAATCAGTAAAAAATGTGTCACGTTGACAAAAGACAAATGATTCTAGATTTGAAGCTTTCGTGACTGCAAGGATTCATATTCTTAGGTTTTTTCAGTAAAGTCACGTAGGTAAAATTTTTTAATTAGCTACCACTCCGTGGTATATACGGAGTGGTAGCTCTTGTAATCTCTCATTTACTTGATACAACTGTCGTGGTTGTGACGGTTCCACCTGAAGACGGAAGCTTGCGTTGCCTCCGAAACGTCGTGTTTTTTATTTTATTTTACTTTTATTAAGTGTAATTTTTTTACCTACGTGACTTTACCGAAAAAACCTAAGAATATAAAAAGACAAATGGTTCACTACTTTAGCCCACCGGTGTGTTGCAGATTGGATCAACAACATTTACAATTTAAGTAGTACGACGTTTCGCTGGAAATTACATCCAGCATCATCGGGCGATTTGCCAAAATAGTGAAGCCATCCACCTGCATCCAGTCTTCTAATAGTGCAGGATGACTTCATCATTGTTGAACCCCATCAGGATTCGAGATCATGACACGACAACAGAACGATCTACGGCCAGGTGGGTCGCAGCGTTTATGTGCGCGGTGGGACGGAGTCGCCAAAAAGAAATGAATTCATTACGATTTTGACTTCCGTTTATTCGGGACCCCGGGGTCTCGCCATGAGGTTCATATGTTGCTTCTAAATGTTTTGGCCTGTCATAAGTTTACGCCACGAGTAATCAACTGCAGTACGGTAACACATTCCTGAGCTGGTAGGAACGTTGGGTTGCTCGGTCAATGGCCTGCAGGGTCAACAGCGGCGTGGTGTATTCCGCAAATATGCCCGACTGTGAGGGCGGGAACAAGCCGGCGTGAGTAGGTTAAACGTTGAGTTTTATAAGGGCACCACGGGGTGACCAGCCCCTCACCACCCAGCCCCACCCCTCCCACACCCCATCCTCCCCACCCAGCCCCTTCCTCCCCACCCAGCCCCTTCCTCCCCACCCTTCCCACCCAGCCCCTCCCCACCCAGCCCCTCCCCACCCAGCCCACCCAGCCCCTCCCCACCCTCCCCTCCCCACCCAGCCCCACCCTCCCCACCCAGCCCCTCCCTGCACGACGGACGGACACAATAACCCCCTGTGGGCTAGTGGAACCAGTGGGTTCCTACCAGTATTCACATTTTACTTGTGTATGCACGTATGCGCAAGTGTATGAGAATTCACCAACATTGGTACAGCGTTATCTTTTGAAATACAAATGCGCGCCGATTTATTGTTCGACTCGATTAATTGTATATTTCAACCCAACATTCAAGACTGCTTAATCAATTTATTGTTGCAGTGGTGACAATAAACAAACACGCCACCCAGATTATTCATAAGAGCTTGTAAAGGACAACTACTATAACGTAATAAATGTGTAGTAAATGTGTCATAGAGAGGCACGGGGTGCGGTGTATTGACATCGTGGACACCTCTAAGATGTGGGTGTAGTACCGGCCCTAAAGGAGCTCGGTCAGCACTGAGTGATCGCGCTGGATGGCACCACGCTTGGCGTGCAGTACCAGCCCCTACAGGATAGGGTGTGGAAGTGCCGTCCATAGGAACGGGGTTACTAAAGGCCATGGCACTCCGGTTGACCAGAGAGGACACGTGACCGGTTAAGTCTACCAAGGGCCCCAGGTGGGGGCTAGGGGTGGTCACGTGGTCCGGGTAGAGATCCTGCTAGAGGGTTCTGGAAGGTGGGCGTGGCCAGGGACGGAGCCGGCCACATCACAGAGGATACAAGCCGGGTTCACCCTGAACCTTCGTCTCCGTCCTACAGTCTCCAACACGTGAACATGAGCCAAAACTGTGGACCGGTCCATTGTAGCTAGTTACGGTATAATTAGTGTAGATAGCCTGGTGGTCACCACCTGTAAAGGGGCAGTTACCCCGTGTGTTGGTGTTAATAAATGTGTTGCCTTCAAAGAGTACGTCTGCGACTCAGTTGAACTCACTACAAATGTGTAAATGTATTGGGCAATGCATTGCATAAACGAGAATTAAAGACACATTTCACTCGCATACAACCACAACCCTAAACCATGTTGTCTATTACTGTATTGTGCACCAATGTAGTTACAACAAAAGTGAATTACTGTGACCAGCTATTTATATTGCAATTCATTGTATGTGTGATCAGCTGTTTTATAAAAGTGAAACTAAACACCAAAATTCATGGTATAAACGTATTCTGTTGGGAGAAATCTGATGAGAGCTGGTTAATGTTGATATGTATGATAAACTTCGGAATAGGCGCCACCTATTGGTAAATGTCATTAAGAATAACTGCAGTGCAACACTCAGCATGGCATTTAGCAGTGTCAGTAACCACAACTTATGTAAATAAATGATTCATGAAAAAACTCTCGCACACGGCAGGGTTGAAAAACACAAGTACCTTTAGTATTCTTCTTTTATTTTACACTACAATTCACGTAGATGCTTCACTCATTTGCACCCACAAAGTAAAAAAAACGCACACAAAAGCTCCAACGCCAATGCGTATTATTTACAGCATTGTGATACACGAGTAAAATCTGAAAAGAAAAAAACCGAACTCCCAGGTAGTTAATGTGAGCTACCTGAACGCATATGGATTGCTTACATTCAGCCAAAGCACATTAATCTGAGCGACAACCAAGAAAGCAAATATACAAGTTAATTATAAATGGCACAAACATCTGCAAAGTTTATTGCATAACGCTTATACACGCTTAATTATTTTATCAAGAAATGACAATGTTTTCAAATATTTAAGTGGTAATAAAAATGGAATTAAAGTATTCACAAACATCTGAATTCTTTTACAAATATAAACAAACCTGTACCAGCCAAATAATTAAGTTCATCTAACAGCAATACCGAGTGTGAATGCTTAAATAGCACGAGATTCAGCGTTTACATTTTAATTACAAAATATTTTATACGCCTTTGACACAATGCAGCCGTTTATATAAGCAGACTTCATACTTGCAGAGGCGACTCAAAATGTTGAAACCTTAAAATGTCTATCTCTTTATTAAAGTCGCCAGCAAGAATATCATAGTAAATTTTGACCTTACAAAGGTGTAATTACATTTATGACTGCAAAACGCTTTACTAATTGGTGACAATACTCAAGTTTTTTTTTTTTACAGAATATACCATATGCTTAGCTTTTTAACACTCCACCGAAATCCACTCTCATGAAGGGGCATTCATTGTTATTCTTGCACGAGGCACTTTTATCTGATGTCAGTGCATGCAGAACAGTGTTATTACTGTTCCCAACAACGCAGTTAAGATGTTTTTGTCCACCAAATACCATAAACAGTGCCACCATATGCACCAATGAAATGTTCAAACAATCTGGATGAGAGGGCAATCACAGGCGTGTTACATCAGTGTTGCACCAGAGATGAGAATGTGAAAGCAGTGTGTAGGATATGTCCTGATACCTCAATGACTGGTATGGCTGATGTGCAATGCATTTTTATCTAAACTTAATATTGAATACTTTATCCGTGCCCAGCCAAAGCGGTGGTCCCAATAACAAATGTCCACACGAATATGCATCTATTTGGTAAATATATTCACTCTTACAGGCAAGTCTTAACAGCACCTTCAGCAAAACATATTTGTAGCTTGAATACCAATCCCAAATATACAAATACATGCTACGTTTCCCTAATTCATGTAGGTAGAGGTGGATATACCTCACAATATTTTATTTTGTAATACATTTCAAAAGACAAAGTGACACAATTGAAGGGCTGGGAGTTCAATTCTCATTTGGAGATCACATCACCCTATCAGCGTCCATCAATCATTATCTATCCACTGCTGCATGGAAGCCTCCCCAAGCCATCACAATCCCTCGTGGTCTCGAGATGGAACATCCAACTGATAAAGAGCCAATTCATTGCTCCATCTCCGAGGTGGACGTCCTTTCGTCACTACCACCGGCTATCAACCCCTCGTGCGATGTGCTGCCCAAACCCACTTACTTTTCTTCACAAATGTGTTCCTTAAACGTCTTATAATTGACCGATTTAGACTTGCTCATTAGTTACCATGGCGAGTGGACATGAAACTACATGAAATGACTGAAATTTAAAAGAGTGCTGCGAAGTTGGGCACAATCATATGGTTACCACTCATTGGGAAGTTAAGTAGTTATCCTTTGGAGAAGGTGGCTTCCATCATATGAAATGATCATTGTAACCTATAGCTTATGGCTTCAAATGCCGCTGAAAGAACTTTGAATATATTTACATTGTTAAAAAAGTGAATGACTGGCAAGAAAAATCACAACTCATAATAAGCACAAGTAATTTACATGCTTACAGGCTTTTAAAAAGTAAGAATTAATGTAATAATTTATTGACAAGTGACTCAAAACAAGTATGAAAATAAAAAACATGTATTTTTGAACTGTCAAGGAGTTATACCAATAACTCTTTCATTAGAAATGTATCTTTTGTACTCGGTGTGTGATGGTGTAGAAATCTGCACAGGATTTGATTGTTGTTTAAGCATTACAGCGATCACTCGTCAATGAGAGCCGTCTTCAAATATAACTTGTGCAGCTATCGGGAAATCAATCGTGGCGATGAATATACTCTTTGGTTCTTTCGGTGAAGCCACGTTGATTTTATTTTCTACGCGACTTTACCGAAAGAACCAGAGTAATTTCCTGCAGTCGCGAAAGCTTCGAATCTAGTGTGATGAATATAGGCAAATGTTTTTTTAAGGAGGCACTTTTCTAGATGGCAAGTATAAGGAAAGAATGTACCCATAGGCTGTTTCCCTTTTGAGAGTTGAATGTTGGCATAGAATAATAAACTTGCTAAGTTAATTCCTTCATTGGACCATTTATCAACTAATCTGCCGGCAGCTAGTCAACAATAACAATTGCCTAACATGAGCGTTGATATCACTCAGAATAAACACATTCTGAAGATTAATATCGAATTAAGGATGATCAACCTGGAACAGCACTACCATGGATATGAGCATGTACCGATTCATTCCGATGGAAATTCAACAAGCTGTCACAATTTCATTGTCCAGATTAGTTTCAAGCAATTTTATGTCTTACCAGTGCAATGCATGTAAAAACTTAGCTGCTGCACAAAAAAAAACAATAACATACAACTATTTACAAATCATACATTTTTACATTCGCGATTCGATTCACGTATCTTAAGCGTAATAATCTATTTAAATCGGTGAATCGTGGCATGCCCATGCATCAACCACATAACACGGGCTGCTGCCGCTGTTGCTGACGATGATGGGGCGCGCGTGGTTTGTGAATGCTAATGAGGTCGTGTCGCAGCGTGAAGGTTACTGGTGGCGTACAGCGTTCAGTCAGCATCTTTAATTTTAGTGGGAGACTTTATCTAGTCAACAAGGTGTAGAATGTTGGTCTGAAGATTTAATTGAAGTAATAATTAGCCTCGTCGACTTTTGCAGTTAAAATGTCGTCCACCACGAGTTATTAAATGCTGGCGTGGGAGAGTGAAATTCTCCCCTCCGATTATTGTCAGTCAATCAGCGAACTCATTTATATGAATTACAATTGTTGGTCTTGCTCGGTGCACTCCAGTCTCTAATAACCACATTACCTTAATGTGCGTCTTCATTCAGACTAGTTAATGTCGTCTCGTCATTGTCAGTCACGCTTTAGCCCTTGTTGGGTAGTCGCATCCACCGTCATGACTGACGATTTTCGTCCACTCGTAGTCATCACTGATAAATAAAATAGAAAATGCAAATTAGCGAAAAATATTTCCGGTGGTAATGTCGTGACACAAAACGAACACTGCTGGCGTGCATCTGCTGCTCGGCGGTTATCTGCGGCCTCTCTTGGCCGGAGGCTCGGCACCACGGGCCTTCCTGCGCGTGGGCTCTGGTGACTGTGGCGGTGCCGCCCGCTTGCTGCTGCCCCGCGTCTCGGGTGCCGGGGCCGTGGGCTGCCTGCGGCCTCTTCCAGCTCCTCCCGACGACACGGGTCTGGTGGTGGGGGGGGCAGACAGGAACAACATGGGAGAGGCAGGGGTGGCCGAGCTGAAAGTCAGCATGCCTTGTGAACAACGTGAAAGACATGCGCAAGATTAGGCTAAAGCAAGTTACTGAAAGGAAGGAACGGAGCCGCCTCCCTGAACAAATTGTCGGCGAAATCACCGATACTGGTCTTCAGGCCTTCAAATGCCGAGCACACGTGTGCATCTCCTAACTTCACACACCTAGTGAATCAATGATAATAGCCCGACGAGACGGACTAATGTCTGACATGGCTGTTATTCACAATTGCACCCAATACAAAAATGTAAACTACTTACAACTGATTTACGGCAACACGTAAATAACAAAGGTTGCTAAATAAGTGAAATTTCCCAGTCTTCCCTTCAAAAATAATAAATTGACCAAAACTTCCCAAGGAGTACTCTGCTGAATGAGCAATTTTGGATTAGTGACTTTTAATTTGATAAACAATAAACGAAGTATTCCCATACTCCAATAAACATGGAGTGGTTGCTCATCTAATTCCACGGCAAAAGCAAGTCAATCCATAGGAAAACAACGGACTTCCACAAAGTGATTTTAATTCTACCAACTTCGTACAGATGAAGGAATGAGTTTGATAACAGAATGGGATTTTAACTTGACAACTTCCATGCGAGTTTCTCAGCTGACTATGTGGTACTCTCAGGGATGAAGGTGGTGGAGACTATCACAGAATGGGATTTGAATGCGCTTTAACCACAGTGCTAGCCAGCCAACTGAATATAAAACAAATATTGAGGATAAATATCGATATGTTTGCTTTAAAAAGCCGAGCCAGGCAGACACACAGACCACGACACACAACAACGATCTAATTTGCCCAAGCAAGGCCTTACTTGTCATTGCCGGAAGTGGCTTGCAATGACCGCGTCGCTTTCGCTTGCTGCTGCTGAGCGACGTCACCGGCGTTGACTGCCGCCGAGCGGGTTTGTCGGCCAAGAGCCTTCACCTCCGCCGCGGCCGCTGCCGCAGCCGACAGCCTGGCCTGCCGCGCTGGCTGCGCTGCCTCAGACGCCACGCTTGCCGTGGCACGAGTCTGCCGGCTCTGCGGGGAGGCGTCGGCACCGTCCTTCGCCTGTTTAGCCGACGACAGTCTTCTGAGCTGCATGCGCTGTGGCGGGGCGCCTTTGCTGCCCGATGACTTCTTCTCCTCTGCGCCGTCAGACGTTTTCGAGTCCGTTTCATGTTCGCTTTCTGGCTGCTCAAGATCCGAATTCGCAGCCAGACTCTCAGCCTCGAGTTGCTTTTCAAATTTCGCTTCGAGATTTTCCACCTCTTTTTCTGCTTCCTGTGTGCCTGGCTTTTGTAAATGTGGCTCATTTTTATCTAAACTGGATTTCTGTTGAGCAGTATCCATTTCTTCCATTTGAGGAGGCTGTTGCTCATTTTCCTGCCTGCTTTCCTCTGCACTTGCAGAATCACAAGGCTCAACAGTCCTTGTTGTATCAACTAGTGTTACCACTTGTGGTTCATGTGCTGCGGGAGATTCAGCTTCTGGTTGGGACTCGGAATCGTGTGCTTGCTGTTTGCCATCACTTTGAAGTAACCCCTCCTTTACACTGGGAATCTCTTCACAGCCTTGTTTTTCCACGGAAGAGTAATTTGTCTCATTTGAAGCATCCAATGAAGATTCAGGGCATGGCTGCAAACACTCCAGGGACCGTAAGGTGGAAGGATCATTGACAGTCGTTTTCGAAATTCCAGACACGTCAGCAGCCGTCTCCCCTTTGTGATCAGTGTCGCTTACAGGCTCGCCAGGCACGGCCAAGGTATTTTCCGGCTCCCCCGTTTCGCTCTCTTTTTTCTGCGAAGACAACTCGGGCTCAGGATCTGCAGGCCCTTTTGAGGACGGTGCTTCCTCCGCCGAAGCTTGTGCAGCAGAAACTGCCGACTGCATCTGCTGCGTCCGCCGGGGCAGCTCAGGGCTTTTAAAGCCCGACGATTTGCGTCCTCTCTTGCTCTGCTTTGTAGTGTCGGCCGACGGAGATTCGCACTCCGAGGGTTGGAGACCGGCAGACGCGCGAGTTTGCCTGGCTTTCTGCCGAGCATCATGCTGCGGCGACGCCATCTCTTTGGCCACTTGTTTTGCCTGGCGTCCACGTGGTTTTGACTGCACTGCTTGAACCTTTCCCTGCCGCGTCCGCTTGTCCTCGCGGTTCGGAGACACTGGGCCACCCGTCTTTTTCCGTGTTTGGCGCGCGGCCTCGGCAGCCAGATGGCCGGACGCCCGCCTTGTCTGACGGCCAGAGTCAGACTCAGTCGAGGACTTTGCTTGTTTCCGCCGCGTTCGGTGGGCCAGCGGGGGCTCCTTGCCCTTCTCCTGCTTCTCGTGCCGCGTGCTGCGGCGTGTGCTGGGTCTGAAAATCCAACGTGAGAGTCGAGTAGCCATTAGCATGACGAAAATACAGATACTGAAAAATAATGCTTTTTGACTCAATAATATTCCAGTTGTGGCTTTTGGCCTCACGCAAAGGCACACTTGTTATATAAATGGGAGAAAAAATACATGCAGAACCCTCACAGCGAGCAGTACACCACCACGTGTCGGAGAACTGCCCTAGAAAATGATGTCACAGAACAACTTCTGAAGCCACTTCAATGGGCCCATGAACCAACCCCAAGGACACTTTTCTAATGGCTGGCAAAGAGTGTTTGTCCCATGCCAATGAAACAATTTTTTTAAAGTGAAAAACCAAATGCAATATTATGGGTTTGAATCCATCAAGGGTAGCTTTGAAGATTTGTCATTGGCGAGTGAGCTAAGACCATCAATTCACTACGCTTAAGAGCCGAGATTTGAACTCGGGCTTCTCAGCGGTGCTGACTCGGTGCTCGGCGATGGTATTAGCTCTCCGAGTCATGTGGCACCTGTATATATATATTTTTTTATGTTCTGCTACTCTCTATTATGGGTGTCATTGGAATGTTTTATTTATGTTTAGAAAAGTGGGTGAGAAATTCAATAGTAAATGTAGCATAGAAGAATGATGGTTGTGGAAATTACTGTCACGACTACACAATTCTACAGAGCAATTTTCCACACTGATATGAACAATAGACATGTGTAACACACATACCGCTGCATTTTCTCTTCGGAATTTGAGGAATTTTCTGCTTCAGAAGAATCTGTGGTTTCTTTACTCTCAGCCTCCGATTTGTCTGTTAGGAAAAAAATGAAACAGAAGCGTTACCTTGACTCGAGGTATACTAAACAACATTCCATAGATGAATTGAATATGCCATGTATTATTATATATCATTAAAACAACTCGAAGAGATGTGCATACACAGAACATATCGACAACTGCCACTGGCTGCAGACCGCTCAAACTAACGGCATACATTTTATTTTTATTTCACCTTTATTTAAGCAGGTATAACAAAAAAAACCTTGAGGTTAAAAACCTCTTTTGCGAGGAGGACCTACCAAGAAGTCAGCAAAAATAAATCACCACACACGCAATACTAAATAGTACAATACAAAACATTAAAAACAATTACAATGGTCAATGACATTTTCTTCTATCAGAGCTTTGAAATCAGACAACATTGATAACCCTCCTCCAGTTTTAAAATCGTTTGTAATTTATTCCAGAACCAAGGAGCATGATAGGAACATTGTTTAGGAACATTGTTTCCCCATTTTAGTCCTTGCCCTAGGAACTGTTAAAGAGAGCGCTGACTGAGAATGAAAGCTGGAGGGTTGTGATGTTTTTGTCACAAAAATATAAGAAAAAAGCATTTGCTGGTGCTCATTTGTGTTGCCAAGCTTGAAGTAGAAATCACCAATGTATTATGCAGGGAGCAGTTTACTCTTCCTACCACATCACACACATTTTGGACACAAGCGCTAACAATAACCTCCAAAGAGGATTTCAACTCACAACCTTGTTCGTCTGACTCACTTTGCCATCTGTTACATACTATAAACATCCCGATAAGCAGGAGGAAAAATAGAGCCTGGATTCAGCTTGTGAGATATGTATGTAGCTGAATTATGATGTAAAGCTTTCGTGACTGCAGGGATTCATATTCTTGGTTCTTTCGGTAAAGTCACGTAGAAGGGAAGCAATAAAAGAATAAAAATATAAAACAATCAAATTCTCACGACGTTTCGTTTGCAACACAAGCAATCATCATCAGGTGTGAAAACCACAGCAAGAAAATGATGATTGCTTGTGTTGCAATTGAAACGTCGTGAGAATTTGATTGTTATATTTTTTATTTATTTTATTGTTTCCCTTCTACGTGACTTTACCGAAAGAACAAAGAATATGTAGCTGAAGTTACCCGGTTTACAGCATAACAAAACAAAACAAAAAATCTATGATACGAACAAGAATGAGGCTCATCTCCACTGGTATCCCTCAGCCAGTGGTGAAAATGCTCAATGCCTGCGATGAGAGGTAGTCTCTCTCTAAGCTGCCCACTGGTGTGAAACGAAACAATGGTGTGAAACGCAAGATACGGAGGCTGCAGATCGGACCTGACTGTACTCTCCGTCTCTTGCCGGGCGGAGGGGTGGGGGAGCCGTCTCGCTTGCGCGCGCCTCTCTTTTTTGCGCTCTTCTCGCTTGCCGCACCTTCGCTCCCATCTTCCAGCGGCTTCACCGCCTGACCAAACAGAGAGGCAGGTACGTAACTCAGCTCCTGTACCCAAGTGTGCATGCACGTAAACACATGGCGGCTCTGTGTGTGGGCCTATGACTACATCACGCATAATGCACCCAATCGTCTTAGAGCTCGGAAGCTAAGCAGGTTTGAGCTTGGATTAGTCCATGGAATAGTGACCACCACGCATCAGATTTCGTGGGCTTCTGCGGGCGGGGCTACTTTGTGGGCAGAGGGCAGTGAAGGAAAATCCATTGTATTTTACTATGCTCCAATGTCCATGGGCCCAGGTTTACCAATCTGTACTGACCAGCGTGGTGAAATATTACAAGCCAAACAGCTCGGGGAAAACCCACATTTTTCTTCCATGACACAAGGGCTGTACATGCTCTACCTGTGCCTGTGTGTAAGCGTCCTCTCCCAAAGCAATGACTAATATTGACTGACATGTGTGTTCTCAGTGGAACGAGAGGACCACTGAAAGGTTATCAGATAATTACATTCTTTTGTTTGCTTAAATCTTTGAGCAACAATCGTGTATGTATGTACAAGAAAGCTAGGAGTTTAGCAACTTCAAATAGTTCCTAAATTAAGGATGATTAACTAGATTTTCACCACATCTGACCCAACAGTAACACATGTACAGAGAAGAACGCCTTCAGAAGATGAATAAATGGCAAGAGCATAACTGCATACAAACTATATATATATGCAGTTATATATGAACGTAAAAATACCGTTAGGATAGTATCATAACCCTCAATGGGGCAATCACATTGCAAATGTTCAGCATTTCAAGCAGACAAGAACATGTAAATACGTTAAGATAATATTAAACAATGTAGAAATGTGTAAGCTATATTTTTTCATCTTAACCTTGACACTCACCTTTGTATCTCTTTCACTTTCGGAGCTGGATGTGGGGCTGGAAATTGCTTCCAATATATCTGCCCCAGTTTGGTCTGCAAACACAACATACCCCGTTAGGCACAGCAACAGCTTTACAATATACCACTGAATTGTGTACACATTAAATATATGACTTTATGGAAATCACTTGAACGTTTGGAGAAATTTGCAGAATGTGTGAAAATTGGAAATTTTATGGGTAATTATGCGACTGCAATTTCACTTAACTTGAAACACAATGCATTGAAATTGAAAGCTATTGCCGAAATTGGCCAAGTAATTTCCGTATGTTATATTTGTTCAAAATAAATTGCTTAATTTCCAACTGCATAAGCGCCTTCACACAACACAATATTCATTTCCCGGCTGCGAGCTTGCACACATGCTCTGTTATGGTACAGTATTTTCCTTGGGATTTCTGGCATCAGCAGCATTACAACTGCAGCTTTAATTAGCCAAAAGCTACACATTTAACAAAGGGTCAAATAAATCACTCCACAATTATTTAAAGCGTTTGTTGACAAGACAAAAAAAACAATCATTCAAGAACCAAACTTGACTGACAAATAATTCAAGTACTTGTTGGTCAAACAATTAGAAACCAATCTTAACTTTAAGGTGCAGAACTCCAAACTTTATTTTCCTGCCAAAGTTACCTTTGATGTCCATCCCCTCGGCTTCCTTGTGGCTGCCATCATCATGTGACGGCGGCATGCCGTCTCTGACGCGACTTTCCACTTGATCAGCATCTTTTAGTCCTTCAGTTTTAGCTTCTGCAGAGTCAATGTGTACAGCCTCCACAGCAGCCTCCACCTGCTCAATTCTGCCTTCAGTCTCAACAAGGGTCTTTTCATTTTTCTTTTCATTTTCGCCTTGTGATGGGGCCTCAGAGCCCAGAGTGGGTGTGCAGGATTCTGTGAGTGCCACAGGGCTTTGAGTTATGGCTGGAGTTGAGGCTTGGTCTTTGGGGCTTGAAATGCCAATGCCTTGAGTTGTTGATGTAGCAAGTGTTTCTGGGGTTTTCAACCTCTTTCCATTCGTTTCATTGACAGGGCTGCTGCTTGGAAGGCCTTCAGTAGGAACACAAGATGCTGTGGTGACATGGGTTGTGTTATTCATTGAGCCGACGAAATCTGCACCATCTGCTGCACTAATCCCAACATCGCTGTCTTGTGCACCAGTCTCAACATTACTATCTGCTGCACTTGAAACAACAACTATTTCTGCTGCGAAAGTTTCAACATCGGTGTTAGCTGCACCAGTTTCAACATCACTAATAGTCGCACCAGTTACAACGCTGTTTGCTGCACCAGTTACAACGTCTCTGTTTGCTGCACACGTTACATCACTGTCTGCTGCACACGTTACATTACTGTTTGCTGCACCAGTTACATCACTGTTTTCTGCACACGTTATATCTCCTCTGTCCATTGCACCAGTGACATTACCGTTGTCTCCTGCACTTGTTATAGGAGCTCTGTCTGCTGCACTAGTTTCAACATTTATATCTGCTGCACTAGTTACATCACTGCCTGCTGCACAGGTTTCAACATTTGTATCTGTTGCACCAGTTACATCACCGCTGTCAGCTGCACAAGTTACAACATCGCTGGCTGCTGCACCAGTTTCAACAATGTTGTCAGCTGCACAAGTTTCAACATCGCTGGCTGCTACACTAGTTTTAACAATGCTGTCAGCTGCGTGAATTGCAATATCGCTGTTTGCTGCACAGGTTACATCTTTGTTTTCTGCACAAGATTCATCACTGTCTGCTGCACAAGTTACAATATTGATATCCGCTGCACCAATTACAATATCGTTGTCTGCTTCACTAGTTACAACATCACTCTCTGCTGCACAGGTTATAACATCACTGGCTGCTGCACTAGTTTCAACAATGCCGTCAGCTGCGCAAGTTGCAATATCGCTGTCTTCTGCACAGGTTACAACACTCTCTGCTGCACTGGTTACAACATCACTGGCTGCTGCACTAGTTTCAACAATGCCTTCAGCTGCGCCAGTTGCGATATCGCTGTTTTCTGCACAAGTTACAACACTGTCTGCTGCACCAGCTTCAACATTGCTGTCTGCTGCACCCGCTGCAATATCGCTGTCAGCTGCACAAGTTGCAAATTCGATGTCCACTGTACCAGTTGCATCCTTGTTTTCTGCACAAGTTACATCTCTTTCTACGGCACCAGGTTCAACATTGCTGTCTGCTGCACAAGCTGCAATATTGATGTTTGCTGCATCAGTTACATCACTTTCTACTGCACCAGCTGCAACATCGATGTCTGCTTTACCAGCAACATCACCATTGTCCATTGCACAGGTTACACCGTTGTCTCCTGCACGAGTTAAAACATTGGTGTTTTCTGCACAGGTTACATCTCTGTCTGCTGCCACTGTTACATCATTGTCTGTTGCACCAGTTGCAACTTCACTTTTTGCTGCACAAGTTACAACATCTCTATCTGTTGTAAAAGTTACATTGCTGTTAACTGCACACGTTACAACATTGTCGTTTGCTCCACCAGTTAGAACATCGCTTCCTGCTGCAATAGTTACAACATCGCTGTTTGCTGCACTAGTTACAACATCGCTGTTTGCTGCAATAGTTACAACATCGCTGTTTGCTGCAATAGTTACAACATCGCTGTTTGCTGCACTAGTTACAACATTGTCGTTTGCTCCACCAGTTAGAACATCGCTTCCTGCTGCACCAGTTACAACATCGCTGTTTGCTGCAATAGTTACAACATCGCTGTTTGCTGCAATAGTTACAACATCGCTGTTTGCTGCACTAGTTACAACATCGCTGTTTGCTGCACAGGTTACAACATTTCTGTTTTCTGCACCAGTTACAACATCGCTTCCTGCTGCACCAGTTACAACATCGCTGTTTGCTGCACTAGTTACAACATCACTGTTTGCTACAGCAGTTACAACATCACTGTTTGCTACAGCAGTTACCACATCGCTGTTTGCTGCACTAGTAACAACATCACTGTTTGCTACAGCAGTTACCACATCGCTGTTTGCTGCACTAGTAACAACATCACTGTTTGCTACAGCAGTTACAACATCGCTGTTTGCTGCACTAGTAACAACATCACTGTTTGCTACAGCAGTTACCACATCGCTGTTTGCTGCACTAGTTACAACATCACTGTTTGCTACAGCAGTTACAACATCGCTGTTTGCTGCACAAGTTACAACATCGCTGTTTGCTGCACTAGTTACAACATCGCTGTTTACTGCAATATTTACAACATCGCTGTTTGCTGCAATAGTTACAACATCGCTGTTTGCTGCACAAGTTACAACATCGCTGTTTGCTACATCAGTTACAACATCGCTGTTTGCTGCAATAGTTACAACATCGCTGTTTACTGCAATATTTACAACATCGCTGTTTGCTACATCAGTTACAACATCGCTGTTTACTGCAATATTTACAACATCGCTGTTTGCTGCAATAGTTACAACATCGCTGTTTGCTACAGCAGTTACAACATCGCTGTTTGCTGCAATAGTTACAACATCGCTGTTTGCTACACCAGTTACAACATCGCTGTTTGATACAGCAGTTACAACATCGCTGTTTGCTACAGCAGTTACAACATCGCTGTTTGCTACATCAGTTACAACATCGCTGTTTGCTGCACAAGTTACAACATCGCTGTTTGCTACAGCAGTTACAACATCGCTGTTTGCTACAGCAGTTACAACATCGCTGTTTGCTACAGCAGTTACAACATCGCTGTTTGCTACAGCAGTTACAACATCGCTGTTTGCTACAGCAGTTACAACATCGCTGTTTGCTACAGCAGTTACAACATCGCTGTTTGCTACAGCAGTTACAACATCGCTGTTTGATACAGCAGTTACAACATCGCTGTTTGCTACAGCAGTTACAACATCGCTGTTTGCTACAGCAGTTACAACATCGCTGTTTGCTGCACAAGTTACAACATCGCTGTTTGCTACAGCAGTTACAACATCGCTGTTTGCTGCACAGGTTACAACATCGCTGTTTGCTGCACAGGTTACAACATCGCCGTTTGCTACAGCAGTTACAACATTGCTGTTTGCTACACCAGTTACAACATCGCTTCCTGCTGCACTAGTTACAACATCGCTGTTTGCTGCACAAGTTACAACATCGCTGTTTGCTACAGCAGTTACAACATTGCTGTTTGCTACACCAGTTACAACATCGCTTCCTGCTGCACTAGTTACAACATCGCTGTTTGCTACAGCAGTTACAACATTGCTGTTTGCTGCAGAAGTTACAACATTGCTGTTTGCTACACCAGTTACAACATCGCTTCCTGCTGCACTAATTACAACATTGCTGTTTGCTACAGCAGTTACAACATCTCTGTCTGCTGCACCCATTACATCATCACTGTCTGCTTCACAAGTTGCATCACCACTGTCTGCTGTACCAATTACATAACCACTGTCTGCTGCACCCGTTACATCACCACTGTCTGCTGCACCCGTTACATCACCACTGTCTGCTGTAAAAGTTACATCACCACTGTCTGCTGTACCAGTTGCATTACCACTGTCTGCTGCAAAAGTTACATCACCACTGTCTGCTGCACCAGTTGCATTACCACTGTCTGCTGCAAAAGTTACATCACCACTGTCTGCTGCACCAGTTGCATTACCACTGTCTGCTGCAAAGGTTACATCACCACTGTCTGCTGCACCAGTTGCATTACCACTGTCTGCTGCAAAAGTTACATCACCACTGTCTGCTGCACCAGTTGCATTACCACTGTCTGCTGCAAAAGTTACATCACCACTGTCTGCTGTACCAGTTGCATTACCACTGTCTGCTGCAAAAGTTACATCACCACTGTCTGCTGCACCAGTTGCATTACCACTGTCTGCTGGACCAGTTACATCACCGCTGTCTGCTGTACCAGTTGCATTACCACTGTCTGCTGGGCCAGTTGCATTACCACTGTCTGCTGTACCAGTTGCATTACCACTGTCTGCTGCAAAAGTTACATCACCACTGTCTGCTGCACCAGTTGCATTAACACTGTCTGCTGGGCCAGTTGCATTACCACTGTCTGCTGCAAAAGTTACATCACCACTGTCTGCTGTACCAGTTGCATCACCACTGTCTGCTGCAAAAGTTACATCACCACTGTCTGCTGCACCCGTTACATCACCACTGTCTGCTGCACCCGTTACATCACCACTGTCTGCTGCACCAGTTGCATCACCACTGTCTGCTTCACAAGTTACATCACCACTGTCTGCTGCACCCATTACATCATCGCTGTCTGCTGCACCCGTTACATCACCACTGTCTGCTGCACCAGTTGCATCACCACTGTCTGCTGCAAAAGTTACATCACCACTGTCTGATGCACCAGTTGCATCATCGCTATCTCCTGCAAAAGTTACATCACCACTGTCTGCTGCACCAGTTACAGCACCGCTGTCTGCTGTACCAGTTGCATCACCACTGTCTGCTGCACATGTTACATCACCACTGTCTGCTGCACCGGTTACAACATTGCTGTTTGCTGCACAAGTTACAACATCGCTGTTTTCTGCAGAGGTTACAACATCGCTGGTTGCTACAGAGGTTACAACATTTATGTTTGCTGCACCGGTTACAACATTGCTGGTTGCTATACCAGTTGCAACATCTCTGTCTGCTGCACAAGTTACATCACCACTGTCTGCTGTACCTGTTACATCACTGCTGTCTGCTACACCAGTTACATCACCGGTTGCAACAACACTGTGTGTTGCACAAATGACATCAGTCGGATCAGCGGTACCAGTTACTTCGGCACTATCAATTTCAGAAGTTACATCAGTGTGATCTTCTGCAGAAGTTACAACAGCACTGTCTGCTGCATATACAGCAATGTCTGCTGAATTTGAAGCACTGACAGTGTCCATTGCATCACTAGCATCTGCACAAGCTGAATCAATACTATCTTCTACACAATTTACATTGGCCTGATCTGCTGTACCAGTTAAATAAACACTGTCTGCTACATTTGAAACACTGACCACTTCCGCTGTAACACTATCTGCTGCACCAGTCGCATCAGCCCGATCCGCTGCACTGGGTGCACCAGCACTGACAGCTTCTCCTGCACAAGTGGTATCAGCACTATCTGCTGTACCAGGAACAGCAGTATCTGTTACACAAGTTGCATCAGCATCGGCTGTTGCAGCCAATACAAAAGTAGTATCTGCTGCACATGTTATATCAGCATTATCTGCTGCATAGGAAGCAATAGCATTGATCGCTGCACTAACAGCATTAGTACTGGCTGCTGCGCTTGAAACACTGACAATTTCATCGGCACTAGTTACACCAGCACTATCTGCTGCACTAGTTGCATCGGCATCATCTACAGCACTAGTAACATCAGTTGTATCTGCTACGCAGGTAGCATCAATACCATCTGCTTCGCCAGTAACAGCACTATCTGCTGTATGTGAAACACTGACACTTGCTGCTGCACTTTTTACATCACTGGCATCATCTGCTGCACTAAATGCAACATAACCATCTGCTGTACTGGCAACATTTAATTCACCTGCAGCACAAGTAACACTGGCATGAGCTACTGCACCCACAACATCAGCAGCATCTGCTCCATCAGCAACATTGGCAGTTTCCATTCCACCACCACCACCACCACCTGTTGCACTGGTATCAGGAGCACTGTCAATCCTGCCAATAATTTCAACGCTATCTGTTACAGTAGCGGTAACATTGGCGTTATCTAAAGCAGTGACACCAATTTTATCCATTGAACGTTCAGCCTCTGCTGCTGCTGTACTGTCGCCAGTTCCATCAGTGGGTGTGCTGGAAGCTGTTGTATTTACACTCTCAATTATTTGCAGAGCCTGGTCAGTTGAAGGCAATGTCGCAACAGTTTTCTCAGTGGTGCTATCTGCATTTAAAGCCTTATTTTGCTCGTCGGGCTTTGGAGGCCCATTGAGAGGAGAGACATCTGTGTTTGGCTCCATGGAGTTCAAACTCTCTTCCTGTGCTTTCATGGTCTCAAGTTCCACCGCGTCCGTATCTGCACAGGGCCCAATGCCTGCTTCCCTTGCCGGCGATGCCATTGCAGGTCGTCGCGACTGTTCTTTAGCCACGCTGGTGATCGCCAGTTTGTTGGAGTCATCCTCTGGTGCAGCATGCTCAGAATTCCCTGCGCTTATAGCGTCATCTGGGGCATGCGGCTTTCCAACGCCTTCCAGCGCACACACTCTTTCTGGTTCAACATTCGTTTCAGGGCTGATGACCAAAGTGGGAGTGGCACTCTCTGGTGAGGTCTCTGTAGCAACAGGCGCTTTACCTTTGCTCTTGCTGCCATTGGCCACTACTTCAGACACAGCACCAGTGCCATCACTCGTCGGTAGATTCTCTTTGGATTTTGCAGTACCTCGTTTGTCCACCTCCACTGCGGCGGGCAACGATGGCTTTGATGACTCAGTTGGTTTCGCCGTATGCGCTGAAGCTTGGCCTTTGTGTGGTTTTGGCAGACCACTTGAAGAGCCTTTGCGGGTGCCAGAAGAAGTGTTGGATTTGTGCGCAGCGCTTCGCTCTCTGTTCTCCGAGCGCTGTTGATCAGAGGGGCTCGAGGATGCCCGCTGCGTGCCGTGATACTTCTTCTTTTCTACCCGACCTGCCTTGTCGACCGTTGGTGAAGACGTCCTTGTGCTAGAAACGCTCGGTGGGACACCTTTGCTCGACGGCCTCCTGCTGACTGTAGCGGATTTCTCTTCCCTCTCACTTCCCCGACCACCATCCGCCTTGCCATCTTTGCTTTTAATTGGAGCAGGCTCGCCACTCTTCTCCAGGACTCTGGAACTGCTTTGTTTGTCTTTTGTCTTCAGCGAAGGGCGGTTTGTGCCATGGGAATGCTCCCCCCTGGACAATTTCTTCGCTTTATCGGACACCGAGGGCTTTCCATCTCCGGAAGATTTCAGCTTTGGCATTAACTTGCTTCCGCTAGAAGGAGTCTTTTTCTCCCGACCATCAGACCTCTGAGTGCCTTCACTGTCCTTCTTAGTCGGCTTCAGAGACTTCTGCTCTTTTTCACTCGGCCTCCTGGCCATCTTTTCATGTTTAGCCGACCCTTCGGAGTCTTTTGACGTTTTTCCAGCTTCCCTGCCGGAACCGTCCTCGGCAGTCCTCTCCCTGCTTCTGGAGTGCAACTTCTCTGTTCTCCTTTGAGGGAAATCTCCTTTATCTTCCACGGATGGAGAGCGAGAGGTTGTAGAGGACACACTGATGGAGCGCTTACGGTCCTTGAAATCGAGGGATTTCCTGAAGTCCCTGTCCTTGTGCTTCACCTGCTCACTGTGACTCTCTTTCTTGCCGTCAGAGTCTTCATTCCGACTCTTCTTAGCACTCCTCTGCTACCAAGAAAACACATTTCCCAGTTTGTTAATGGCATCTCGGGTAAGGGGAGTAGTACAGATCGATATTAAGGAATGCATACAAACATGTAATCTGTGTTCCAAGATGAATACAACTATTCATGAGGGTGACATACTGCCATATGCTGCCAGACGGTAGACAGATTTATTCAAAAGGCTTAGCTCAGTTACAGGTGTCATGGATGTCTAACCTCTTCACTTTGCTCTGAGTTTTCACGCTTTCTTTTATGTGTATCTGGTGGCAGCACAGACGGCTCCTTGGATTTGGTCCTAAGGAGAAAAAAGAACCACATGAATGCTCAGGGTGACTGCAGACCATACCTGCCTGAGTGCATTTACAAAATATCCTACCGAGTAATTCATATTTACTTCCAACAGTGATTTCCTTTTGTTCAGCAAACTTGTTGTACATGACTTTTGTGTTGCTCTTGTTTATCAAAAGCCCCACTTTGCAGCCTTCTTGGTCACGTAATTTAGTCAGCCAAGTTGTAGGGCCAGCTGTTTGGTAAAGAAATTAGCAGACCTCATTCTACTTGTATTGTATTCCAAAAGGAATACCTACGTGACTTTACCGAAAAAACCTAAGAGTATGAATCCTTGCAGTCACGAAAGCTTCAAATCTAGAATTCCAAAAGGAGACAAAACTAATGTGAAGGTTTACAGACTCATTGGCCTCTTATTGCATGTATACGAGATAAAAGGTTAATAGCGAACTGAATAATGGACAAGGCAGAGACCAACCCACCATGCGAGGATGCTGGATTGAGATATTTTTCTACTATTGACTGGTATACATACATATTACAAATAAGATTCAAGAAAAGACCAATGAATATGGAAAATCATTATACCCAGCTTTTGTCGACTACAAAAAAAGCATTTTATTCAGTGAAAATATTAATTCCTTCAAACTTACATAAAACACTGCTTTAACGCAAACAAATGATCGAACTTATCAAAAGCATTTACCAAGATATAACGGCTATACCTAGACTGCATAGATAACATAACAAAGTGGATATCAGGAGAAGTCTGGCAAGGAGATATGCCTTCAGCAATACTATTCACAGCAACAATAGAGGATATATTCCAAAAGCTAGGTTGGAGAAATAAAGGCATAAAGGTGAAAAAATTGCCCACCTCAGATTCACTGATAACATCACCATTATAATGGTAATAAATGACAATGATTAAAAACAATTAAAAGCGGTAACATCAGAAAACCGTTTAATTTCGTATCATTAGACCATGCGAGTGCACAACTAGTTTCTTGATTTAACCTCACAATGTGTAACATTTTCCCACAAACACATGTTCTAAATGCTAAATGATTGAAAAAAAACACGTGGTTGTACGAATGTATCGGAAGCTCTGATGGAATGACTCAATGTTCGGTGAAGCCTCCACCAAAGGTGCCTTGTGCAACCAATGAATTTCATTGCAAAAAAAAACCCATACCTTTTTTTCCCTTCATTGTGGATTTTTAGAGCCATTTTCTTTTCCAGGGCCTTCAGCTCCTTAAGGGTCTCCTTCATTGTGCCCGTGTTCTGAGGCTCCCCCTGCGGCTTGGCATTTAAGGATGCTGCAGAATACAACCAGGACACAAGAACGGCTTAAAATTCTAATGTGTGATATAAAGCTAGTGCTGGTAAAAAGCCTGCTCCGTACTAAATCACACAGTGGCAGCCAAACAAAAAAGTCGGGTTAACGGGTACGAGGTGTCGAGAACAATTTTACACGAGCATGCAGAAATGCCGACACTGCGGCATTTAATTTAAACTTCACAACGTGCGACGAAATGAGTTGACCCATGTTTCCCCAGTGTGGCATCAGAAAACACGAATCCTGATTTGATGCAATATTTAGAGAGGTTGTTTTATTTATTTTGTAACGGCACACTCCTGGGAGATGGAAAAAGGGTCACCAAAGAAATAACCTTTTGTACCTATGTGAAAAAGGACCCAAAAAACCGACAGAAACGTAATATGATGTGACAAATAACATCCAAGAGAAATATTAACCGCTACGCTGCCCCGCATGTGATGCAGTCACAAACCATCATCTGGCTTTTTCTGTTTCAGCTTTTCTTTGTCCGTTACGGTCTTTTTGCGCTTCTCCTCCAGCCTCTCGCGGTTACGTTGTCTCTTCTTTAGCCGTTCTTCCTTATCCTTGGCCTGCACCGGTGTGTGTCACGTACACGTGAATGGTTTATTCAAATGCAATTACAACACAACGTATTCTTTACACAGCATAAAAATGTAACTGCATGTTAAGACGCTGTACATAATAGTGCGACATGTCCATCAGAGGTATATAAAACATGTAAATAGCAGAGAAATTTAGTCTTTGGCAGAGGAAGTCTTGAGCCTAAACTTGAACAGGGGCAGGGAAAAGAGAGACAGGTAATGAGTTTGGAAATAGCATATTTGATCGATTTTGAGTTTGTGGGTGCGGGATTTGGGAAGGCCGTAGAGTAGGCAGTCAATTAACCAAGGAAAGAGTTGATGCAGGCAGGGGGACAGCGGTTACAGCAGTCGATGGGGCAAGGAATTGGCAGATGCAAGAGATTTCCCATAGGTGAAGGTAGCAGGCCCTGAAGAGCTAGGATACGTGGGAGCATAACTCGAGCTCATTGTCGATGGCAACTCCCAAGATTTTGTAGACCCTTAGCGACCGTGATGTATTAGAGTCCAGGAGGTGCACACTCCAAGGTGGAGAAGTTGCCGAGAGAAACACATTTTTTGCAAATGAGGAAGAATTGAGTTTTGGCAGCGTTTAGCTGGAAAAACTTTGAATTCGTCCAGGATGAGACCGCATGTCATAAGCTTGGGTGAAAAAGAATCAATAGACGTTCACAACTGGGTGTCGTCAGCATGGAATTGGTAATTGGCATTGAAGCTGGAAATTATTTGGACTAAGTGGAAATAAATATATTGAGAAGAGCAGTGGGCTGAGGATGGATCCTTCTTGACACATCATATCCCAGGGGGATGAGCAAATGGAATACGTTTAAGAGGTAAGAGAATACCCGGTCACAAGTGTGCTGGAGACACCTACGTATCTATGGCGGCGTTAAAATGTTACAAGCAGCAGTGCGGTCTCGGAGATGGAGGAGTGAAAAGGATCCATTTTCATAGGAGAGTAGGTCACTGACCACATAGGAGAGTATAACTAAAAAAGGTAAACTATACTATTTACCAGGTAAAGCCCACTGAGTTGTTAGCTCTTTTTCAGAGGCAGCCTGGCCACAAATGATAGCTCAACGAAGTGGCTTTCATTATGTGGGAATTTATAGTAGCAGGCAAAGAATGTAAATGCAGGTTTCTAAATATAGAGGGAAAAACCAGAGGACCCGGAGATAAAATCCTCATGACCACAGGGAGAATATGCAAATTCCAAATATACAGGCGTGAGGGTTGGGACCGAACACATGACCTCCTGCATACCACACGAGGGAGATAAGATCTTGCCCCAGCTGCACCCCAAAGGCAATGCAATAACGTAAATTTGAGAAGAGAATTCTCTGTAGAATGGCCTCAATCGATACCAGGTTGTACTGGATAAGGAAGACCATGAAGAGAGGTGGGAAAGGTGGGAAAATAAATATCCTTTATCATACTTCTCCCAGAAAAGACTTACGAATGTATGGAAATGTGCAGGAATAATGGAATATAACAAAGTAAAAAAACACTTGGGAATGACAGGAGTAGCTGAGGGACAATGGAAGGAGGGTAGCTACATATTCCTGTAAAAGGTCCCCCCATTCAGTGCGGATTAAGCTAGTGCGGGGCCTGTAGCATATGCAATAAAGGGGCCCTAAATAAAAAAAAACACAGAAATATAAAAAAACAAAAATAACTTGCATAGTAAAGAAATTATATTTTTTTATTTGCTATACAGCCAGATAATACGACAAATCGCTAACCTTAAACACCCAGTCGTTCATAAAAGTTGAAGGCAGTATACTACTATTGTAATAGAGCAAGTGCAGAATCATTGAAACGTAATTGATAGCTTGAAAGCATTTAGCGCGGGGCCCTTGAAAGTGCAGGGCCCGTAGCATATGCAGCTACTTTTGCTACGAGGATAATGCGGCACTGCCCCCATGTAAGTGATGCCTTGGGCTCGATCTGCTTACGATCTTCTGCCGACACTGCTCCACGGTGTTCTCGTCGTCCGAGTCGCTGTAATATCTGGAGTAGAGGAAGGGCTTGCGCACGTAGGAAGTGCGGGAAGCCTTCACCTGGATCGCCTTCTTGTCCTCTTGTTTGTCCTTGACGTCTGATTGGTCAGATTCAACAAAGTTAGACAAGCACACCAAGAGCCGAGGCAGAGTTGAAGCAATGAAGGGTATATGAAGGAAAGCGAGTTCAATTAGTATCCTTATTCCAAGGGAAATGCAAAACAGCAAGGAAATCTTATGTAGATATGAGTGCCTAGGCTGTGTTCTGGTGCTGTCTGAAGTTTTGATACAAAATAAAATAAAAACCTTTCTGTTGAGGTCACGTACTTCCTTTTGGCAATTTACTGATGCCTCTCTCCCATTCATTTTATAAAGCAATGCGGTAACGTCTCTTTGACAGAGTGTCTGACCTTGAATTTAAAGTAAATTTTTATATGAATGAAGCTTTTGAAAATCGTGTCAAGAAGTCCAGGGCACTTCCTTGCTATGGGGCATGTAGCAATTCATGCCTCTACAATGAAATGACTTGCCACAATTCAGTCATGGATAAATGCATCGTCTCGCTCTTACACCCTCGTACGTAATGTTCTTCATTTGTTCTGTTTGAACAGTAATACTGTGGCGAGATGTTAACTACCTCGTCTGGTATACAGATGGTTGTGGGTTCGATCCTGACCCTGACGTCTGTATATTTGTAGTGTGCATGTTCTGCCTGTGATCGTGTATATATTTTTTCGGGTCCTACAGATTTTCCCTCCACATTTAGAAACATGCGTTTAAAGTATTTGGCTGCTATTCATTTCCATATTCATAAGCCATTTCTTTGAGCTATCATTTGTGGCCAGGTCACTTCTGAAAAAGAGCTAAAAAGCCCAGTGGGACTTACCTGGTAATATAAAAATAGCTAAAAATAGTTTGTATGTAACGTGAATACTTGCATAAATTATTAATAATCCATTTTGCCCACACAATTTTATGCATGTGTCATAAACACAACAATCAATAAGTCAATTATTTGTTACTGGCTTATTGAGTGCAAAATTACAAGATAGGATATTTTACTTTTGGGTTACAACTATAATACTTTTAAATACTTTGCCAACCCACTGCCGGACGAAAGCCTCCCCATGTTGTGTATGTAGATCATGGAGTTGTTTGACCATTCATCAAAATGTGGGTCAGTGCATGTTGGTGAAAGAAGTGGGTGGCAGATCAGACTGGTTCAAATGTCACTTACCACTGATGTTAGACCCAGCTGGGAATAAAATTCAGGTCACCGGGTTCACAGTGAAGTGGTGGTATAATGAATACCACTGTATTCATCTATTCATGCCTGCAGGATATTTTTGCAACTGCTATGGCCCAATTGGGTAGCGTTGAGAACATTTTTGATTTGACGGACAAATTGATAACGTCAGTTCATGCCACACATCGCACCAATTTGCAATACAACTGCACCACACGCCACCATCATTCTTCCTTTAAAAGGGGACAAAATAAAAGGTAACCAGGTTGCTCAAAGGTCAGAGCGCTGCACTGGCACTGCTAATATCTTGGATAAGAATCCAGGCAGCTGCCTGTAATTAAACAAGGTTATCAAGTAGAGTGAATTGAGGTTTCCAGTCCGGTCACCAATGACAACACAGAAAAATAGCATTTAATTTGGTTTTGAACTTAATTGGATTCATTACGGCTGCGAAAATATTAATTACAACATTGGTTTGAATGTCATGTAACAAGTATTACCCTCTAGTGCCCCCTTCTGTACAAATTAGCAGGGATCTCCAAGTAATTTTGCAATATCCACTTCCACGGACACGAAGCACTGCCCTGCTCTGCCAGAGATCCAAATGAAGACTTTGCATCACGACGTGACATCTAAAGCGCAATTAGGATGAAATTGGGGGGGAAAACCCCATAGATAGTGGGTATAAAACACACACCTTCTTCATTTGCCTGGGACTCTTTGTTTTGGCCGGCATCGCTGTCCTCGCTGTCAAAGGAAGACAAGTCACTGGTGTGCACGGAGCTCACAGAGATGTCGCTCAGCTGCTCCAGGTCCGAGTCTTGCAGCGAGTACTCTGAACAAAAGTGACACACGGAGAAAGCAACTGAGCAAGCGGCTTGGAGTAATGACCAACAATTCAACTGCAAATCTACATTCAGTCATATGGCTGGGTGGCAATGTGATTTTTCGCGGTTGCCACAAAATAGGAAGCTTGTGTTCTAACTCTGGTCAGGGGATGACTCAGTCTATCATCCCTTGAGGGACACTACAATGAGTACCACTTTGTGAGAAGACAAAAGTGATTGTCCTTTTGAGAGAATGGCTGCACCTTGGATATGGCATTTCAGCACTCGCTCAGGGATGTTGAGTTCTGCTACAAATCTTTTCAGCAAGGAGAGACTTGTACATTAAATGTTATCTAATCATATGCAAGATTACCCTATTATTAGCTGAATGAGGGGCTCCCCATACTGTACAGATCATGGAGATTATTTGACCATATTTCACCATACTGGTCAGTGTGGGTTGCTGAAGGTAGAGACAATATATGTGCAGTTCGATGGATTTTGCTCTACTGCTCATAACCTAGCCCCGCATAACTATGAGTGTATGCATGTATGTTGAACTTCTTTCACACCGTACATAGCAAACCGTGCTAATCGGAGGTGCGGGGAAGGACAATAAACCAAACACCAAAAGCAGTTCAATCTAGATTTAAAAGTGAAGCCAGTGGAGATATGCGCTATTAAATCTATATTGAAAACCCGTTGCCTCCACAGTGCTGGATTGTGCATGGTGTTCACTCATGACTCATGCAAGCACTGACCAGGCTCAAGCCCGCTGAATTTCAAAAATGCGGCAGGATTGGGCACATTTCGGACGATTCGGTTAGTTACCCGATTTAAATGTAATCTTAATCACTATCCAGTAGCACGCTGTCACAGACAACATACCAAAGGTTTGAAAATCTATTTTGGGTTTAGGTAACAGATTCAACATGCCTTCATTCTCCTTCCAACAGGTGGGATTTAAGATAAAGCCAATGGTAATGCACTTTAGATGTATCTATTTTCCGGTACATCATTTGCACTTCATATATTTTAATTTAGCTGGGCGGTGGCGGTGCACGCCTGTAATCAAGCACTGTGGAGGCAGCGAGGATTAGTGGATCACAAAAACTTGGTGAAACTCCCTTCCCGTGGTCACTGAAGTGCCATACCCTGGCTCACCACAAGAAAGTGATAAAGAAAATGTGGACTCGACCTGTTCCATCTGCATGGGACAGTGTTGCTCCCTCGCACGTGTGGGTTTTCTCCCACATTTAAACAATCATATTACCTAAACATATGGAGGACCGCAGCACTTGGGACGGCGGAATTTGATGCTGGCTTACAATAGTTATAAAATGCTCTTAAATACTTGGCCACCGATTGCCACTTTGCAAATATATAGGCCGACTAATTTGTTAAATGAGACAAAGTTCAGTTTTTTGCTTACCCTGTGGTAAAAAAAAAAGATTAGTTCCGTACCTTTTTTAAGATTATCCTTTGCCAATGCTTTGATTGCTGAAATGTCTTTGCGAGAGTCCGATTTATCATCACTGCTTGCATCCGACTTCTCCGCTTTTAATTTAGAATCCTCAAACACGCCTGCCGCCTTCTTCCCAGCATCATCTTTTTTGAAATGCGATTTTTCCACTTTCTTGTCTTCTTTCTTCACAGATGCCTTTCGATCCATCCTCTCGTCTTTGGATTCCTTCCGAACCTACCCCACGCAACAAAAGTAAATGAAAAAAAATATTACAATCCTTTAAGTCATGTATTTCTTTCACTGCTCTTAAGTTACACACACACATATTAACGTGAGAAATTACCAAAAATAAAAAATAAGCAATACTGAAAACCAGATATTAAATTCAGATATATTATGAATATTCTGTGCTTCCAATCACTCACCATACTGGGGCTTCTGTCAGCAAGCTTCTTGCTCTTCTTTGCATCTCTACTCAGCTCGGATGACACACACCTCTGCAGCGTGGGTGGTATATCTTTCGGTTTCACGTCCACGATCTCCTCCGTTGCGCCGTCCTTGCCATCTTCGGCAAAAAGGTGGTGCTCCTTTACGAGCAGAGGAGGTGCGGGGGACACTGAACGCATAAGTTTGCTGCTGTCCGCCGATTCTGCCCTCCTACTGGCCCTGACCGTGGAGCAACTTCCTTTGCTGCTTTCAGCAAAGGCTTTCGTAGGCGTAGACACACTGGTGCTTGCTTGTAGTTGATCCGATGCCTTTTCAGACGCCGCTGTTTTCAGAGGATCTGCGCTGGGTTTTAGAGGCGCAGCACTGGGGAGCGACGACACAGCCTGCTTCTCAGCCTTGCTGCTGTGAGACTGTTTACTCGATGCCGACGGCTGCAGTAGCAACGAAACAGGCAGATCACACATACCATCCTTCATCAGTTCGTCAATAATTTTTGAATGCATCAATTCATCCGGCGTCATTGGATTGGTCGGATTTTCTATAACATCTGCCTTGCTACTTTCTGGCAGGGGACTGGACACATCAGACGTGACTGGCGACTGAGAGTTGTTCTTTTCTGGCAAGGCTCCTTTGCTGGTGTCCGGCTGTTGTTTGTAGGTGGGAGACGATACCGTTGTGGTGGCAGTGGCGGTTGAAGTTGCAGCTGGGTGCTTGGAGCTGCTTGAGCTGGTGCTGCTCATGGATGTAATAGAGTCAAGGATTGACTGTGCATCGCTGGCCAAACTGATGCTTGGAGTGGAGGTTGGTACATCTAAGAGATGGGAAACAATTAATTGTTACAGTTCTGAGGGACACATCGTATTTACTGCATTAAATTTGGCTTACAGACAATACCTAGAAAATAAACTCTGCCCTTTGCCAAAACACTGCTGGATGAATGCCTCATCACTGTGTATCAGTCACGAGGTTAGACTAACCATATCGCACCATGCTGGTCAGTGTGGGTTAGCGAAGGGTGCTCATGACCAATGCAAATATCACTCGCCACTGATACTGGCCGTGGCGAGGAATTACTCAGGTTACTGGGTTCATAGTATAGTGCACAAAATACAGAAGCAATAAATGCTGACTGGCATCACACCCAGTCACATTGATCTAGGTACCCTATCACAATTCTTAAGTTAAGAGCCAAACCAGGTATGAATACTGAATGGCAAACTCATATACAGCTGTAGGACTGATGTGGACAGGAGAGTATATGGTAAGGAAAAGCTTGATCCATATGAAAGGCTCCGTATGTACCTGTGATGGACTGTGGCACTTCCTGCGGTTTATCCAAGTCGCCTGGGCCATTCGAGGGTTGCCCTGTCTTTCCTTTTGGACCCGAAGGAACTCTGCCACCAATAAACTCAAGCACAGCACTCTCCACCTGTGGTCGAAATGTCTCATTGATCTTAGAATTCACCACCTGCTGCACAATCCGGTCCACACAGGCGGCCTTTAGGATGGTTGATCTGCCGAGTGGACACGCACAAAAACAAACATCCTATGTTTTTTTGCCTTATAACCTGTAGGGAAAAGTGTTGTTAACCAGCACCTGTTAAGGGTGAGTAGGTGGTATGGCCAGCAGCATGCTTGGCCGCCCCAATCAATGTTGATATTGACACACCACACCAGCGACTCACTTAATGTAGTATCAACTTTGGGGAGGGCTAGGACAGGTTTCTATACCACTTCCCACTGAAGTTTTTCAAGGTCTAGAGTCAAATTATATTGTTGGGTCTTTCGGTAAAGTCACGTAGATAGGTTCCAAGAAAAAAATAAAAATAAAAAAACTACGACGTTTCAATCGCAACGCAAGCAGTCGTCTTCAGGAAAAGGGGGGTTTAGCTTCCCAGGGAAACTGCTTATAAGGGTTTGAAATAGGCGTAGCCCAAATGTCAGCAGCCAATGATAAAGTGTTCGGCAGCAAGCCAGGCAGTGGTTCGTTTTCCACCAATCAAAGGGCTGCCAGGTGAAAATTAGCATGTTAATGAGGGAACGCAGCGCCGCAACCATGGGGTCGGCGCGCGAAGTGACTGTGAAAAAAGTGCAAAGTTTGAAATGGGCGTAAAGAACAACTAACATCAGAAGGTGGTAGGATGGGAACATCATAGCCAATTATGACTGAAACTGGTTGATAACGTCCTTCCATTGATTGCTCAGTTTGTACCCATCTTCTCGGTTGAAATTGTGTCTGTGTCTATATATATATGGATGGCTTCATGAACGAATCTTTGTTGATAGCCAGTGGGCTTGCAAAGTACCTTCGTCTTAGAGAAATACATTTCGTATGAGCCCACCGCATTAAAACAATGATTAGCCACGGTCAAGGTATTGGTCCTACCGTGTTTCCGATCTGCCTTATGTTCACAAACATGGTCTGAGACATGTCTCTTAGTTTCACCAATGTGACAACTGCTGCAGACACAGCTTAGTCTGTAGATGCCAGGGTACTGCATGTCAGGGATCACATCCTTCACATGGGATCAGATCACGAATTTTATGTACTGTGTTAAATCGAGCCTGGATCTTGTATTTGCTCATTATTTAGGAAATATTTTTAGTGACCCCTGCTATGTATGGCAAGGTGATGGTTTTGATTGGGCCCTCAGATGGTTCTTTCCCAATGGTTGGGATGATAGCTTTACGGATTGTGTAGTCTGAATATCCATTCATCTTGAGGGCTTGGTGTACGTGCTCCAGTTCACTGGCTAGGTGATGACGGTGGGAAATACATCGAGCTCTATGGTGTAGAGTTTTGATGAGGGAATTCTTCTGGGATGGATGGTGGTGGGAGTCAGGTTTTAGGTAGGCATCCGTATGGGTGGCTTTCCTGTAGACAGTGTCCCATTGAGCCATCTAGTGTCCTTTCGATTAAAACATCCAAGAATGGTAGCTTGCCATCCTTTTCACCTCCATGGTGAATTTGATGGCTGGGTGTATGGAATCGATGTGGCTGAAGAATTGTTCAAGAGCTGGTCGGCCATGTGGCCAGATGACGAACGTGTCATCTACGTAACTCTTCCACAAGGACGGACGTAGAGTGGATGCCTGGACGGCATCTGTCTAAAATTTTGCCAAGAAAACATTGGTTACAACTGGAGATAAGGGAGAACCCATTGGGGAACCTTCAACTTGTTTGTAGAATGTTCCATTCCAGGTGAAGTAAGTGTTGGTGAGGCAGTGTCTCACCAGGGCCGGTACATCAGCATTCAATCCTTGTTGGACCAAATCTTCAATGATTGCAATTGTGTCAAGCACAGGAACTTTGGTAAACAAAGAGACCACATCGAAACTAACAAGCAAATCACCTGGAGATAGTGAGATGTCCTTAATTAACGATACCAAGTGAGCCGAGTTGAGTACAGCAGAGGTGTTCTTACCAGTGAATGGTTGTAAGGTCTCAGACAGAAATCGGGCCAGTTTGTAGGTGGGTGAGTCAATGGTGGAGACAATAGGATGAAGGGGTGTCCCTTCTTTATGGATTTTTGGTAAGCCATACAATCTGGGTGGTCAAGCGGCAGAGGGTTTTAAGGAAAACCGCTTGGTTGGTCCGATCAAAGATGTCGAATTGGTGATGATATTGTTGGTTTTCGTAATAAGGCGGTTGGTGGGATCTCTTTTAATTTTGGTATAGCTACCATCATTAAGTAGGTCCTGAATTTTGTTATTGTATGTGGTTTTGTCCATGATAACTGTGGCATTGCCCTTGTCGGCTGAGAGGATGACGATGTCATCTCTCTTTTTTAATTGCGAAAACTCAAAGTGCTCATCTTTACTGATGTTGCTAAGAGGTGTTTTAGAGGATTGCAGCAATTTCCGGTTTAGAGTCAAACCTAATTCTCACGGAGATCAGAGTGAAGTGTGTGAACAAATGTGCTGCCACTCCTCATACACACACACACACACACAAGAAAACAGAGTTGTTGAAAAAAATATCTCTCGCAAAATATACAGCTCAGAAAATATTTTGCATGGCAGCATAGGTGAAGCAATTCAAATATGTTTTTCTGTCAGATCAGAAGAGCCAACTTGACTATAGCATTCAGCTGTAAAGGATTCAAGTAGTTTTGAGTCAATAATCTTCCATTAAGCAGGGCTTTAAAAAATGAATTGAAAATCAGTGACCGTTTCTTCACCAAATGGCGAGAAAACCAAGTGCTTAGCTGCGTTAGCAGTAGCCAAGGAGATGAATGTTGAATCAAGAAAAACTCCACTCAGATCAGTACTTGGCACAATGAGTGGATGAGGACAGGGCAGTGTGATGACATCGACAGTGAACGGCCTATTGTGCTGTACGCAACTAAGTTAGACTGTCTTTTTAATGTTTTTTTAAAAGCCACAATGGATGCCAATCATGGGCAAGACGAAGTGAAGACCACTCTAATTTTAGCTGTTACGGAGCAAAGAACTGGAAAATACTCCGATCCAGCTTTCATAGTGGATTCACCTGACTGCCACTGCTGCTAAATCCATTTGCACTTAGCCTCATTTGCGATGAGTCTGGCGCTATTCAGACTACAGAGCAGCCCGCAAGGAAAATCAAATAGTTTTTCCATCCACCCGCAACGGTTCAAACTCCTATTGGGAGCCATGAGTGCACAAACTAAAGCAATTTAACCAATTTTACTGTAAAGGAGTACCTTTATGGGAAATGCAAATTTTTTATTTTTTATTTTTACAATGGTCTCTTAAGCCCCAAACTTAATTCTGGCTTTGTATTCTCCCAATATGACCTAAATTAAAGTGGTGTTATGCTGTATAGTACACATATATACAAGGCATGCATCTATAACTAAAAACTTACAGAATTTATTTTCATGGAGAGCAACAAATAATGCAAACGCATCACCTGTAAGCGATATACAAAAACTGGCAACTGCAAAAGGATGGCATACTCACTGGAGAATCGTTTGACGAAGGCTGTTTCTCAGTTGACTTTTGTTTAAAGAAGGACTCCATTTGATACCCGCCAGGTGGTTTGAAACAAAATTTTCCAACCTTTGCCGCAAATTTTGATACGTAGACTGCAAAATCAAAAGACAAATATTAATGCATTGTTCGTTACTACAAATGGACCGATAAACATTTTGAGAGTGAACACACAATCCAAACCGGGTCACAACAAAACCACGAGTGATACCAAGCTGCTGTTTGCCAGGTCTCCTTTGCCAAAGTGGTGTAGCATTTCAGAAGTGGCTCAACCCGTTTCATTTAATACGGACGATTAAATATACCGAAACTCCCAATATGTTGCAGTGGTGGATTCCATTCGCAAATCCTGCTCACCGTATTTATCTTACCTGCGCGGTCACTCGCAAATAAATGTGGATAACAGGAGCAACTTGCCGTTACATCCGGCTGACTCCTCTGGTCTGCAAAACGATCGCAGATAAGAGGTGAACATTTGGGGGGATCGCTTCCAAATGCCACGGCTTTGTGGATAAGTGCCAATAGGAGGATTTTCCACTCAAAAAGATAAATCTGCTGAATGGTCCCGTACAACTGAAGTCGAAGTGTGGTGTGCTGCATTATGATCGTCACAACCATCATCACCTTTACCAATATTACTACCCATCACCAGCATCAGCGCCCTATTCATCATTCCCGTTACTACCATCTTCATCATCATCCTCGATTATCTATCCCGTGCTGGATGAAGGCGTCCCTGTGTCATCCTTCACGGTCTATCGATGCTACAATCCATCTTCATCTATCACTTATCTCAACGCGAATCTCACGCAGCGCCATGGAACCAAGGCCATGCACGGTGCACTTGAGCTCAGTGGGTCCATTGCCCAGCAACAACAAAAATCAATGATACAACTATTACTCCGTCATTATCAATTCATCATAGTCGCCATCATCATCTTCATAAATGTATCATCAACATGCATTTAGTCATACGAATCAATTGATCATCAATTGATCGATTATGACCAATCATCATGCACCGTTGTGCGAGATGGCAAATTAAAAAAACAGGAATTGTTTTTTTCCCACGATGACTCCTCTAATCCGCGAAATCGCTGCGGACAAACGAGTCGCGAATGAGCCCGAGTCTCGAGCGAGTTTAAACTGCTGAGTCTGTAGCGTTGGGTCGATCGCGAGTCAGTATCCGTGGTGTGATGAGTGTGGTGTGGCGAGTGTGTAGTGTGGTGAGTGGAGTGTGGTGAGTGTGGTGTGGTGAGTGTGGTTAGTGTGGTGAGTGTGTAGTGTGGTGAGTGTGGCGAGTGTAGTGTGGTGAGTGTGGTTAGTGTGGTGAGTGTAGTGTGGTGAGTGTGTTGTGGTCAGTGTGGTGAGTGTGGTGTGGTAAGTGTGGTGTGATGAGTGTGGTGTGGCGAGTGTGTAGTGTGGTGAGTGGAGTGTGGTGAGTGTGGTGTGGTGAGTGTAGTGAGTGTAGTATGGTGAGTGTGGTGAGTGTAGTGTGGTGAGTGTAGTGTGGTGAGTGTGGTGAGTGTAGTGTGGTGAGTGTGGTGTGGGGAGTGTGGTGAGTGTGGTGTGGTGAGTATGGTCAGTGTGGTGAGTGTAGTGTGGTGAGTGTAGTGTGGTGAGTGTAGTGTGGTGAGTGTGTTGTGGTCAGTGTGGTGAGTGTGGTGTGGTAAGTGTGGTGTGATGAGTGTGGTGTGGCGAGTGTGTAGTGTGGTGAGTGGAGTGTGGTGAGTGTGGTGTGGTGAGTGTAGTGAGTGTAGTATGGTGAGTGTGGTGAGTGTAGTGTGGTGAGTGTAGTGTGGTGAGTGTGGTGAGTGTAGTGTGGTGAGTGTGGTGTGGGGAGTGTGGTGAGTGTGGTGTGGTGAGTATGGTCAGTGTGGTGAGTGTAGTGTGGTGAGTGTAGTGTGGTGAGTGTAGTGTGGTGAGTGTGTTGTGGTCAGTGTGGTGAGTGTGGTGTGGTAAGTGTGGTGTGATGAGTGTGGTGTGGCGAGTGTGTAGTGTGGTGAGTGGAGTGTGGTGAGTGTGGTGTGGTGAGTGTAGTGAGTGTAGTATGGTGAGTGTGGTGAGTGTAGTGTGGTGAGTGTAGTGTGGTGAGTGTGGTGAGTGTAGTGTGGTGAGTGTGGTGTGGGGAGTGTGGTGAGTGTGGTGTGGTGAGTATGGTCAGTGTGGTGAGTGTAGTGTGGTGAGTGTAGTGTGGTGAGTGTAGTGTGGTGAGTGTGTTGTGGTCAGTGTGGTGAGTGTGGTGTGGTAAGTGTGGTGTGATGAGTGTGGTGTGGCGAGTGTGTAGTGTGGTGAGTGGAGTGTGGTGAGTGTGGTGTGGTGAGTGTAGTGAGTGTAGTATGGTGAGTGTGGTGAGTGTAGTGTGGTGAGTGTAGTGTGGTGAGTGTGGTGAGTGTAGTGTGGTGAGTGTGGTGTGGGGAGTGTGGTGAGTGTGGTGTGGTGAGTATGGTCAGTGTGGTGAGTGTAGTGTGGTGAGTGTAGTGTGGTGAGTGTAGTGTGGTGAGTGTGTTGTGGTCAGTGTGGTGAGTGTGGTGTGGTAAGTGTGGTGTGATGAGTGTGGTGTGGCGAGTGTGTAGTGTGGTGAGTGGAGTGTGGTGAGTGTGGTGTGGTGAGTGTAGTGAGTGTAGTATGGTGAGTGTGGTGAGTGTAGTGTGGTGAGTGTAGTGTGGTGAGTGTGGTGAGTGTAGTGTGGTGAGTGTGGTGTGGGGAGTGTGGTGAGTGTGGTGTGGTGAGTATGGTCAGTGTGGTGAGTGTAGTGTGGTGAGTGTAGTGTGGTGAGTGTAGTGTGGTGAGTGTGTTGTGGTCAGTGTGGTGAGTGTGGTGTGGTAAGTGTGGTGTGATGAGTGTGGTGTGGCGAGTGTGTAGTGTGGTGAGTGGAGTGTGGTGAGTGTGGTGTGGTGAGTGTAGTGAGTGTAGTATGGTGAGTGTGGTGAGTGTAGTGTGGTGAGTGTAGTGTGGTGAGTGTGGTGAGTGTAGTGTGGTGAGTGTGGTGTGGGGAGTGTGGTGAGTGTGGTGTGGTGAGTATGGTCAGTGTGGTGAGTGTAGTGTGGTGAGTGTAGTGTGGTGAGTGTAGTGTGGTGAGTGTGTTGTGGTCAGTGTGGTGAGTGTGGTGTGGTAAGTGTGGTGTGATGAGTGTGGTGTGGCGAGTGTGTAGTGTGGTGAGTGGAGTGTGGTGAGTGTGGTGTGGTGAGTGTAGTGAGTGTAGTATGGTGAGTGTGGTGAGTGTAGTGTGGTGAGTGTAGTGTGGTGAGTGTGGTGAGTGTAGTGTGGTGAGTGTGGTGTGGGGAGTGTGGTGAGTGTGGTGTGGTGAGTATGGTCAGTGTGGTGAGTGTAGTGTGGTGAGTGTAGTGTGGTGAGTGTAGTGTGGTCAGTGTGTTGTGGTCAGTGTGGTGAGTGTGGTGTGGTAAGTGTGGTGTGATGAGTGTGGTGTGGCGAGTGTGTAGTGTGGTGAGTGGAGTGTGGCGAGTGTGTAGTGTGGTGAGTGGAGTGTGGTGAGTGTGGTGTGGTGAGTGTAGTGAGTGTAGTATGGTGAGTGTGGTGAGTGTAGTGTGGTGAGTGTAGTGTGGTGAGTGTGGTGAGTGTAGTGTGGTGAGTGTGGTGTGGGGAGTGTGGTGAGTGTGGTGTGGTGAGTATGGTCAGTGTGGTGAGTGTAGTGTGGTGAGTGTAGTGTGGTGAGTGTAGTGTGGTGAGTGTAGTGTGGTGAGTGTGTTGTGGTCAGTGTGGTGAGTGTGGTGTGGTAAGTGTGGTGTGATGAGTGTGGTATGGTGAGTGTAGTGTGGTGAGTGTGGTGTGTGTGTGGTGTGGTGAGTGTGGTGTGGCGAGTGAGTGTGGTGTGGCGAGTGAGTGTGGTGAGTGTGGTGAGTGTAATGAGTGTGGGGAGTGTGGGGAGTGTGGTGAGTTTGTGGTGTTGTGTGTGGTGTTGAGTGTGGTGAGTGTGCCGAGTGTGGTCAGTGGAGTGTGGTGAGTGTGGTGTGGTGAGTGTGGTGAGTGTGTGGTGGTGAGTGTGGTGAGTGTAGTGTGGTGAGTGTGGTGTGGTGAGTGTGGTGAGTGGTGAGTGTGGTGTGGTGAGTGTAGTGAGTGTAGAGTGGTGAGTGTGGTGTGGTGAATGTGGTGTGGTGAATGTGGTGTGGTGAGTGTGGTGAGTGTGGCGAGTGTAGTGTGGTGAGTGTGGTGAGTGTGGTGTGGGGAGTGTGGTGAGTGTGGTGTGGTGAGTGTGGTCAGTGTGGTGAGTGAGTGTGGTGAGTGTAGTGTGGTGAGTGTAGTGTGGTGAGTGTGTTGTGGTCAGTGTGGTGAGTGTGGTGTGGTGAGTGTGGTGTGATGAGTGTGGTATGGTGAGTGTGGTATGGTGAGTGTGGTGTGGTGAGTGTGGTGTAGTGAGTGTGGTGTGGCGAGTGAGTGTGGTGTGGCGAGTGAGTGTGGTGAGTGTAGTGAGTGTGGGGAGTGTGGTGAGTTTGTGGTGTTGTGTGTGGTGTTGAGTGTGGTGAGTGTGCCGAGTGTGGTCAGTGGAGTGTGGTGAGTGTGGTGAGCTGAGTGTGCTAAGTGAGCTGAGTGTGGTGAGTGGAGTGTGGTGAGTGTGGTGAGTGTGGTGAGTGTGGTGAGTGAGTGTGGTGTAGTGAGGTGAGCTGAGTGTGGTGAGTGGAGTGTGGTGAGTGAGTGTGGTATGGTGAGTGAGTGTGGTGAGTGTGGTGAGTGAGTGTGGTGAGTGTGGTGAGTGTGGTTAGTGTGGTGAGTGAGTGTGGTGAGCTGAGTGTGGTATGGTGAGTGTCGTGAGTGTGGTGAGTGTGGTGTGGTGAGTGTGGTGTAGTGAGTGTGGTGAGTGTGCTGAGTGTGGTGAGTGAGTGTGGTGAGTGTGCTGAGTGTGGTGAGTGAGTGTGGTGAGCTGAGTGTGGTGAGTGTGGTGAGCTGAGTGTGGTGAGTGTGGTGTGGTGAGTGTGGTGAGTGTGGTGAGCTGAGTGTGGTATGGTGAGTGAGTGTGGTGAGTGTGGTGAGCTGAGTGTGGGGAGTATGGTGAGTGTGGTGAGTGAGTGTGGTGAGTGTGGCGAGTGTGGTGAGTGTGGTGTGGTGAGTGTGGTGTGGTGTGGTGAGTGTGGTGAGCTGAGTGTGGTGAGCTGAGTGTGTGAGTGTGGTGAGTGGTGAGTGTGCTGAGTGTGGTGAGCTGAGTGTGTGAGTGTGGTGAGTGAGTGTGGTGAGTGTGGTGAGTGTGGTGTGGTGAGTGTGGTGAGTGAGTGTGGTGAGGTGAGTGTGGTGAGTGTGGTGAGTGTGGCGAGTGTGGGGAGTGTGGTGAGTGAGTGTGGTGTGGTGAGTGTGGTGTGGTGAGTGTGGTGAGTGTAGTGTGGTAAGTGTGGTGTGGTGAGTATGGTGTGGTGAGTGAGTGTGGTGTGGTAAGTGTGGTGAGCTGAGTGTGGTGTGGTAAGTGTGGTGAGCTGAGTGTGGTATGGTGAGTGTGGTGAGTGTGGTGAGCTGAGTGTGGTGAGTGTGTGTGGTGTGGTGAGTGTGGTGTGGTGAGTGTGGTGAGTGAGTGTGGTGTGGTGAGTGTGGTGTGGTGAGTGTGGTGAGCTGAGTGTGGTGAGTGTGGTGTGGTGAGTGTGGTGAGTGAGTGTGGTGAGCTGAGTGTGGTGAGCTGAGTGTGGTGAGTGTGGTGTGGTGAGTGAGTGTGGTGAGTGAGTGTGGTGTGGTGAGTGTGGTGTGGTGAGTGTGGTGAGTGTGGTGTGGTGAGTGTGGTGAGTGTGGTGAGTGTGGTGTGGTGAGTGAGTGTGGTGTGGTGAGTGTGGTGTGGTGAGTGTGGTGAGCTGAGTGTGGTGAGTGTGGTGTGGTGAGTGTGGTGAGTGAGTGTGGTGAGCTGAGTGTGGTGAGCTGAGTGTGGTGAGTGTGGTGTGGTGAGTGAGTGTGGTGAGTGAGTGTGGTGTGGTGAGTGTGGTGAGTGTGGTGTGGTGAGTGTGGTGAGTGTGGTGAGTGTGGTGTGGTGAGTGAGTGTGGTGAGTGAGTGTGGTGAGTGTGGTATGGTGAGTGTGGTGAGTGTGGTGAGCTGAGTGTGCGAGGCTGTAGTTGAGGCCTTGCCTTCGTGTCAATGTCGGCCAAGCAGTCGCGACGGAACTGATCGAACATTCCCTGCGACTTGAGGTGACCCACGATGTTGGACACCAGCTTGGGGTCGCCCGGCGGGAGGTTCGAAGCCATGGCCGCGCGTTCGCGAGCGCCTTAATGAGTTTAATTTAATTGTTTCGTGATTTTTTTTGTTATAAAATCGAGGGGACAGACGAGCTAAGGCTGCATTTGTCGCTTACTTGGCGATCGCGTGGAGGCCCAAGGGGCACGATTCGGACCCCGCGCGATTCGCGGTGAACGGCGCTTCGCCTGCGCATTCACCAGCGCGCAGATTCGCGCGGAGTAACGAATTTATTTTTATTTTAAATGTAAACGCGTTTATTTATATCGACAGCCACACAACTGAGCCTCGTGACTCTATTTTTTTGCTGGAGAGTTTTCGCCGCTAATTAACGTTTTTTTTAATTTAAGGATGTTTTCAGACGATTAATGATGATTTGGAAGGAAACCCACGCCTTGCGAGATGGGGCACAACGCTCTATAACCGCCGTATAGATGGGAACAGATGGCGATTAGTCCACTTGCTTGAACCGCCTTCTCCCGATTCACCAATCATTTGCTGGATTACAGGCATGCACCACCAACCAACTTCCCAGCAATGACAAATTATGGCATTCCTTAGTCGGTATTTTTGTTGTGTCGTATACCCTCCGCCACCCCGACGCAGCCACTGTTAAAAGTTGGCACGTGAACGCACGTGGCCAATTTGTTACCATCTTCTTGGTTCTTTCGGTAAAGTCACATAGAAGGGAAAGTAATAAAATAATAAAAATAAAACATAATAAAATAAAATAATTCTCACGACGTTTCGGCCACAACGCAAGCAGCCGTCTTCAGGTTGCTTGCGTTGTCGCCGAAACGTCGTGAGAATTATTTTATTTTATTATGTTTTATTTTTTATTATTTTATTACTTCCCTTCTACGTGACTTTACCGAAAGAACCAAGAAGATGGATCCCTGCAGTCACGAAAGCTTTAAATCGAAATTTGTTACCACTTCAGCAGCACCGCCGCCGATATTGTTTGAGAACGACCCACAACCCATTGAACAATTTGGCGATGCTGCTACCGCTGCGGTGTTGGCAGTGCTGCAGCAAGCACAATTAATACTGGTAGCAACCTCCTGGTTACACCAACCCACAGGGGATTATTGTGTCCGTCCGTCCGTCGTGCAGGGAGGGGCTGGGTGGGGAGGGAGGGGCTGGGTGGGGAGGGGAGGGTAGGGAGGGGCTGGGTGGGGAGGGTGGGGCTGGGTGGGGAGGGGAGAGTGGGGAAGGGCTGGGTGGGGAGGGTGGGGCTGGGTGGGGCTGGGTGGGGGGTGGGAGGGGTGGGGCTGGGTGGGGAGGGGCTGCGTGGGGAGTGTGGCGCTGGGTGGGGAGGGTGGGACTGGGTGGGGTGGGGAGGGGCTGGGTGGGGAGAGTGGGGCTGGGTGTGGGGTGGGAGGGGTGGGGCTGGGTGGGGAGGGGCTGCGTGGGGAGTGTGGCGCTGGGTGGGGAGGGTGGGACTGGGTGGGGTGGGGAGGGGCTGGGTGGGGAGAGTGGGGCTGGGTGGGGGTGGGAGGGGTGGGGCTGGGTGGGGAGGGGCTGGTCACCCCGTGGTGCCCTTATAAAACTCAACGTTTAACCTACTCACGCCGGCTTGTGCCCGCCCTCACAGTCGGGCATATTTGCGGAATACACCACGCCGCCGTTGACCCTGGCCATTGACCGAGCAACCCAACGTTCCTACCAGCTCCCTCCGCAGGAATGTGTTTAAAAACTCAACAGAATTATGGAATGAGAAGAATAAGAGGTACCCTTTCCAACACAGGTGTTGAGATATTCAAACACCAAATAAACACCTTGCTGAAATTGAACCTTGTTGAAAGGCATCAAGCTATGCTTCTTATTCAATAACTCGCCTTTTGCCCGTCCAAGGACGACGGGTGTATTGCAGTAAATCTGAAACTTGCAAGCGAAAAGCAGACCACGACGTGATATAATCATTGCATCAATTCGTGTGCAATTTGTAAGTGCGCGGTGACACAGACCTATTGCATTTAAAGGTTATAATCCCTTACTCTTTGGTTATTTCGGTAAGGTCACGTAGGTATAAAATAGATTAAATCACGACGTTTCGGGCGCAACGCAAGCGCCCGTCATCAGGTGGGACAACCACAGCAATTGTGTTGCGCCCAAAACGTCGTGATTGAATGTATTTTATGTTCTACCTACGTGACTTTACCGAAAGAACCAAAGAGTATGGATCCCTGCAGTCACGAAAACTTCACATCTATATTATAATCCGTTGTTCATCAATACGTCCTTTTTACTTTGATGTCTCAACAACAGCGTTACGGAGATGCGTGACGTGAGGGTTCTGCCTTTGTAGTGAGGGTTGTAAGTTGACGCTGAAAAGGGGGGAAGAGGCGTCTCGGTCCCCCCATGTGCAGTGACGTCACCCGCTAAATATTATTAATGAGGGGGGTGTCCATGTGCAGGACGTGACCTGTTAATGATTTTTATTTAAAGCTTTCGTGACTGTTCTTGGTTCTTTCGGTAATGTCACGTAGAAGGGAAACAATGAAATCATAAAATAATACAAATATAAAACAATAACATTCTCACGACGTTTAGACTGCAACACAAGCAATCATCATCAGGTGTGAAATCCGTAGCAAGAAATTTTGAAAAACGTGGCGGTTTTTAAATTAAGTTTGCTTGCTTGCTTAGGACCGTGTAAATATTTCGGTCGTTTTTTAACCCACTTCCCGTGATCCAATCGAGCTGACATTTTCCACACAGACTCGTTGTGCGTGACAATTAATGTTCGTGAAAAAGACATTTCCAAAATTTTACACTTTTTAGGACAAAAATATTATATTTAATTACCAATTGCTTAATGGTGGCAGGCAATCATCTGACCCATATGTGGCAGCCATCTCAAGCCAGAGGACGAGAGGACTCTAGCAGCCACGCATATAAAGGATTTATAGTGAAAAACTTTTTTTACGGGTTAATTTTTTTTCTTAACGTCAGCACCACGGACAGCGATTTGGCAGTTGTTCAGACGGGCGAGTCCATCTATGTTCGGAAAAGAGGAGGGGGAGACGAAGAGAATGGAATGCGGTCTGAAAGTCACCGTAAGCGTGAACACAATCAGTTAAGACCCGAAATGGTTTATCAAATCCTTCCAATGATTGCTGAGCCAGAATCCATCTTCTCGGTTGAAATTGTCTCTGTGTTTGTATATGTGGATAGCCTCATGAACGAATCTCTCATGGTAGCCAGATGGCTTGCAGAGAACCTCTGTCTTGGAGAAGTCAATGTCATGTGAGCCCACTGAATTATAACAGTGATCTGCCACAGCAGAGGTGTTGGTCCTACCGTGTTTTAGGTCTGCTTTGTGTTCACGGATGCGGTCCGAGACATGGCTTTTAGTTTCTCCATTGTTACTACTACCACAGAGGCAACTCAGTTTGTAGACACCAGGGTACTTTATGTCCGGAATCGCATCTTTTATAGACGGAACCAGATCACGGATTGTATGTAATGTGTTGAATCGGACCTGTAGCTTGTGTTTATTTAAGATTTTGGAAAGAACCAAGAATATAATGTGAAGTAGGTTTATACAGTATGTTAATTCCCAAGCAATTTTTGTCTTTGTATATACAACTTGGGTTTCTTGTCGAGTGTTTGCATTTCTGCGTAATATTTTGTCATTATTTTGGATTAGCGATTTTAATTTGTATTTGAGAATTTACATGAAGCATGATGCCAGCGGGCAATGTTTAATGTTGGGCCAGAGCTCATTAGAGTGTTAATTACTGCAACTTGCCGAGTAACAGCATAGCTTGGGAACTCCATTCCGATTGCCAGAGATTTGCCACGTGTCGGTGAGCATTACTCTGTGGTAATGTGGTGTTCCATCTGTTACCCTACGAATTGCAAGCGCAATGGTTGTGCTGTTTTGCTACACGCTACGCTCAAACATATCTGAAAGATATACAATTGAGCAGTGTGTCCCCGGCCTGTGGTCTATGCACAGCTGCTGTGATGGGAAGCGGCCCATAGTGTTGTTGCAGATCCTGCGATCGTAATGTTATTGGTGCATGTTGGTCTGCGGAATAACTGTCGAGGGTTCAACATGATCTGTGGCTACAAAACGACTGGGAACCATTGCGACGTAGTTTATGTTTATTATATATGTGCAAACAAAAGGACACCAACGGCCACTGCGTTTTAGAAGAATATTTGTCTCACGTTCATATTGAACGCTGTCGCTTGCAACTCAATATGTACCTCCAACATTGTGACGTTGAATCTCCCAGCTAAACATTTAACTACCACATAAGCGTGCATGGCTGTGCTGTATATAACTATCCGACGTGTTCTCGAGGTTTTACCGCGTTTTGTTTTTCATGATAGCTGACGTTTCGCTCCACGTGCTTTTTCAGGCATATTGGCCATGCCGAAATAAGCTCAACCGTAACGTTGGAGAGAAATGTTTGGCACTATGCCGAACAAAGGCGCAGTACAATAAAAACATACATCAGAGAGATAAACTAAAAACTACGTAACCACTTAAATAGAAGCGCTTTGATATTGGACAACGCTTTGATATTGTACATTCGGAAGGAATGTATTTTATAGGGTTCATGGATTGGCAGACCATCTGCAACTCTTCAGGGCAAACCCTGCCAGCTCTGCACGCATTTGCTCATTAATTTCATGCTGCCTGGTTAGAAGTCCTATAAAACTCAATTTCTTGCCTTCAGATTTCACACAGTATAAAAAAAACCATTTTGATAAGGATAGAAACACAGCCTAATTTATGTTCAATTAATGACAAATACTTTTGCTTAAAGGATAGTGTAATAAATAAGGTCCATACGCATTTCTTAGCACGAGAATCCACAATTTTAGAAATCACGTTGTTGTTTTGTATGGTTAATAATTTAGTACTGTACTAACATATGTAGCTAAAATAAGCCTAGTGTTAATGGTGTTTGCCTGTTAATTAGTAGCATGCTTTGAAAATTTGTTTTACTTCGGTATCATCAAATGTGAAATGATACCCTCTCTCTCCAGTCTAAAATTGGCAGAATTCTTAAATCCAGGGCCTTCCATTTAAGCTGGCCATATAACAGCTTAATGAAATGTCCTTGTATAAAGTTATTTAATACAGAGATAAAAGACGTTGGCTCGAGATTTGTGGCTCGTGCGTGGTCTGATGCAGATGGTTTATGGGCATGATACTAAATAACTGGGCCCCAACACAGGCCCGGCCAGCCAAATTGGGGATTGCAAAGTGCCAGCCTCAGGTGTGGCCAATAACATTGATAATTCAATTACACTGGCAGTACATGAAAGCCTATGGAACCCGGTTTATCCAGATGGGCGAGCAAGATAAGAAAATAGTTTGAGCCATCAGTCACTGGCATGCTCATCACAAATGCTATTATGTTTTGTTGCTCTGACATAAAAACAACGATGGCACGCAACTTTATGGATGAATGTATATGGCTATTAAGAAAAGTGGTGACGTGATCTTTAATTAAAAGATTTTGGAATGAGGTAAAGTGTATGCTTCAAAAGAGATACCAACAACGCCAAGTCGGGCTCCAGACACTGGACAGCATTATTGTTGACACGAATGCAATAAACGGGGATAGTGTTGTGATATGTCATAGGGTGCATTGGTATAAAACGCAGTCCAAGGTCACATGGCTGCTGTTTTTTTTTGTATAACAAATTGTGGTTATTGAGCCAGTGTTACGAATGCAGTATTGTACATTGCACATAAATGTAATCACATAACCGTGGTGTACTGGGTAGAATCAATGCAACTTATAAATTAAGGGCATTTTAAACGCATTTTGTGCAGGTGCACATGGAACTTTGTTACATCTTTAAAGGCAAAAGTCCAAGTAAGATTTCTTGCTCATCTGTTTACAACCCTGAGCCATTAACATAAAATTCCACATTCCTATATCAGTGGTAAGAATAGCACAACCACCGTTTATTTGACCACAAAGTGGTACTTATTTTATCTCCGTCTAATGGATGACAGCATGAGTCAACCTCCAATCAGGATTTGAACTCGCAACCTTCAAATTGCATCTTCACAGTCCCAAAATATACATTATATTTAAGAGGAAACTGACTCCCATCACTGTACAAGTGTGCTGTCACAATGACATTTTGAATAGGATTCAGTAGTGTCCCCTTTGAAAAGTTTGCAGAGTCCTTTGTACATATAGGTTTGGACTTATATACACCTTGATGGGAAATGAACGTCTGATTGTGACTTATGATATATCTTTATCATGCCATTGCATAATTACATTGCAATTTTTTTTTTATTATGATTATTAAGCATTTTCGGGTGATGAGCTCGGTAATCCGGGAGATCTTCAGAGTCGAGCTTGCTGCTCCTCTGGATCGAGGCGAGCCAGTTGAGGTGGTTCGGCCACCTGGTAAGGATGTCCCCTCGGTAGACTTCCCCTGGAATTCTACCGGGCAGCAGCAGCAGCAACGTCCCACTGGGCGTAGACCCCGGGGCCGTCCCAGGCCACGCTGCTGGCGGGACCATGTCGCTCGGTTGGCCTGGGAACATCTGCGTATAGTAGTGCAGTGTATAGTGTAGTAGTGTATAGTGTAGTGTAGCACTGTATAGTGTATAGTAGTAGTGTATAGTGTAGTGTAGCAGTGTCTAGTGATGTAGTGCTGGAGTCTGTCGCGAGGGCAAGGGAGGTCTGGACCGCCACGACTCAACACGCTGCCGCCGCGACCCTTACCAGGACAAGCGGATTGAGAAACGAATGATTAAAAAGTGTGTGTACGTATGATAATTGTTTTTTTACACTTTTATCTGGCAACAAAACGGACACCTTTTTTACAATGAGTCATGTTTGCATTGACCACAATACCTGCGGTCGGAATGCAAACAGAAAACACAACTCTGATAATGTATGCACTGTCCTTGAAATTGATTTGGTGTCATCTGGTCCAACACATGTGAGACTAGGCTCTAAGGAAAGCTGTCTCGGGTGTGGACCAATCAATTTCAAGGACAGTGCATACATTATCAGAGTTGTGTTTTTTGTTTGCATTCCGACCGCAGGTATTGTGGTCAATGCAAACGTGACTCCTTGTAAAAAAGGTGTCAGTTTTGTTGCCAGATAAAAGGGTAGAAAAACAATTATCATATTTTAGTACTGGCAAAGGAGTTTCCAATGGTGTCTGTGTACGTATTTTTCTGTCACTTGTCCAGGGATGATGGCACTATTGTTTTATTACTCCGAGTAATAAAAACGGTGGCATGTAACTTTATGGATTAATGTAAATAGATTTTTTAAAAGTTGCGATTGACCTTTTTTTAATGCTTTTGTAATGGAAAAACGTGTATGTTCGAAAAAGGAAAACCTAAAACTACACCTAAATGAGGCACTCATCTGCACGTTTGTCTGGGGACAACAAATTATCAGCCCATTACACCAATTCCAATGGATGGTGTGTCATTTGAAAGATTGATGTTCATGAGAACCAGGTCAAAAGCATTTCACCCACTTCTGATTATTTGGCCACACGCATTGCTTATTCGCTATACCATTTACAATAAACTGGCGCGTGGTGCAAAGCCACTCTTCAAAAGCCATACACCGGATAGGCGTTAGCAGTCAGCCAGGGAATCCTTCAGTCATTAATTTTCGTGGGGGGGAAAAAATCAACGGACCTCACGCACCTCATTGCCTCGCCACATTTAAACCACCGGGTCATGTAGAAACAACTTACCCGCGCCCCACCATGGAGTGTGTGTGTGCCTGTACGTTCACTAACCGAATGATACCAGTACTTTTTTTTCGATTTAAAGCTTTCGTGACTGCAGGGATTCATCTTCTTGGTTCTTTCGGTAAAGTCACGTAGAATGGAAATAATAAAATAATAAAAATAAAACATAATAAAATAATATAATAAATCTCGCTATTTTTTATGTTTTATTTTTATTATTTCCATTCTACGTGATTTTACCGAAAGAACCAAGAAGATGATACCAGTACTGTTTATCAGTTTTCAATTCATTGGTGGAGCCAATGAATTGAAAACTGTGGAGGGAGGGTTAATTTAACCAGACTTCTCCATGCCGATCAGTGTGGATTGAAGGTGGGAGAGGCAGAGACACGGGGGCCTCGTCAAAGCACAGTACAGGGTGGTCCAGATATCTTGACCCCGAATTAACGGACCCCTGTCATTTTATTTCATATTATTACACACCCATTGGGATACAAGAAAATTAAGTTTTAGATAATTTAATTGGGGCTCAAGACATAAAGACCACTCTGTCCAATTTGTTTTTTGTAATGCCCTCTCTATTGGCCACCTCGCAGCCCGACAGAAGTGAATGACAACCTGGGCATCCATCCCAGGACATGCCAGGCTCAACCGCATGCTTAGCTTCAGATCCCGAGATCGAATGACATGCAGTGCATTGTGTGACTGTCCTCGGCAGCTGAAGTCATAACTGTACTGCAATGTTCAAATCAGTCTGCAGCCGGCTACATTGCTATTCATTAAAATGGGCATTACAGCTAATCCCGCAGCAAAATCAATTGTTACAAGGCAGGCTGCTCACTCACTCACCTGGATCATCGCATTAACCATTGAACTCTATTCAAAATCTAATCTAGTGTTAATTTGCATTGGTTTTGGTGATAACGTGTTTCATGTAAACGGTGTCACTGTTGCAGCTATGTGCCCGTCTGAAAGTGAATGTTTGGGAATATTGTGCGTGAAATTAATGGCTTGGTAGAATGAGCAGGAGTCTTCCATTACTGGTGAGAGCCGTGTCTGTGAGTGCACACAGCGTCAGAAAGCATTTCGCATACTTGCCAAATGTACTTATTTAAATTGTGGACTGCCAGAATTTTAACCAGGTCGTTCAAAGCTAACCATACTGCTTTATAGAATGCTCAAAAAAACATTTCGACACAAATAGAAATTTGGTATGCTGTAGAAATTGGTTTTGAAAAATGTGGCAGTTTTCCATTCAAATTGATAGGGGTTGGTAAATAAGGTGTTGGCAAATGTTCCTTTTAGATTGAGAAAATGTACCCATGTCTCCATAACCAACGATGCGCGCAAATAACCACGGCTGATGTGTTTCCAGCGATTTCGTCAACGTGTCAACCTGGGCCCAAATAAAATTGTTTTACTGTATACGGTAAGGTTAGTTATAGCTTTGTTAAAATAAGCAGCACTATTGGCAAAATCATTAACATGGAAAAACAAAAAAACACACAAAGATCGTGAAGCCACAGTATTAGGAGTGGTTGCAGGCTTGATTTCATAACAAAGTGTTAGAACCAAAAGAGTCAGAAGAAGCATTAGAGTCAGAAGAAAAAGCACACACGCGGACAGGGGTTAGCTTAAAGCAGACGTATACAGTTTAATTTTTGCAATTAACATTCACACTACAAATACTGAGGAATTACCTGAAGATAATAATGCTTTGCGACAAATCCTTTCGATACAGAAACACTTTACCCAGATTCAAGTACCACAGGCTATGCTGAAAACACCAAACCATTTTTTTTTGATAGTGTAGATACACAAAGAAACGTGAGGAGGTAAATGCATATCCATACCAGAATGTGGGAATCTGTTTATTTTAAAAACATATAAACATTGTGTCATAAGCATATCATTTATTTAACTCTCCATATACATTCTTATTATGAAGAGCACTATTCATTCCTGCTAGCCTCTGCTCAAAAACTGCGCAATCACCACTCGCCTTGCACTAAATGAAACCAGCAACCCAGTTTTTTTCTAGTGTAAACCACAGCGTTGAGTTTTTAGAGTCTAGTTTTTTTAAATAACAAAAAAATTCCATCTCCAAAAAATCGTCAATAAAAACAAACTTTATAGAATTAGATCATAAAATTATATACTCCAACATAGAAATACAAAAAAAATATTAAATGAAAGGTTTTCCCAAGATCTTTTATATATATTTTTTAAAAGAAACTAAAAAATAATTATGAAAAAGTGTGAAAAATCTCCCCCTTTTTCTGAAAAAATCTTTCTAAAATAATTACAATCATACAATTGTATTTAAGTATAAACTTAATATGAAAAATAAGGGGTTTCTTTCTCTCTTCTTTAAACTACAGTAGAAAAATGAGTGGATAACAAAGTCAAAAAGATTTTGCACCAAAAAATAAATCTAAGTTTCCAGGCCTTTTTTTAGCTTTATGAATAATATTAATGATTATTATTATTGCACATTACAACAGTGTCAATGCCGAGAGCAGGTGTGTTGAAAGCCATGCCTGTGCAATCCTTCTGAATCCTTGTGACCTGTTGCATTGTGGGTTTAAATGCCATTTCTCCGTAATGCACAATTGCAAGTGTCATCATATCAGCTTCATTACCATAATAATTTAAGAATTAAATTACATATTAAGGTCCATTTTGGTTACGATGGAATAATACAAACCAAAAATTAAAAGGTAAAAAAATTAAAGAGTAAAAACCAAAAAAACAGGAACAAGTTTCCTCATACATAAACCGAATCCGCAAATAGTCTGCAGATTTGTTTGTTTGTTTTTTCAGAGCAGATCGCACTCTCCTGAACATTAACGGATTTTCAAAAATGGACAACTCGTTTTTCCATTTCCCATCGAACCTACAACAATTACAGCAACATTCTTCGACGGAACCCCACGCGCAGCAAAACTCTGTAAGAAAATAAACACAAATCAAATACAAAAATAAAACTATGTGTGATTTGAGGGCCACGTAAAATGTATTGCCATGCCAAGACCTGAAGCGAGCGTCTGTCTGTAAGCCGGTGTGCGCGCTTTAGGTAGTGAACCCCCCCTGAGCTAGGAAGCCAAGCAGACTAAAGAACACACTGTCGACATGAGATTCATCTCGTCTTCTGAACATTTTAGCGTTGTCCCGAACAGCCAAAACCACCAGATTTGTTTTCACGAAGGGATTTTGGAATAAAGATCCAGGCTATAGTTACATTAAGCCAGCGCTACCTACAATTCTTTACAATAAAGTATATAAAAAGCTCTCAGTCAATTCGAAGTTTAGAAAGCAGAGCGATGCAAAAAATAAAAGTTTTCCATCTCTTAATTTTTTTCATGCAGAATTAAATTATACATTTTTATGAATAATAAACTTAGAAAATATTCTTTCTTTCCTGCTTCTGAAAAATTGAGGTATTGCAAAAAGATGCAGCAGAGAGAAGCATGCCTACAAAAGTCTGTGTGTCTGAAAAAATTGTCCTAAGGATACAAAAGTAGTGCATACCAACAAATGTGGATGTGGGTTATGAAAAATAGAAAACCACTATTGGGCAGCAAACGACGCACCAAAAGGCCCAGGAATCGTTCGTCTCCCATCTCAAAATGTGATTAGACAGAAATTAGTTCACCAGTACAAAAAGCTCAAGTCATTTTCCAAAACATCAAAAATTCAGCTCCATGACAGCAACTCGATGACGGGGAAAAAACGCACAATACAGCACAACACTGAACACACAGTAACGCCACGCTAAATTTGCCATAGGCTATAATAATGCGACCGCTACAATATCAATATCGTCGCTAGTAACTCGCTAAATGCTTTTTAGAAATACTATGAGGAAAAAAAACCCCTTTCTTAGGTTATACATTTTTTTCCAGTATCTTTGTTAGTGAGTCGAAAAAACACCCGCACAATACTTTGTGAGATAAACAATCACAGCAGCACTCTATATTCAAGCCTTGGGAGGAGGGGATTCTGTACTCTACTGCAGCTTCAAGTTAAGGATGGTTTGTGGTGTAAGGTAGGGGGGGGGCAGGGTGAAGCTTGTCTCCATTTTGACTTACTGCAGAGTAAATCGGACGCTGTTCTTACGGTTTTGCACTAGCGTTGGGGGGGGGGGCTGAACATTTTGGTTAATAGTTTTTATCGTCGCAATTTTGTTTGAACCACTACGGTGCAGCATCCGTCTTTGGTGTGCCAAAATAAAATTGAGGTTTATTATAATTAATATTACCTGTCATTTTTTTTTACTAGTGTGTGTATACATTTAATGTAGTTTCTCTAAACGAAAAGCAGCTGTTACAAATGTGGCATTAAAAAAAGGAAAATGTAATTAGGCATGCTAAATTTGAAATGTGGTGGGGGGTTTAGTTTTATCTATGCGGGGAAAGAACTACGGTTTAAAATGAAGATTAGAAAAAACAAAACGCCATGCACACCTTAAGGTTTAAACTTCAGCGTTAACATGTACACACCTCAACCATAACTAGTGCTCCTTATAAGGTCATTCCACTCTGCAATGCAGATTAAATTGGTTTGTAGTTTCTTTGCAGTGATTAATAATTTTAACAGCTTTATAGGAAAGCATGCTATTATTCATGTTTAGGTTTCGCTAACAGGTGCAGCTTGTACCCTGACAGCCAAGCTCGACTCCCTATATAGTTTTAAAAGTATATCCAGATAATGTCTGCACTCCAAAATTGCCATTAATATACAGTAGCACATGCAGTAAGCTTACAAGTAAACATGCTATCACTATGCAACGTTTCAATATACTTTTTTTCCTTGTGTGGCAGGTTTACCGTAGATTAGGAAACGTCTCACCTGTGCAACAGTGCCATTCTGTGTAAATACATAGAAATTTTCAAATAGCAAAGATGTTTTTCTCTCTCTCGCTCGCTCTCTCTCATCAACATCCGCTTATATAGCAGCATATCTACGTTTTTTTCGTGCGTTTATCCAAGAATGTGCTGTAACAATTCGCATTGAGGTATCAAATCACTTCCAAGTCAAAATGGAGAGCAAACGGCAATTCCTTTCTGCCTTAAGCTCTGCGGTTTGACGTCTATGCCGAGCACGTGATTTATGCAATGTGCGCACGTGTGCATGCGTCGTCGTGATTGTGACGGTGTTGGGGAAGGGGGCTCCGAGACGGTATGATTGCTACCACCAGAGGACACGTCTGAGGGGAAAGGAAGGAGGGCAAGGAGAGGGGGTTTCATCTTAATAATAATTATACAAAAATAACTAAACCTTCTGTCCCCACCCCTACACCTCCCCCCACCCCACCCAAAATAAGGACCAAAACAATAAATAAATGAGTAAAAAAATACACCCTTAACAATAAAAGAAAACAACGGAACGCCCCCCGCGGATTGACCGACCCACGCCGTGCGCATGACCACCATCACCCTTCCACCCACCCACCCACCCCCCGCGAGATTAGGTTTTTCTGCGGGCGGTTTTTACCCCACACGCGTTTCCCCCTCCCATGAGCTACCGCCGTGGAGCGTTCCATTTTTATTCTTTTCACAGGGGGTGCTTTTTTTTCCGTTTCGTTTATTGTTCACCTCCTTTGAGCACCCCCGCCGCCGTTCCTCCCCAGCGCCCCCTCCCCGGGTGCGCACCTCGCCACCACCCCCCACTCTAGCTTTGGTTACGCTCTCGGGAGCGCAAATGGCAGGCTTGTGCACATCAGCACTGACATAAGCGGTTAATTGCGATTAAATAAGCAAGACAAAAAACAAGTGCATGGCTCTCTAGCTATAGGTTAACCTCAGCGATAATCTACGGCGATTGTTTATAGCCAATGTTGCATTTAGCTTGCACTGAGACATGGTTAGTCGATGTGGTGAACACACAGCAACACAGTCACGTCAAGCCACGTCGCTGACGCTGCACACCAGAATATATACTATAATATAAGCGCCATCATGCACTTATTTTTGTCGATTTTTTTTCCTCTCTCTCCGTTCTTATATTAGCTTTTGAAAAAAATAACGATAATCTATTCCTTAAGTTTTGACATACAGATTGATGGATTGATGTCTGGTTAAAGTGGCCGATGAGTTGGGTTAGACCTATTTTCAACAAAATTTAAATATATTTGTTTAAATTGTTGTGCACAGGCAAACACATCGGATGCCTACGTGTTCGGGTTGGAGGCCGGTGCAATGCTCTCCTGTCTCCAGGACCCCTGGCTAGCAAAGCATTGTGGGAGATCAGGGTGTACTGCCTCACATGTGAGGAGCAAGCACTTGACGCAGTCTGAACATTTACAACAAAACCACTCAAATAAACTTGTGCTAAACACTTCCCGTTCTAACACTTATAAATAATTCTTAAAAATATTATTTTTTCCATTTTCAAAATATGTAAATGCTGAGACATTGCTCAACTATTTCTTTTAAAAAATTATATTTTACATTAATGCCAAAATGTAATCATTTAATAGAGATTTTACAAAAAATTAAATTAAAAAAATCGTCTGTTTTTTTTCAACACACAACACCCGAGGCACCCACAATCCTTTGCGAATCACAAGACAGATCCTGTGGACTACAAACTACGTGGAAATGTGGCAAGAGGGAAAAGTATTTTAACGAACTGCCAAGCCTTTATATAGGTTCCTCACGTGGATCTTTGTTCAGAATACAATGCATAAATATATGTACATTGTTTGACAAAAGTGTTTTTGTTTCCACTCACCACTTTTTAGAGTCTACTTTTCATGCGAATGTCAGTAGTCAGGCTTGTCAGTCTATGAAAACAGCTCTTTTATAATTAGTTGGGCAATATCAGAAGCAAATCAAATTATTACCATCCACAATGGTACTTTGTCATGCAGTGCGGCTTTTCCAAAGCAGTTGCTGGTAGGTAGTTTTAGCGCGTTACACAAATTTTTCCCTCTTGCCATGCGCTATGCCCTCTCATTGAAGACCTGGGCTGCAGCCAATGCTGTACAAATGAGCGTTCTTCACAGTTAAGCACATTCCCCCCCCCTCCCCCTGACAATGGCCACGAATCGCCGCAGCTCAACACAATACTCCGCTAAGAGTAGCATCATCTGTTCCTTCTCATTGGGTTAAGGGCGACGCCAGCACGAGTGGCAAAATCCACCATGAACCAATGCGATCGATCGATCTTTAATCAGCTGCAGCCCAGGGCTTAAGGGCAAAGGGTTTGTTTTGAGAGCGAGGCGGGCGGCATTAATTTGTGATTTCATATCATTTGTGATCCCACCTCGCCCTCTCTTATAAAGGTGCCCCCCACCCCACCACCACCACTCGTTTGTTGTTTAACACCAGCGGTAGGAGATGTGGCGAGGTCGATCTGCTCCTTCCTTGACCAGCGGCTTGTGGAACTCGCGGCCGGCTCGGGAGTGGATGCTTGCCCAGCAGTGCTCGCAGTAATACTGAAGGCAGGTGACGTTGGCACAGAAGAACGGGGCGAACTTCCCCCCGCAGCGTGCACCCTGACACTCGTCACACATCTGGTCATCCAGGACGTACGGCTTCACCTCCACCTGCTCGCCAACAGACACAAGGGTGATTGGTCAAGACTTTCGTAGAGAAAACAACAACGTGCAGTTTTCATTTCTTCTGCCGTCAAGATATATGTAACATCTAAGCAGCAGCCTCTGCAACACTGCCATCGTCGTTGTCATTGCTGGAAATGCAGTGGTTTTTTTAAAGTGGGTATTCTTCATAAGAAGCGACCTCAATGTGTAAAGTACGGCAAATTACATTTTCCCTTCTTTTAAATCTCTAACCGATAGGAATTGTCACATGTGAATGTTTCACAAAAAACGATAGTAGACAAGACGGCGGGTCACATCTTCGCGGTATTTAGTGGTGTGAGTACACCTTTTCCTGGTAAGGTTATAAAACTGGTATATGCAGCATTTTATTACCATGATACATTTCTCAGAAAGCCGATTACTTCCATTTTAAAACATGATTGAAGATTTGTCCCCAGTATGCCCTTGACTATAGTCAATGATAAACCATATTATTGAGATTAACATCACGAAATAATTTGTATAAACCATCTTCCATTGGTACACAATTCTCAAAATGCATTTCAATCACACTAAAAACCTCTGCCCACTATACATGCCTTTAGCTCTATATATGCCTACAACTCTATATATGCAGCTATTCTTTATTTTACCATCCCGAAGCATTGTGTGAAAAAATTAACATAATCTAAAGGTAGCTTTGATTTTGAAGCCACATTTGAGTACAGCCAGTTTGTCATTCCTGGATGAGGGCCTCCCCACACCGTGTAGGTCTTTACTATCGTGGTCAGTGTCGATTGCTGAATATTGGGAGAGCTGAATCAAGAGTATAGTACATGGGTTTTGTTGCAGTGCACTCAGCTGCTCATTATGCAGGCCTGGAACAACCCGCTTGTCTAAGCCACTACCATACCAATATTAGATTGCGAATGACAATAATGGTAGTCGTAAACAGGAGGAAATAATACAAAGCTAAGCTGCTAATTAAAAAGGACGAGGTTGACTTAAATGGGCCAAGAATATGACTATGGACTTGCCGACAGCGTGACTAAATGGGTCAAAACTCCTAAATTACAAAGTGGGCTTTCTGCCTCAACTAGAAGCTTCCTGGAGGCCAAGTGACTTGCATACTTCAAAGTGACTCATGTAGCTCATAGTAATGATGGCACGGTATATATATATATATATACGCTCGAATGTACACACACGAATAGATATGTACATGCCGAGCGGGCTTTGCTAGAAAGCTAAAGCTCGCGGGGATTTGGGTGCACAACTAAACATCCTTCAGACGACTGTGGAAGCGATTGACAAAGAACAAAGTAAGGTGTGGCCCTGGAATAACGGTGGACCTTCGCATGCCAGATAACATAGTTCTGATCATATACATACATCAGGAGACAAATGACTTCTGTATGGATGTATAAGCACAAAAAACTAATAAATACATCTAGAGTCGATTAGGCTCAGAGAATTACAATATGAAATCCACAAACTCGACTAAAAGTCTGCAGATTGTCAACTAGACAAAGGCCTGCATTCTTAGGCAAGTGAGCCAGCACAAATCCATGCTTAACTTGTTTAGTTCAGGAAAACTGTTAACACCGTGGTCCCAGCCATGCTCAGAATTATCCAAGAGCTGGGCCTGAGCCAAGCCATGGCTGAGTCGCTCAGGATGCGTGTTTTAAAGCGACCGAGTGGCACAAGCCCCAGCCATGCCGTGTGTGCAGCTGACCCAGAGCCACATCTCCCTTGTAGAATAGTCGGGCAACTGGCTAAGCAGGATCAACCGTGTAACATGAAAGAAACTAAACACTCAAATAAACTCAAATGACTAACAACATGGCCCTCAGACGACTGAAATAAACCAAGCCGACGACATTTCACGTTGGCAGAGGGAGTCTACGACATTCACACTGGCAGATGGGGGGGGGGGGTGGGGGAGACAGCCCCACATGCGGTGCAAGCGGCGCAGCGAGCGGCGCACTCGGGCGATGCCGTTTACCCGCTTGTCGATGTCTCCGTGCTGCAGCTGCACGAAGCGGGCGGAGATGGCCGCGATATAGCTCTGCTGGTTGGAGAAGGCCACGCGCCCAGCCCCCTTCGGGTACTTCAGCTCGGGGTCGGTGTCGATGCCAGCATAGCACACGCCCCCGTACAGCCGGTCCATGATCATCGCCAGCTCGACTGCGTGAGGAGAGCGTGTCCGGACGCACGATGCACAGGCGCATGAGCACACATGGATAGCGCTTCGGTCAATCTACTGCCGGATGAGGGCCTCCCTACGCTATGCTGGGTCAGGAGCATTATTTGACCGGAGGAGGCTTCGAGTGAATCGGAATCTGTGCCGAAAAACGCGCGGTACAACCCGCACACGCAATGGCTTTTCTTTACAGAAAACATTAGCCTACAACGGTAAACATTTTCTGCTGTAAAACGTTAAAGTGGATTTACGGACAGCACCCTGCTCAACTGCTTTTTATAAGCCACAAAGTCTATATTCCTATGTCAGGGGTGAGGCTGTCGAGAGGACAACCACTCATGACGTCCCATAAAGCGGCACTTACTTTTATCAACCCTGGAGAAAAATTAATTGCCGAGTCGACCCCTGATCGAGATTTTAACTCGTGACCTTCAGATTGTGATCCGAGCGCTTGCTTCACTGTGCCTCGTGCTTGTGTTTATATTACGCCGCATAGCCAATGACTACAGCGGTTAAGTGATTATGGTCCCTTCTTCAAGACCACCACCCGCGTAACCACTTGGAGGCTGTAGCCCAATGAACAAGCAGCTATTGTTATATCTCCCCGATGTGTTTTCGGGTTGTACCGTATGTTATTCAGCATGATGTCCGACATTTTGCTGCACACACTGGGAGCATATCCAGGAAATGAATTAAATTTCTTGGAGTGCAACGTCGGACGTCGTGGCAAAACATGCAGTAAATATTTAAAAACACGTCTAAGGAACTATACAGAGCAAACAAACACCTATTCAGATGTCCGAGTTAGTTTAAAATTTGCATCGGACAGCCTTGGAGACACTGGGTTCTAGGTTCGTATGTGCGAGATTAGGGGGATTTGATTTTTGAAATTGCGTATTTGAGTTGCGTAATTGACGTCACTAAAACACGGCAGGGGGGGGGGGGGCAAACAATGAGCGAGCAGTGATCCAAGCGCGGCTGAAGCGGTACTCACTGGCTCGGAGCGGGCGAGGAACCCCTCCCACGAAGATGGTTTTGCGTGGGTCCAGGGGCTGAGAGCCGTCCATCACAAAGTCACTGTCGCTTAGATTCCATGGGCGAATTTGCACCTGCACGCCGGGCGAAAAGGGACGCCACAGTCAGCAGGCACATCCATTTCCATTTGAGCCCTTAACATTACGTGCGTTACGTTGGCCGACTGGGCGAGGCGAGCGAGTGGAAATGTGGAATTGCACCTGGCCACAGTGAATTTGTTAATCTTGGACAATTTAGGATGTCAGTGACATATTGGTCTATGTAAGTCTATTGTTAGGATACAATGCAATGTCTGTTCCAGTGTCATTCTATGGGTCTACTATTAGCAAGTCTAATGTTAGTCTATGGACCAATGTTAGACTACGGGCCCGATATTAGTTTAAAAGTCCAATGTTAGACCATCAGTCTAATGCAAATGAATAATGGAAGGGAGTCCAATTATACTATTAGTCTATGGACCAAATATTGTTTCCCAAGTCCAATGTTATCCTATGGGTCCAATGTATGCTCATAAATCCATTATTATTCTATAAGACCAATGTTCGTCTATGGGTCGAATGTCCGGTTGGACAGTAAACAAGGCACAGATGATCCGTACACGATATAACAAAACCAGAATCGTAATTTGCGTACACACACACACACGACTACAGTTTCCACAATCGCAAGCAGCACAAGATGTACGGCGATTTCACGCCTTTCCAATTTCACACACTGACAGAAATGTCAGGTGGACAAGATTTACGCCGCGGAGTAACTCGCCCCCCCCCCCCCCCCCACATCAGTCACGCTTCCCGGGTGCCGCAATTGCACCACGCCGCGGTAACCCCTCGACCCGCGATCCATGCGACCGCTTTGATGGCTTCTCTGATTGGTCTAAGCCGAGCACCAAAGCCGATGAGAACACAGGCCATCCCTATTGGGAAGACACGTGCTCAACACGGTGGGGCTGGCGTGCCCCACTTACTCACGCGGCCGGCACCAGAGGGAGTGCAAATTCTGGTGACACGGGCGAGATCATGGTAGTTTGTAAATTACAACCAAATGGTTCATGCCTGCACATGTAACAGTGATTTAAGAACGTCTTTTGCAACGTGCGTCGATTCGTCTTAGCGGACAAATTCTCCTAAGCGGCTGGCAGATCAACATCCCCGTACTTTAGGGCCTGAAGCATTGATGATTATGCATTTTTGAATTACATGACGATTTCTCAGCATGTTCTAATTTATATGTAGAAAAAAAAAACATTGTAGTGGACACCAATGCAGTTCATTAGAGGCTTGTTCACTATTTTGTTTAAAACGTCGAGACATTTTAAAATACTAAAATTGAGTATTTTGGAAACTAAGTCTTCCCTGTTGTAGGGAGGCATCATTTTCAGTCTAATTCAATTGGACATAATTCACTTAGATGCAGAGAGAGCATCGCTTCCTCTGAGGAACAAGGCAATTTGGGTTTCTAAAATGGGCACATGGGCCTGCCATATGAGCATCAATTATTTTTTTTACAAAGAGAACATTGCTTATTAGTGCAGCATTTGGTGACACCTATTAGCCAAATTCCAGGATAAAAAAAATCTAAAGTGCAAATAAAAATGAAACTTAATTAAACTTGCTGAACGTGTGCATCGACAAAAAAATACAAATTATTGCCAAGCCTTTCCCTACAAAATTATATGTAACATAGGTAACATTACATTTAGCAATGATAAATCAGAATGATCTACTGAGTAGCCATTTAAATATAAAGACTTTGTTTAAATACACTGCAGAAAGGCTACAGAATTATGAAAACAAGTTGCACAACCTTTCTGTTTGTGCTTCTCATGTCACGTGTTTTTGTGGGATTCACATAACAGAATAAGTGCACTCTTACACTAAACTGAACGAACAATGCATTCATGGGTGCAAGCACGCTCATGGAAAGATCTCAAAATGTTTTGGCATATCCTTGTGTGTTTCTATATATTTATATAAATACCCACACGTATAAATGCACACAAAGCACGGGACAAGCACAATAATCATCATGTGATTACGCCCTCTGGCCAGGGAATAAACTCGAACTAAACCAAGTTAGGCTACACACACGCACACATTAACATTGCAGCCCCCGGCCTTAACGTTAATATAACAGAGAAAAACCTCAGCCGCACAGCGTCGAATGGCAAACACACACACACGCCTACCGGTTTGTCTTTAATGGTGGGGCTGGACACACACAGATAAAGCTTGTCTTCCTCCTTAATGCAGGCGTCGATTAGAGCCTGCACCGAGCTCTCTTCCTGGAAGAGCAGAAATGCGTATCCTACAGGGGGTGAGGAGGGAAACAGCCAAACACAAAAGCCCATTAACATCACGCAGGCCGCCCCCTCTGCGCACACTTGTTTACCAGCGCGAAATACAAAAGGGGCCCCCCCCTCCCACTTTCTGAAAGCTTCGTTCACTTCCGAAGGCTCATTTGTGAATAGGTGCCAGATGCTGCTGCTTACATGAGGCTATAAAAAATTCAACGGCCCATATTTCACCCCTCCGTGCCGGAGTGCGTTGAAAATAAAGGGAGGTAAATTATCAGGAGGCAACCCGATGTTTCTTTATCGACCATAATGGAGAATCTAACATCTGGCCGTTTTCGGGCAGCGGGCAAGCAAAGCAATTTGGTTATTTGACAAAGCCTACACCGAAGTCTGAATTTATTAACTTTTCGCTCCAGATTGCCCAGTTGCCAGGGTTCTCCCCCAGCAGGGTTGCTTTACATGGAGGCAGAGGTTCAATTCCTGCAACCGACCAGAAATCCCATCGGAGTCCCTGAGGGCCATTGTGCCAGGAAACAGACATTGATCACAGGACTGTGGGAGACAGCAGCAGCTGAGATCGGCCTTTATGCAGCAGTGGATAGATCATGGATGATTATGATTATATTCATGAGATTAGACTACTGTGCAACATGTTCAGAACCCATATTTAAAATGTTAAAATAATCCACAGCTAAATTATGAATAGTAAATATACTCCATAACTACAGAAGTCCAAGTGCTCACGTTAAAATGTTAAATATTGATTATCTCAATAGTCTGTCACCTGGTTAAGTAAAGAATACAGATATAATTGATCGATAAAATGGCATGACTCTTCAAAGTGATAATCTTTCGTTCATAAAAGTAGTGAAACCACTAAACAAACCAAGCTCACACGCAATTTTATTTCTTGCAGCTTGTCACATTCTCGGATGTAAACATCTACTGGAACGTTAAAACCAGCTGTGGCCTCAGGTGTCGTGTGAAGGTGAATGAGCAATGGGCCATGAAGGACAGACCCTTTAACACCAAGTCCTCAAGAGCGAAGGGGTTTGAGCCGTGGTCATTTCTCACTCCAACCCTTCTGCATCACAGGCCGACCCCCTCCCCCACCCCTTTTTAAGCATTCCAATAAAAAAACGAGATTAAGGCCCAGAAATGCAGCTCGGTCTTTGGTCACGGAAAATCGGCACACGCGTGAAGCCGACAATGCTAAGTTGCCGCAAAACCTGGTGGGGATTCTGGGATGTTCCGACAATCGTGCAAGGTCATGATGCACGCGAGCGCGACCCAACGTGACGAGATAACGAGCACCAGGCTCCCGGTACGATGACGCGAGGGCCATCGAGTCCACAGTGGCAGGGTGGGGGTCACGCAGTCAGCAAACACGGGGGCAACGCCTGCCCCCAAGACTGCACTGCGCTGACAGTTGGCCACAACATTATCTATGCAAATCAACAGCCTTGTAAAATTTGCAGTGCCCCAAAAGCCTTACTTAATGCCAAATTTGCCTACCAGTTGCGGTAGTCCTCAGCCTGCCACCTTGTATACCGACCGCATTACTTTGCTCAGGTGTACCTTTGGAATGGTATGTTTTCATCACGAGTGTTATCTAAGACAGGCACTGCATTATATATATATATTTTTTAATGAGACGTTAATAACGGCTGTCCTGGAGAAGGAATGGTCCTCACCCACAGCAATATGGCATTTCTATGACTGGCTTAGGGCCACCAACAGAAAGGATCAGTGTCTGAAGCTTGTTTAAGCAGAGGGCTTGTGTTTTTGCACATAATTGATATCTGATTTACATATATACATGTAAATCAATTGTTTGAATTGCAAGTCCGTGTAAAAATCACTAATTCTACGTGGAAGAAAAGGTACACGAGTTTTTAATTAAATTGGGTGTAGCATCTATGACGTGTGACTTGTAATGCACCATCAAGGGAACCGGATAGCCAACCCGTGAACCAAATAAGCCCGTTGCTGCTGGCTGTGGGCAGTTGCTCATCGTAGTTTTTGCAAGGAAAGGCACGCGCAGCGGGAATGCGAAACGGATGACTGCACTCACAAGGAACGAGAGAAATTAGCAGGGTGTGCACGACGGAAGTTTACCCACTAGATGGCAGGAGAAGCCTCGAAAATTTGCGGAGTGCTTTCCAAGTGTTGTCGCCGTCACCCACAACAACATCCTTATCACATCTCTCGCACGCCCACACACGGATGCACTCATTTTAGATTCACGCTAAAAAAACGAGAACTGCTGTAGCGCGTAATGCAATGGTGACAAGGTGACGTTTTGGGTCACGGCGTGACCCCAAGGGTCATTGCGACCGGGCCTGCGTTAACCCGTCCTCCAGTGCGCTACATTAAACAGGGGGCCCCCGCTCTTGTCACGTAATAGCACACGTGCAGTCAAAGGCAGCAGCACAGCTGTTTCGCTCTCCACAACGCGGGCGTTTGTATGATTCAAATTCAGCAGATTTAGAACACATGTTAAATTCTTTTACGGATACATTATTAACATTAAATACACGTATTCGGGAGGGTCACGGGTTAAGATGTTTGCCAAACTCCTTATTTGCACGTCTGAGGAGACTGGAGTGCCTGAAGAAAACCCAAGCAAGCAATGGATAACACTGTTACCCTACTTGCTGCACTGCCTCTTACAGGTACCTCATTGCCCTACAGGTAGGCGTGTGTCAAGCACAATGCCTGCATTTCTGGGTGATCAAAAGCAACAGCCACCACAACACAACAATTTAAGATCACCTACTGGAAATCTGGCCCATTTATACCGCATTGAACACTGGTGTTCTTTCTTGAAGGGCGGCCAGCCAAAACATTCATATATCATCTTCAATTTCTAGAGACGTTTTCCTTCCCATTTTTAACAGGTTACACATGAATTGTCAAAAGCTAAAGAATTTTATATTTGAGCCACATCATTTGCGGACTGTATGCAGCACTCAGCCAGCATGCTACAAACTGTACATTACTTAAACAAGGCTCCCTCCCTTCCTTTCTCAAGTGGTTTCTCTAAAATCAATAAGACACACAAAACTGGCATGGGTTGCAACTGATCCACCCACTGCCACCTACGTACATGCTCGTGGCGTCTCTTCGTTCACCCTCCTCTTAAAGGGCCACGACATTTGAAGCGCCACAAGGCACCGCAGAAGAAATGTTTTACGAACAAACAAAAAAAGCACAGAAACCATAAAAGAACATTTCGTTGCTTCCCCTGCGTCGGAACGTACGGTGATAAATGAAAATTCATGTAGCGTACATGCCTCTGCTGATGAATCCCGTAAGATACCGCATTCCCCCAGCACATTACTGCCAAATCTGATGGGATTTTAACTTGCTCCACGCTGAATAATGCATTATGCAAAGTATTTTGTTCTTGTGCGTCACTCACAAGGTGCATTATCCTGACCGAGTCGGCGGTTCCAACAAAACGTACGTGCGCAGCGTTTAATCAATCTTGTTCGGCAATCCGTCTTGGCGCAAGTGTAAATAATGGGATTTTCAGTCTGCCCGGTCTATAAAGAGTTATAAAATGGGCAGGCGCTGCTTGAGAATGCAGCCAGAAATTTCTATCCGGCCCGGGTTTATGGAGCGGATAAATCAATTAAGACCGGGCGACCGTGCTGCCCACTTGCTCGTTTTGGGAGCCTGGCGGGCGTCCCTCTCATGGGTCTCTCCCCCCCCCCCATCTCCAGCAGGCGCTGGAGAAGCAGTTCTGTCCAATTACGTCGTGAAAATCCAGCCGCCGTCAGGCCACTTGGAGATAAATGCGTACCTGGAATCGTGCGTCCCATCTCCGAGGTAGACAACCCCCCCCCCCCGCCCAACGCGCCCGTAGGAGGCGGCACACACTTGCCTTGCCGATAAGCATTATGCATCATGCTTTGGAGCCCATTAATCAGCCGAAGGGAGACGTTATGTAAATGAGCGTAGGGAGAATAACGGTTTAATGTTGGGGCTGCATTGGCAACAGACACACTGAAAGTTTCGTCGACGTATTAACGGCAGCGGACTGGGGAGACCTTCAGACCTTCATCCAGCAGTGGACCGACTGATCATGGCTGATGATGATAATGAAAATTAAATGTGCAAATATGTTTCCATGCATAAGAATTATTTTCCTAAACGGAGGTCAGAAATTTTTATTTAGTAAAATAGAATATACACAGACAATAATCATCTCGATTTATACCATGACCGCATGAAAGCTAAACAGTATATTTGTATAGGTATATAGGCTCCATCATTGTGGAATTGTACAAATCGAGACATTTCTCTCGTTATATTTTTTAGAAAGTCAAATAAGCTCCATGTTCCAAATGGGCAATAGGGAGATCTTTATCTCCATCAATGGCAAGGGGTGGAAATTCCACTTTTCCATGTCAAGTGCCCGTTTATCCAAAGGAAAGCCACTGCTGACAGCACACGAAGCATTGCCCAGTTTATCGACTTCAGCTGCGCTGCGTTAACCATCAACGGGGATGTTCACCCACGAGCTTCCTATTGCGAGTCACGTGCTCAAAACCGCAACGCCACCGCCCCGGCTGGACAGCATCTGCCCAATAATAGCAGCAAGCTGTAATCTAATACAGTAATGACATATGAAACGCCTTTTCACAAAAAGAAAAACCAAACAAACAAATACGGCGGTGTGTTCCACGATGCTTTTTGCTCGTCACGGATGCATCACAAAGACAGCAGGCTGTACATTGCACCTGCCAACCAAACAAGCGGTCAGAGGGAAATAAGTGCGGGGAGCTGTGCGTGTGTGTGTGGGTAGGGGGCGGAGGCCGGATGCTGGGAGTTGCCACGCTGCGGAACATCTGTTCATCTGATCGTGCCTTGTCTGGTTAAAGGATACGATGGCCGCTGGTACAGGTGCTCGTAAATGCGCATGTATGTGTACGTAACGGTTAGCGCGTTTCGTTGCGAACCCAGTGACCCCGAGTTCAATTCCTGCCGACGGCCAAGACCAGTG